GGGCGTCCAAACAACGCCAGTCGCGAGTACCTCTGCTCCTTACGAACTTCATACTTCGCATCATAGATAAAGTTCCACCGCTCCACGAAATGCCTTCGCAGGTCCTCGACAACCTGTCCGTGCAAGCTCAGAGCCACATCAGACCACCCCATGCGAGAGGCAGACTTCCGATCCAACTGGTTCTGCTCCCAGTGCGAGACGTCCTGGAAGTCGAGGACTCGGGCGTTGTTGTAGTCCTGGCCAGGGAAGACGATCTCGTTCAGGTCTGTGGGATGGACGTCGGAGAGGCTGTGTTGGTTGGTGTCCCAGCGTCCGAAGCACAGGTCCAGGCCTCCCATGAATGCCACTCGGCCGTCGATCAAGCAAAGCTTCTCGTGGTGTGCCCAGTAGAGAATGACATCATCGTTCATGCCGTATATGCCCTTGATTGCCTCCCCGGGCATCTTGGCCAGTGAAGAAGCATCGAGAGAGAAATGTTGGAGGGACGAAGTTATGGAAGCAGTGAGTTCTTGGGCGTCAGGAAGGTGGTCGGGATGGCGGAAAACTGCGATGTTGGGGTGGAGGTCTTCCAGATGGTGCTTTGTGTGGGAGGAGGACACTAGTGAGCGACATTAGCCATTGCGTGCTGTTCTCTGGTGTTGTGACCGGAGATCATACAAGTCAAAGCCTGGGTCACCTCCTTGTAGACGATGATATTCACCCGCACTCCACGCTGAGCGGCAGCTTGAAGCATCCGATCGAGTCGATACTGTTCGTTCTTCGCGGGAGGACGTCGTAGGTACAATTCTGGAGAAAGCCACCCTAGTCGTAGTTAGCTTACTTCGTATATCCGCCAACCGTGCAATGAGACGGAACCCACAATCCAAAATCCAAACCGACTCCTTCGCATTCTCCAACGCCTTGGAGACAGCATAGAAGTAGCTGCACCCATCAACATACCACTTCACATCATTCCCCTGTCTCGCTGGAGCAAAACTTCCAAACCGATAATCCGTATCCGGGTTCTGCTGTCCATATTCCGCATACGCCTGTGGATCGAGTGCGGTTCCGATACGCTGGGCAAAGTCACCACCGAAATCTGCCACGGTGCCTTGGAGCTTTCCCAGCAGACCGGAAACTTTATCCTGCTTCGGGGGCTTTCCTTGGGACTGAGGATTTTGGTACGGGGGATTGGGGGGTTGACTCTGGTTCGGTTGTTGCTGAGCCGCGGATAAGATAAAGTGTTAGCGGGGTTCTTCTTAGGTGTCTTCTCGGGACTTCAGCAACGTACCCCAGGGTTATAACTCTGCTGTTGGTTACTTCCTGCCTGCTGGCCCTGAGCCGGAGAACCCTGATGGCTTTTGTATGTTGACTTCAGCTTCTTAAAGGTATCTCCGACTAGGCCTCTGGCGCTCTCGCTTGCCCCGCTTCGAGAACCGTCCTGCGAGTAGTAATGGCCATAGGCCAGGTGGTCCTCTCGCTGCGACATGGCGTTGTAGAGGTAAGAATAATGTAGAATTGGTACGCAGTGTATTTGTTTCGATAAAATTAACGAGAGGAGGAGGGGAGATCCATCGGAAGATCAGATGCCTTATATAGAGGGGTACTCGTATGCCCTGTTGGTGCCCCGCTCGGACAGGCTGCCACGTTCCGTTCTGGGTGGTCTCATGGTGGCTGAAATCAGTCAATCAGAGACAGTTATATCAATAGTACTCCGTAGTCCCGGATGCTAAGGAATATGGAGGGGATGTCTGTGGCTGTGCTCATTAGACTTCCTCTTTGGGTATGGTCCAGCCAAACCGTCAATATATATCAAGAAATAACACCTATGCATGTCTATATAACGCCGATACATCCCACTGTCTCAATAAACATCAAAGTCGGCCCGTCCGTATCCGTGACTACGGGAGATCTGCCATGAAGCGGAGGCTGAGGTATTACTAGCACATACCTGCCACGCTCATCAAACACTATCAAAGACTTGCATACATCTTATTCTACTCGGGGATATCTTTCAATTGGGGTTTTTGACCTTGTCATCCCGTCACTGGAACTTGTTTCTTGTCGAAACCAGATGACTCGTACATATCTTTCCTGACTGTAGTGGTCATAGTGCTGGAGGTACTCCGTATTGCCCTGTGTTTTGTCAAGAAAATTCATTCCACATTGAAATAGTTGCCATGAGAAGAGCGAGTGTCTCTGTCCTTGGAGAAACTCGGCCCAAGAATGCCCCAGGGTCCTTCCGTTAGGCGTATAGAAGGTTGTATTTTAACTGAATACATCCGAAATGGGTCTAGTAGTACATGGGCCATGATGATTCAGAGTAGAGCGGGATTAAAATGAGTGGTGGCTGAAAACTCAGTAAAGATTAAGCTATGCATATCTCAGTTCAGCTGGTGTGTTGTCACTGCAGAATTGCCACAGAAATGCATACTCTACACCCATAACCCCCACTATCATCTAACACTAGTCTCAACAGGTCATTCAGCTGAAAACTATATGCCCCACCAGTCTTCTAAAACCCAGATCACTGTGGATCTGCTTGCCACCATTCCAACTTACTCTCTGATTGACGGATGGCACGTATTTCCATGGCCAACATTATTTGTGGGAATGTGAACATAAGGCAACTGGCAAAGACTCGGGGATAGCTAGGGAGTGAAATATCACGGGATGCCCTGATGTTCCGATGATTGCTTGCAGGGCATATTCTACTATTCTGATCAATACACCTGCCTGATACAAAGTTGTGCATATGCTCTCATATCCACATACAATACTGATCAAGGAGGCAATCATCAACCCACACACTGTTGTGGACGATGTACCAGAACAGCTTATCTCTTCTGGCTGCAAATGCAATTCACTGGCCCAAATCTAGTGCACTCGCCATCGTTTCTCTCCGTAGAAAACCGGTTTCTCAGAAACTCCCCAGTCAACATAAAAGGAGAACAAAGTCCCCCTCTCAGACCAGCAACTCTGAAACAAAATCCATATTTGACAAGCAGATACCAATCCAATTGAATATTGTTTCCATTCCCTTTTAGCAATGACTCTCTCATATCCTGAAGGCGAAGTCTTCTTCAGCCACAAAGGTCTGAATTCGTCTAACTCCTCGTACCAAGCCGACAGCCCCCAGCACTTCTATAGCCATCTCATGATCGAGTATGTCTGGAACGTCGAAGCCGATCATGACTCGAAAAATGCAAACTCCCCCAAAGGCCACAGCCACTATCGATCCGATTACGGAATTGTGAAAGGAAGCAGTTGGTCAACCCACTACGGTAACTGGACCCATCTGCCTATCTCGTATGGAGGGAGCAGTGTAAACTCGATTATAAGACGGACTTCCCACAATTTGTGCCAAAGTGGGAATCGCTTCAAGGACCACGAGAGGGGCGCGCATCCGCCGAGGTAAGTTTACCTTTCCCAAACATTTTGGGTGAGTCTGCTAATAATCTCCCTATCAGGCCTGGTTTATGCATATGCCAATGCCGACTAAAGAGGAAGGATGGATTTACATTGACGTGAGTAAACCTGCTCTTTGTCATAAGCAGAGACAGAGTATGAAGCTAACCCTTCAACTCGTTGACACAGCGGTTGACTCATATTCGCGCCATCTACATTCCCATTGCGTACAGCGCCTCCGATCAATACTCGGACTTGTGCGCTTTTCTGCATGTCAATTGCACCCGAAGCGAGACCATCAAAACCAAGCCTTACGAATATGGCATGACTCCCAACTCGCGTACCGACAAGCCCGATGGAACATTTGGCCTCAAGGTGGACAGAAACTGAGCCCTGGGAATCAACATCCACGTCTTGACCAACCTCCTTTCCCTACCGCGAAAGCTGCGAGCATGGGATTCATATTCCTCGGAATGCATCATACACGTCAAAAGCAATCTGATCAAAACCGTCAACAACGTGACTTACTACAGTGATGCAGCCGACTTCGACTGGACCAAAGTAGTCGAGGCCAACCACGGCTTACAGGTTCAGGGGAAACCCGCGCCGCCCCCCGACTTCGCAATGGATTTCTTCGAAAATCTCCTCACCGAGGCAGTGGGTTTTATTTCCCATTATCGGGTCTATCGCCGCAATTGCCCTCCCATTGGCATGGACTGCCATTTTCGACCCCGACGCCTTTGTGGATGAACTGATCGGCCTTGTTCCCGGCATGGCGCTCAGCGACATGGTCATCGACGAGATCAAGAAGAACGGCAGCTCGATGAAGGGCAATTTACCCTGAAACTGGCGCGGACCCAGAGGCTTCTTGCAGTCCTCGAGTGAATATTGTGTCTCATGGTTGGTTCTCAAGGTGCTTTGACAAACAGTCTTTTGGTAGTCTGAGGTCCAGGATGGTGTTACCTTTCAGGCACCAGAGTTGATCGACTTTAGTAGGCGTCATTATGAACCGACCAACAAGGCAGCAAGAGGCAACTTTGCACAATAAATGGAAAGACCATTCATTAATATAAGCTAGGATATCCGGAATCATGGTGTCCTGAAAGCACCCAACACCAAGAGAAGCATACAAGTCGATCATCGTGGGCTTCCTTGAATGATCTCCAGTCACATTGATAGAGCATATTAGTAGTGCTGTGAGCAATTGGCACTCAAAGCTGTATTTGAGTCGGCCACGGGACATATTTCAATACAAGCAGTGGGGAAAGCGAACGGGAATAAATCATTCAAGAATAAACTGTTACCATTATCGTTTTTAGTTAATTAATTCAAAACTTGATATCAATTGCCAGGACTAATGGTAATGTACCGTATCACCCCTCATGATCTGCAGCTGTCAGTGGGTTCCGGTATCTCCGAGCAGGACTGACAGCTGCCAGTACTGTCATGGTAAGTACGATACGATACCTGTACAACGGGTCTCCAACGGTGTTATATAAACATGACATCTTCGAACGAAAGTATATAAAGCAATTCGGGATCCCAATTTTATTACTTGCAACAATCCCATTAGCCGAAATCAATTGTATCACACTTGTGCCCAATCCATCACCATGTCCCTCGCCACTCTTGACGTGAGTCTCCATACACCAGAGATATAGCTAAAACTAACTCACCAGACCTCCCAACATCCCTCCCTCCCCACTGCATCCACAACCCTCTTCAACGCCAAATCCACCAAAAAGCTCACCTTCGAACAAATCGCCCACCACCTCAACCGTTCCGAAGTAGCCGCCGCCGCCATCTTCTACGGCCAAGCCAAAGCCTCCCCCGAAGATATCTCCAATCTCTCTTCCCTCCTCGAAATCCCCAAGCCGGCTCTTGAAGAGCAACTGGGTGGCTTTCCGGACCGGGGTAGGTCTGTGGAGATGCCACCCAGGGAGCCGTTGATTTATCGGCTGTATGAGATTGTGCAGAACTATGGATATGCGTATAAGGCGGTGCTGAATGAGAAGTTTGGAGATGGGATTATGAGTGCGATTTCGTTTTCGACGAAGGTGGAGAAGGAGACTGATGAGGGGGGGAATGATTGGGCTGTTATTACGTTGAGGGGGAAGTGGTATGTTTTACCAGCTGTGGTTGTTGTTCAGGGCTAACGTGGTATAGGTTGCCGTTCTCGAGGTTCTAAGCCGGACATGGTGTGACTCGGTTTATATAGCATGGTTCCGATTATAACATTATATACAAACCCTATGACTACATCTTCGACTTCCGGCTCTCCAATGCCTTCCATCTCGTCTTAAGAGCCTTCATCTCCTCCTGCAACGCCAGCCCCATCATAATCTCCTCACTCCCACCCCCAACAACATGAACCCTCATATCTCGACTAATCTGCTCAACCCGTGCTCCTTTCCCAGCCTTATTGTACCCAGCACCACCCAGAATCTGTTGTGCTTCGCGGACACTCTTCTCAAGAGCTCTGGTAGCCATCACCTTGAGGAGCGCCGTCATACCACCGATTCTGACATTGTCCACGGGTTGGTCTTTGGTGAGTTCGATGATGTGCGCGAGTTGCTCCATGAACGCGTAGGCGGGTTCGATCATTAGGCCAAATTTGAAGATTTTGGATTGAATGGCTTGTTTCTGAATCAGAGGGGAGCCGAATGTCTCGCGTTGGATGGCATAGTTGAAGGCGTCTTCGGCGCAGACGCGGGCTAGTTGTAGGGAGGCGCATGCGAGACTGAGACGCTCGGGGTTGAAGTCTTCGTTATTAGCTGGTGGGCCTTTCATCCAATATCAGCAGGTACTCACTCGACATGATCAATGGGAATCCTTTGTTTTCTTCCCCAATCAGATGGTCAACCGCAACACGGACATCGTCGAGCTCGATGAATGTTGATCCTGATATGCGTCAGCCCATTATCCAAATAGCCGGAAGCGAAGTGCCTACCGCTAGCATTGACACCAGAATTGTGCATCCGCTGGCGAGTAACTCCCGGAGCCTTCAGAGGAATCACGAGCAAACTGATTCCACCCTTACCCGGTCCCCCAGTCCGGACAGCAGCCGTACAATAATCAGCCCAGATACCGTTGGTAATCCATTTCTTCGCACCGTTTACGATGTAGTAATCCCCCTCGCGTTTCGCCGTGGTCTGAATATTCGCAACGTCCGATCCGGCTACACAACGTTAGCCGATCTCCACGGTCCCTCTCAAAGTAAAGCCAACCAACTCACCATCAGGCTCCGTAATCCCCAAACAAAACCTCACCTCCCCCCTCGCAATCCTCGGCAACCACCTCCTCCTCTGCATCTCCGTCCCAAACCTCGCAACCGGTGGCCCCCCAATCGCATTCCCACCTCCCAATCCCCAAACAACACCTACAAACCCAATCCTCGTAAGCTCCTCCGTCAAAATCAAACTGCACCATGTATCCCACTTATCAAACGGTACGTTTCCCGGCAGCGACAGACCACCCGCGTCTTCGGGGGTTGTGAGCGGGTGCACGATGCTGAAGCCTAGTTCGCAGTGGCGACGGCGGACGGGCTCGGGGACTTGGCCTGCTTCTTCCCATTCTTGGGCGTAGGGCACGATAGAGGTTTCGATGTAGGAGCGGATGGAGGCGCGGAGGTTGTGGTGGAGGGGCGTGTAGTAGGGGTTTTGAAGGGGGAGTTGGGGGAGGAGGGGGGAGCTGTAGGGGGCTGTTGAGGGTTTCATTCTGTATCGAGTGTTGTTCAGGTGCTCTGGTGCAATTGGTGGTAGAATAGATGGACTTGATTGATAGATGTTTTGGAGACAGGGGTAGGGGGCTTATCTTAGTCTGATCCTCATGCGGGGAAAGCTTCAAACCGAGGACCGCGGAGTGTTACTAGAATAGGAAATCAGAGCATGGATGAGTTGAGTTCGTATCACGTTCTTTAATATATTAATGCTTCTATGGAGTAGAGTAGGTTCCTTTTTCCAATGCAACCCAGTATCAAATCATGACGCCTTCTCTAATGCGCTTAAAATTCCCACCAAATGCTTCTTGACATGGGAGCAGCGCCATCTCTGCTTAGAACGCGGTTCCAGCATGCCTCTAATGCAGGTCATTATAGAATCTGCGAGAGACATTCCCTCCTTGAGTGGCACCTGTCCCATGTCGATTTTCTCTGCGAAATCGGGCGGGAACACCGTTCTTTGAGTGGCCATGTCAATTGAAGCCGAAGAGCTCCTACCCCGGGTCAATTCACTCAAGACCATCTGGCGTTCCATCTTCGTACTCAGACGATACAAGAGCTCGAATAGAATCACCCCAAGGGCATATACATCAAGTCGTTCGTCGATGGTGTAATAATCCTCGTCAGTTATAGACTCATCCGACTCCGATATCCCAGGACTATTGCTGTTCGTAGGTGGGCGGTAGAATTCGGTCCCGACGACACGGTTCATATTCTGTGAAGATACAGAGCCCCTGGGTGAGCAATCGTCTATATGCGAGATGTCTGCAACGAGCCCGAAATCTCCGATTCGAGGATGGTAATGCCGGCAGTCCGATTCGGGTTGTTTTTGACAAGTACCGCATATCTCTAGGTTGCTATTCTCTGGAGACGACAGAAAAATGTTCGCCGGTTTGAGATCACGATGTACGATGCCTTTGGAGTGGATATACTCGACGCCAGAGATTATGCTTAGCATCAGCCTCAAGGATGGCACCAGGTGATAGCAATGGCGCCGTGTTCCTTTCTCACTTTGCTGTGGATTGAGGTAAGAACCGAGTGAAGTAGGATGTAGTGACATCTGAATATGAAGGACAACAGCAGGGTCATCCGTCCCATCTCTGGCCCTTCGTTGGACCTGCATTTTCGAGGCGCCATGACTTAGACCATCGGTGAAAATATCGCTGTCATTCCCACCAAAAGTTGACAACTGACCCTGGGACGGAACGCTGAAATCGCGGGCGATAGATTCAATCTCTTCGTCGAATTGGATACTATGACCTGAAGATCTCTTCGAATGGCGCGAGGTTGTGGTCGACTGGCTCCGTTGTGACATTGAATCTGAATGCGTTTCAGCCGCAGAACTCTCGGAATGCTCAAAGACAACCCCATAGCTATGGTTGTCCATTGGGTCATGGCTCGGCAGGTAACTTTGAGTTTGTTCTTGGTCAGACGCAGTCTGTCCATTGTTGGACGCAAAAGGAGTCGGTCGATTAGAGACGCGTTGCGAAAAGTGTGCTTTCTCAACCCATGCACCGTAGTATCGAACGACGTTGGTATGCTCCAGTCGAGCCAGCGTCCGGATCTCTTTCATGATGGTCTCAAGTTGATTACCACCAAACTGCAATTGCTCCAGCCGTCTCTGGCTCAGCGGAATCTTCTTCACGGCGTAATTCTGTCCGTCAATATGATTCTGCACATGGTACACCTCGCCATACGAGCCTCGACCTAAGATACCAACTTCAGAGAATTCCGTTGCGTAACGAGACATGGCACTGACAGGCGACGGTGGCTGAGAACTGAAGAGTGGGAAGCTCACGGGAGAACTTCCGGTAAAAGGCAATGTTCGATGTGGCAACTTCGTGACATCCAACCGAATATCTTCCAGAGGAGTGACATTTCTTCCACCGGAAAATTGTTTGAGACCTAGTATTTCCCGTCTTTGATCCATGTGGTGTGCATAACCTCCATGTGGAGTCTCTGTAAGAACGCGCATGTTTGAGGACCTGGCAGCCAATGCTAGGTCCTTTGTCGTACTGGTTGGCGACTGTTGCACATGGCGGTCGTTCAGATCTAGTCCCTCCAAGGCGGATACCCCAAGTAAATCGAGGTTGTCGCGGTAGTATTGCCTTGTCGTTCCCAGCTCTTCCTTGTCCACACCACTGGCTAGCACGCCGTGTGATGATAAAAACTGTGATTTAAAGGCATACATCCGTTTGCCCAAGTACTGTACTTCCGGAGATTCACGGGTGTAATTTCCGACTGAGCCCTCCTGGGCATTCAAGATATCCGTAGCCCGGCTTAAGCAGTAGAATTCTAGCAACGCAGCAGTCATCATATTTGCATGACTCCCAGTGTCGACATCGGGGATATCCTTTGCATCCGGAACCTCATGACGACGATAAGAAGAGCTCCTGCTTATGAGGGGAGGCTTCTTGGTGGGTTTGGCAGAAGGCTGGGTCGCACCTCCCACATGGTAGCTTGAGCTCGCAACCACATCCTTTTCACCTTCATCAGAACTGGATTGAGAGTCGGACGAAGAGAGCTCAGCTGCTGATCTGAACATTGACATGTTGCAGTCAGTAATTCGATTAATTGGTGGGAAATGCAACGAGTATCATCGGGATCCTGTCCGCCATATATATGGAAAGAAAGCCCCCAATTTTCCAGCAGCAGGAGAAAGAAGGCAGCAAAGAAACGAAAATAGTATCTCTTTTCAAAACGAGATATTCAATATAACCTGAGTCCAGTCCGGCGATCACAGGTAAATGTCTCTGCCTGTAACAGTTGGCTTCTTGCAATTCACCAATGCTGCAACGAATGAATCAAAGCTCGCACAATATGAAAAGAGCCTCTTTATGTAGCCTGGTACGTCTCAAAGTCGTGTTTGGCTGTCAAAAGATGCCACGGTTGTTCGACTGAGTTGGTTGGAAGAAGTCAATCAGCCTTGCTTCCATCGGTTTCTATATGCCATCTGGCAGAGCACATCCACGCGGGGTTGGATTAGAAAATTTGTGCCTATTTGAGAAAGAGCGTTTATTCCATTATAGCTTCTATTGTCCTGCAAGAGAGATCTCGCTTTCCATAGATCGATCGTTTTGCCCCGCGTCAAATGAAGGCGAAAACGCTTTTTCTGAGTCAGAAGCATGCCTTGTGGCCTCAGGCAATAACAGTCACGGACAGAAAAGCATTCATAGGCTCATAGATGCACAACTTCTGCCTTAATCTAAGATGGATTTACATCTGAATACCGAGTAGAACGCATTAGGGCAATTTCGTATGTTGATATAGGTCTATAGCAGCACAAAGGCGATGACTTGTTATACAACCAATCAAAGCAGCGGAAGTGTGCATAAAATGAATAACCTCTATGCATAAATGTACTTTGCGTCATTAGCAACGCGTGACACGTGACCTTGTCTCACGCGTAAAGGGTGTCACGTCAAGGCGCGAACGCGAAGGAGCGCAGTTGCCCGTGACGGAGCACTTGCGGAACAACAATCATTAAGGGCATTGGTGCTTTACAACCGTCATCTTAGGTGCTCCATTTGCTCTCTATCACCCGGATTTTTCTTCTATGAGTTGCCATCATGCCTGAAGCCGTGAAGCGGGTGCTGGGCGAAGCTACGAACAATCTCCGCAGTCCCTTGAATACGCCGGCTGCTATGAAGAAGCGCAAACTCGAAGCAGACGCTATCGTTAAGGTCAATTCACCGTCTCAAAATGGACAACGGAAGGCGTTTGGCTCGAGCCAGCCGCAGAAGAGTCAGTTTGAAGAGGAGGTGCTGGAAAAGTTGACACAAGATATCAGCGGATTGAAGGATTCGAACTCCGAGAAGGATCAACAATGGGAGCGGCCGCCGCTTGGGAAGTTTGATCCCACGAAAGAGAACATCTGCTTCCAGCAGATTGATGCCGAGGAAGGGACAATCATGGGTGGCAAGACGGCAATTCGGCTGTTTGGCGTTACAGAGGTATAGTTATTGCCTCGAGAAACTACTCGCGTTTTGCTAATAGGTTCCATAGGTTGGCCAATCTGTCTTGCTCCACGTTACCGGATTCCAACACTACCTCTATATCGCCGCCCCTGTGAACTTTACGAAAGAAGACTGCGATCCCTACCGGGCTTTCCTGGAAACCAAAACTGGTCTATTCCAAAATGCCATCCAATCGGTCCAGATCACGATGCGGGAGAACATTTACGGATTTCAAGGAAATCAGAAAAGCTATTACTTGAAGATCACGGTGACGGAGCCCAGATACATCACCAAGGTGCGAAGTGCGCTCGAGAACGGTGGCTCGAGTATGAACTACAAGGGGTTATGGAGTAGCTCGGATTCGGGGATCCTCACCTTCGATAATATTCAATATCTGTTGAGGTTCATGATTGATACAGACATCGCGGGTATGGCCTGGGTAGAGGCCAAGGCAGGAAAATACCATCTATTCCCTCCGAACGAAAAGCTGTCAACATGCCAGATCGAAGCAAGCGTTGACTATCGTGATCTTATTTCACACCCTCCCAACGGCGAGTGGGCTAAAATGGCACCTCTTCGCGTATTGTCGTTCGATATCGAATGTGCTGGACGAAAAGGCATTTTCCCCGAACCCAACCAAGATCCAGTGATCCAAATCGCCAACGTCGTCACTCGGTACGGTGAATCGAAGCCATTCGTTCGAAATGTCTTTGTCCTGGATACATGCAGCTTAATTGTTAACACCCAAGTTCTGGAGTTCGACAAGGAGGAGAAAATGCTCATGGCATGGCGTGACTTTGTGGACAAAGTTGACCCTGATGTGATCATCGGATATAACATTGCCAACTTCGATTTCCCTTATCTCTTAGACCGAGCGAAACATCTCAAATGTGCTGGATTTCCGTACTGGACTAGGTTAAGGGGTATTCAGTCGCAGGCCAGGGAAACCAACTTCTCCAGCAAACAGATGGGCAACCGCGACACAAAGTCGACAAACACGAACGGCAGAATCCAACTTGATCTCCTTCAATTAGTCCAGCGTGACTACCATCTTCGAAGCTATACGTTAAATTCGGTCTCCTACGAGTTCTTGGGCGAGCAGAAAGAAGATGTTCATCATACGATGATCACTGAGTTATTCAACGGGACACCCGATTCAAGACGCCGTCTAGCCGTTTATTGTTTGAAAGATGCATACCTTCCGCAGCGGTTGATGGACAAATTGATGTGCCTGGTCAACTATACCGAGATGGCAAGAGTTACTGGTGTGCCTTTCAATTTCTTACTTTCGCGTGGTCAACAAGTCAAGTTCATTAGTCAACTGTTCCGGAAGGCGTTGGAGCAACAGCTCGTTATACCCAACGCAAAATCGACTGATGAGCAGGATTACGAAGGTGCCACTGTCATTGAACCGGTTCGAGGCTACTACGGCGTACCCATTGCGACACTGGATTTTGCATCTCTATACCCGTCGATCATCCAGGCACACAATCTATGCTACACGACATTGCTGAACAAGACAAGCGTTGAAAAGCTTGGTTTGAAGAAAGATGAAGACTACATCGTCACTCCAAACGGCGATATGTTCTGTACGATCAAAGTTCGCAAGGGTCTTCTTTCACAAATTTTGGAGGAACTACTCACTGCAAGAAAACGTGCAAAGAAGGAACTTGGGGTAGAAACCGACCCGTTTAAGCAGGCTGTGTTGAACGGACGGCAGCTTGCCTTGAAGGTCAGCGCGAACAGTGTTTACGGTCTTACCGGCGCGACGGTTGGAAAACTACCGTGTCTGCCTATCGCTAGTAGCACAACTAGTTATGGTCGTCAAATGATTGAGAAGACGAAGCAAGAGGTGGAGGCCAAGTACACTATTGCCAACGGATATTCCCATGATGCCAAGGTCATCTATGGTGATACTGATTCAGTCATGGTGAAGTTTGGCGTGACCGAACTTGAGGATGCCATGAAGCTTGGGCAAGAGGCATCCGAATATGTCTCGTCCAAGTTCATCAAACCCATCAAGCTAGAATTTGAAAAGGTCTACTTCCCGTATCTTCTTATCAACAAAAAGAGATATGCGGGTCTCTACTGGACAAATCCGAAGAAGTTCGACAAGATGGACACTAAGGGTATCGAGACTGTCCGCAGAGATAACTGCCTGCTGGTTCAGAACGTCATCGAAATGGTGTTGAACAAGATCTTGATCGACCGGAACCTCGATGCTGCTCAAGAGTGAGTAAATTCACCGGTTCCTTCTGCGTCTTACAATCATTTGCTAACTAGAATTTGCAGATACGTCAAGGATACCATCTCGGATCTCCTACAGAACAAGGTCGACATGTCAAAACTTGTGATTACGAAAGCTCTTTCGAAATCCGACTATACGGCCAAGCAAGCACACGTTGAACTTGCGGAGCGAATGCGGAAACGTGATGCAGGTTCAGCACCCACTCTAGGTGACCGTGTCGCATATGTCATCGTGAAAGGTGCCGGAGGTTCAAAGAACTACGAGAAGTCGGAAGATCCTATCTTCGTCCTTGAAAACAACATTCCCATCGATACGAAGTACTACCTCGATAACCAACTCGCGAACCCTCTTGGCCGTATTTTCGAACCCATCCTCGGAGAGAAGAAAGCCAACCAGCTGCTTACCGGAGAGCACACGCGTTCAATTTCCGTTGCCGCTCCAACGCTTGGTGGTCTTATGAAATTTGCAAAGAAGACCCAAACATGTATGGGTTGCAAGAAACCCCTATCAGGCAAAGAAGAGATGGCAGGAGCTGTCTGTGAACACTGCCGCCCTCGTCTTGGTGAATTGTATACCAAGACGCTGACCAAGACATCTGACCTAGAGGTCCGTTTCGGTCGACTGTGGACACAGTGCCAACGCTGCCAAGGTAGTCTACATTGTGAGGTCATTTGCTCTTCCCGAGATTGTCCGATTTTCTACATGCGGATGAAGGCGAAGAAGGACGTGGAGGATTCGCAAAAGGAGCTGTCACGATTCGATTTTGATCCTGGTGCTTGGTAATTGATGAACTATTTGGGAGATATTTTGCATTTTATTTGATCATTGACTTGGTAATTTTCTATATTTGGCATGGCGCATTGATACTCTGATGGGTTGATGATTGAACCGGCGTGTTGGGATTGTGACATCTTAAAATACTGGCACTGTCATTGATTTGTATATTTGTACTATGTAGGTAGAATAATTCTTTGATGCTCATTTATTTTATAACAATCCAGAAGCATATGTTCAACTGCAAATGTCTTCCATGTGTACATGTACTCCGTACCTGCATTTGTCTCGGAAATCCGCAGCCAACTATGTACGCCGTGCGTGTGATATCCCCATTTGAACAGAACGAATATCATAAAAAACAAGCATAGAAACACATCAATCCAATCTAAGCTCCGTGTCAAGCATCACTGCTTCGATGTCCCTCTCAAGGGACCCAGGTATCGAACCCGCCCAGGCACCAATGCCGGCCAAGTCGTCAATGATATTGGACGGACGGTATTTCTCACTAACAAACAATAACCAGAGCATTAGAGACGACAAATATAAAAGAGAAGCAAGATGAAATACTTACCTCTCTGAGCTCTGCTCTTCGGTATGAGTAGTTCGGACGGGTACTTTCAAGGATGTCGGAGCCTCGCTGGTCCGGCTACTGCTCAGTGGCTCGAGAGCATGGTGACTGGTCGTCTCATTTGTGGTAGTTGATTGGGAAGATTGATGTTGAGTTTGGGTCTGAAGTTTAGAGTTACTATGTTGGTTGGTGCCTGGCATGATGAAGTATGGAGTAGTATAGATCTAAACTTGAATAAGTAACGACTAGAATAAAGGACTCGATGGAACCAAGACAATAGTTGAATGAATTTCCAATGTCCATAAAAATACCCAGGAGGCCCCAGTGGCGCAGTTCTCCGACGTAGTCCTTAACTAACTAAGAGGGAAAGAGTTGGGAACCAAAATTTTCAGGTTGAAACAAGGCATCTGTGTTTAACTATGTCAAGGCGCTAATGACTAAGCATCCCAGTTCGTAGCCTCGTAGGTGTGAAGCTGTACGGACGATACCAATTGATCCATTTCTCGGGCCAAATATGTACGTGGACGCCATATCCGGAACGGAGCTTACTGTCGGGTGTCGGCCTCAGCTCAAGCCTGTCGATATCCCGAAGTCTAGGGATGCGGGGCTTCTGACTGACGCTTTGGAGGATTGATATCATTCTGGGGCATCAGTGAGTCTCGATTAACTTTGTCTGATAGTAATGTTGAATTAGGTGTCTATAGGAAAATACTCCGTACTTTGTGTGCACCATACATGATCCGTAATGTGTATCCATCTTTGATCGTAGGGCCTCTGGTTGACTGGGATATAAGCGCGTGGATGGATGAAGACCGACAATATTATACAGAAAGCTTGCCATCTTCTAGTTTCTAAATATCTACTTGTACTATCTCGCTCCCAGGATTCCTTGTAGACGGGGTTCTGATCCAAAGGAGAGAGGTACTCCACACGGTGGGGCTGCCCGAGTTCGTCGAATCCAGGGATCTCCACCTTAATTCAACGACAGCGCTTCCTCAAAACCTGTCATCCATGCTGTATATCCACACGCAAACGATTATGAATCCGTCTGTTGAAGAAATAAACGAAAGCGAAAATGCAGGTGCTCCTGTGCAAGGCAGCAAGGCAGCAAACAGTCAACTATCGTGGCCTCAGGTGTGTTCGGGACCGCAATGGCGTACCGACGACAATGTGATTTACAGTAGCCACAGATATGTTCTCAACACGAATTCGTCCTTTCTTCACATTTAGATATGCTACAATCTGCGGGAAGACACGCCCAATCTGATGATAATATGTTCCGGACGATTTCTTCTATGCTCGACAAGACGAATATGTTGATGTCACAATTCCGCGTTGTCAAGAAACAGGTAGGCTGCTTCTCCTGGAGCCTGCTGTTTTTTCTTAGTGCCTGAGGCTAATATGAGACAGATGGATAGCGTAGGGGCAAATGGAAAACAATCCGCCTCTCAAATCGATGATGCGAACTCAACGACAACATCGGGATCAAATCCTCCAATTAGAAAAAAGAGAGCCAGGTCAGGAGACGCGAACGAGAATGGCACGGAATTGAGCAGGCTACAAGAAAGTCGCTCGCAAAAGCGAAAGCGCGTGGAAATTCTAGGAAACGACGAGGACTTGCGGAACACAACGCCAGTCTCTGCTGAAACAGAGGATATCTCTGAGGAGGTCCAGCGACGACTGTTGATCAAGGAAGAGCAGCGAAAAAAACGCAGTGCTAAGCCTGAGAAGCGGAAACGTGATAGAGATAGTCTTCTCTCGAACGATGGCATTTTGTCGCTGGGAGATGCAGCAAGGCCAAAGAAGAAGAGGCGAGAGGAACAGACAGGTTCTGACTGAGAGGACGAATTTCCACGCGAATACTCGAATTACCAGCACAATTGGAAAAATAATATATATAGTAAAACCGTTGGAACAAGCGGCGGACCGTGCATACTTTCAGGTACGGTTCCTATTTTTAACGACCACATGCCAGACATTGACTTTCCGCAGAAGAGTCACAACTATGCACATCAATAGCGAGCCAATCAATTCGAAGCACTTGACCTGTTCCTGGAGCTTGATCCATGGTCGACTATCCTGAGCATCCCGAATGGACCCTCCTGGCCTCTGCGACATTCTGCCGGTATGGGATTAGAACAGCTGCCTAGGCAGTTCCTGGGGGGGTATAAAGCTCGCTCAGCACCCCCGCTGGATTCCTTTTTTCTTTCTTCTCCATCTTTCGTCTCACAACGTAAGATCGGCGACTATTGCGTTCACAGCGTTTTATCTCGTCGTACCATCCCTTTACTGACATCTGTTAGCAGCAGAGCCAGTAGTATACATCTCAGCTTTCTCGTCATCGTATTCTCTCCCACCGAGACTCTTCGTAGAGAGCTGGTGGTATCCGTATTTCTTTTTTTGGTTCACAGAGACTTCTCCTTAAAAGAGAGCCTGTGGTTAGTAACCCCCGTATCACCCACTGAGACTACTCTTTTAAGAGAGCCAGTGGTATCCATATCCCCCTTGTCCTTCTATCCGCTTATTGTCGTCAGTAAGTTCACCATGAGCTTCACTGGCAACAACGGTTTCGGCCAACAGTGCGGTGCTCCGGCCCACGGATTCCAGAATGCACAGTTTAACCACAATGGTACTGGCATGGGACCGAATGGACACGGGCCCGCTAAAAACAAGGGCGGTCGTAAGAAGGTAAGTACAACTCGACTTCCTCTTATATTCAGACGAATACTAAACAGTTGTATAGGGCAACAACCGACGTGGCAAGCAGCACCCTGCTGTTCGTAACAACAACAGCAACCAGGGGCAGCAAGGCCGTCGGACCCAGAGAAGCCAGAACTTGAAACAAGGCCAGAACTTGAAACAAGGCCAGAACCAGCAACAGGCTGGCAACTGGACCGGCAACCAGTTCCAGGCTTACGACCAGCCCCAGAACCAGAACCAGAACCAGAACCCGAATGGGTCGAGACGGACTGCCAATGCCCCCGCTCGCCGCGGCCGCAAGAACAACCGGAGGTTCAGTCCGATCGTAAGTTTACCATCCCCTTTAACATTTTTATACGATCGATGCTAACCTTATTCTAGCCTGTCAATAACCAGGGCTTTCCCACTAGTCCCCGTGGCAGACGTGCCAATACCAGTCCCTGGGATGGGGATATTATGATGCGTGATGTACCACACATCAAGAAGCCTGGACGTCGCTCCGTTAAGGACGTTATTATGGTTGATGCTCCCTCGGTCGTCATGCAGCAGCCAGTAAGTTACCCACCCCTATGATATGCAATTTACCAAAGCAGATACTGACGTGTTTCTAGATCTGGCAGGAAGATGAAGACATGGCAATGCAGGATGCACCAGCACCCCCTGAGGAACAACCAGACTACCAGTACCAGTTTGACCTGGAAAGACACTTCCAACTTGGCTTTGAGCAACTTGCTCTGGAAAGACAACAAGGAAGGGAGCTCCTCGCTCATGGGGTCTTGGAAATGCAGAGACTTGCTGCATCCATGCTTCATCACGCCCTCCAGGGCAACAACTGTGCCGAGGTGATCACTCCAGACGCCATCATGACAGCTCATATGGCGGGTCTCTCTCTGGCGTAAACGACCAAGGGTAGCCTGGGCCCGGTCAATCGACAATAACGACAGCAAAAACTGGTAACAACAACCAATACCGACAACCAGTCTCGACAACAACGACAAAAAAAAACAATGGACGGAACGGCTACATCTTCCTTTCCGCCTGGTGTAGGCAACGGGTTACTGCCGGCAGTGACTACGACCTATTCCCACATAATTTACAGTCCACTATTCCTACAAAAAGAAAAACAAAAAAGGAGAATACGACCAAACGCCAAACAACAACAGCAACAAAACAAAAAAGGACTATCATCACCCAAGTGGTACCGACACCCCACCACTTTATCCCAAGCCACAAGGCCCCGGGCGTAATTGGCCTTACTACCCGGGGCAACACATAACTGCCTGCCACTATACCAAGCCTTATTCGGGTCAAGACGCTGAACATGAGATTCACCACGTACACGAGGGCACTCCACTCATGGGAAAAGCGAATATAGTATTTGAAGAAGATTTACGAAGTGGTTGATCAAACTATAAAAAGGACCTTCAACAATTACCAGGCAAAAAGCAAAAAGCAAAAGCGATAAAACAAATATCCACCTGATGACAAACCAAAGTACAAACAGAAGAAAAGCTGTCCAGCATATCCCACAAAATTTTCCAAGGAAATGTTCTCGAACTACCACTTGACTGCAGAAAACAGCTGGTCTCATTCCCCGGACCCCCGGATTAACATTCCACCCAAAACAAAAACCAGAAACAAGCAGCGTCTTGGGTTACCTAGCTCGGTCTGGAAAGATGCCCGTACAAGCCCCAGACCCTCACAGAAGGACTGCTAAGCGTCCCCCATAAAGGGATCCCGATGGGGATGATATGGCCGGGTCGCTTCTGTGGGACGAATAGGGATGGATAAAAAAAAAAAAAGTTAGTGGTACGTGCAGTTATGGGAGTCCTCGGAAATTTGACCGAGTTGACCAGGGAACATTACAATAACATCGGCAACAACAACAATTAAGTCCTCCCCGGATTTGAGCTGTTCCCGGGCTCAAAGGACATCATAAAGACAAACCAAACCTAATAACGGGCACTCGCAGCACTCGCCACCAAAGCCAACACTACCAACAAAGCAAAAACACACCCACTAAAACAAGCCTGGTGTTCTGCGGGTGTTCGAGTCGTTCCGTCCGTTCCGGCCGATCTGGAAATCACAAGAAACAAATAACATTACAAAAAGGTCCTCGCCGCAGTCTCAGGTTACCAAACTAATCCGGCTCTCAACCAGCCCCGGATGGTCCCCGGAAAGGCTCACCCGCATGTTCCAACCGCTACATACATGTGCCGAACAAAAATTGATTCCGGATCGGTCGGGTCAACTACATAATATATCGACAAATCAAACGAAGCCAAACGAAACATATCGAACAAGCAACTGTCCACCTTGATGACAGAGGCCGACAGCGACAACAACGACAGCGACAACAACGACAGCGACAGCAACCGACAACACAATTCTCGCCTATTCGGCCTGGTTCTGGTTCTACTCACCTTACCCTACAGGGCACTTCATATTCATATGAGTACTCTTCTCTATTTGACGTTTATCTCATGTTAAATGTGTCCATCCGGGGCGTCCAGATCTTGACACTCCGGATGGACATATCAAGTCTTGTACCACACATTTCCCATGTGGCCATTATGGCCCACAAACACCCACCCTATATCCGAATACCTCATACACCTTCAAATCCGAATCTCAGGAGCTATCGGGTGGCCGATGCTTGGCCGGCACCGGTCACCCAACACTCCAATAATCAAGCCCTAAACGGGCACAAACCACATTTTCACCACACCACTTGCATGTACGTCCTGGTTCAGGTTTTTGCCCTGTACATGGAAAACATGACAGTGGGTTTTCCCTCGGCCCTAGCTCGAATGGGGGGACATTTTTTATGTATCTTTTGTGGTGACTTGTCTATATTGTTGAACATACACATGTACTTGGGGACGAAATATTGCACACACACACACACACACACACACATTTGTTTTTGATTTTGGAGGATGGAAGCACTTTGGGAAACACACACACAAAGTTGAAGACGAAGAGTCGAACTGAGAACCGAATCGGGGAAGTTGAAGTTACATGTACCGGGGAAGATCAGATTGTGATTGTTGGTCCTGGTCAGGTTTTTACCCTAGACACGAAAGTGCAGGGGACGTTTCCCTTGATCCTGAGCCCGAATGGGGGGACTGTATTGGATTGGAGTTACTGAATACATTGCGCTTCCAACCCACATTTTCAATCGTAGGAGCGTAGAGCAACAGAAAGTAGATTGTATAGTAATACATGGATATCAACGCCGTCATATATACAAACCCGCATATTATACATCGTCTACGGCATCATCGTCAAAGCACTAAGTCTCACAGTGCCCTAGGCATCAACTTTTCGAACACCCAAATACCGCATCACTCCTTCGAATCACTATCCTTCTTGCCCCACGACCACACGTCCGAAACATACTCCTGAATCAAATCCCCATACCCCTTCCCCTCCGCCAACGCCTCCGCCTCCTCCCGTAACCTCCTCTGCTTCCACCCCTCCTCCTCCCCACCCATCCAAACCCTCTCCGCCATCCCCTTCTCCTGCGTCTGCCTAGTCCTCAGCTTCTCAATCTCGTCTTCACTCAATCCCCCATCCCGGAGCTGCTTCTCTCTGCTAGCCCGCACTCGCGCCTGGATTTCCTGCGCACGCTCACTAGGCAAACCCGAGATGATCGCCGAGTGCCGCGAAAGGCGCGACTCAAGCCGGTCCATGATGCTGCGGCCTGTGCGTTCGTGGGTTAGGTGGTTTGCGGAGACGCAGAAGGCACCTGTTAGGAGGACGGTGAGGTGGTCTAGTTTGCGGGGGGGTAAGGCGATGAGGATCGGGGAGGTGACGAGGAAAGTTAGGGCGGCGTAGTTTTTGAAGCGCTGGTAGTCGGCTTCGCGGCGGGATTGGATGTCTTCGGTCATTTTCTTTGGTTTTGTGTTTAGTTGATCCAGACGGTGGGTTTCAATTGTTCAATGTCTGATTGGAGGATCTTGTGGCTGAATGTTTATCTGTTTATCGGAGGGTCTGATCTTGCACTTTGCGGTTGAAGCAAAATTTTACGGCGGGCCATGCGGCCAGTTGTGTAGTCACGTGATCTTTGAGCAAATAAGCATCGCAAGGTTAGTATTATCTTTTTCCTCCATCTCCCCCCCCCCCTCTCTACACCCCATTTTCTCATTCTTCAATAGATTCTCCATGCGATATCAGGTTGATACCTGACACTCCGAATAACCGACAATAGACCGCTTATGATTGGCCACATCTTTGCGCAAAACAATGCATAGCTTGACCAAAGCTTAGCGTCAGCCCTGTGGACTCCGACCCACGTGGTTCCACTGCCAAAATGGAGTTGCCTGTTTATTACATCCGGATGAGGGATAGCGGGTGATATGCTGGATTGTGTGGGAACACGTCGACGGCATGCAGATTTCGGAGGATCGGGGGAGTATACGAACACGGATGCTTGTCGGAATGGAGAGACAGGAAATGGCAGTGAGTGAATAAAATAGGTGGGATGTGTCCAGTGGGGATCAGGGTGGATGGGATGGTGCCCGGTGGGGTGTTGTTATGGCCAATAAGTCGGGCATGAGGAATCAGCCAGCCACATGACATGACCGGTTATGCTCATGGAATTGGGGCATTGAGGCGTTTCATTCCGATTCCGAGGATGGATTCAGGTTGTCACTTCATTGGTATATATTGAGGCCTGCTTCCCTTTTCTCACTCTCTTCTGCCATCCTACATCCCATTTATCCCTTCCGCCGGTCCCTCGCTCACCAGCTCAAAACACTATTCGACAAATACACAATGGGCCTCTTCGACTGGTTCAAGTCTTCCAAGCAGGAAGATTCTTCCCAGCAGCCCACTTGGGATCCGAACACCATGACTATGAACCAGCCCTCCAGCCCTTCGGCTCCTACAACTGAGCGTGTCGTAACTCAGCAGCCGGTATGCTTGTTTTAGGACATTTCGATCTGCAACTCGATCTAACTGTCAGCAGAATTCGCAAGAAAACGTGCAGACGAACCTGCGCGGTGGTGCCGGTGCCGGGGATATTTGCTGCGGAGTGTAAGTTACTCCTCTGTTTCATCAGAGAAAGTAGGCTAACGGAAATAGCTGCACTGGACTTCTGTGCTTCGAATGCTGTGAAGACTGCTGCTAGACGAGATATTTATACGAATTTCTATACCCTTTGTATATATCGATTGTCGATATGCTTGATGAAATATGAAATTATTTATTTGTTATTTTTTTTGTCGGTCATTCCTAAATGCTATCAAAACTGCTTTTCTTTTCCGGATGGCACAGTGTAGACTTCGACTTGTAGAGAATAACGAATCCACTTGTAACCGGGTAGCTGTAACTGAAATGTGCTTAGCACTCACCACTCCACCTGACGAGTACTGTTGGTGTCCAACTTGCCGGCTTCGTACTTGATGGTTCCGTCGTCATTGTATCCCACGGCTTGAATCAGTCCTCCGCTCACTTCGTCCATGAACTGGCCGTAAACGTCCTGCTCGTTGATTGCGCAACGCACGCTGGGCGATTCGCAATGGGCAACCAAGGCAGCGGCACTCTTGAAGATCTTGAGGCATCCGGGGCACCTGCAGGAGTATTTCATTTAGCGTGAATCAAGAGTCTAAGGCGAATAGGCAATACATACTGGGCGTTGCGCTTCGCTTTGCTTTTCATCAAGACGTGCTCCTCGAATTCCTTCATGGTGGGAAAGGACGAGCCGCAGGTACAAACGTACTTCCCAATGAACGAGTTAAAGAACTTAGTGGCATCCCATTTATCGTCCAATAGGCGAAGCGTCTGACCGGCCTCCGGCGTTCCAGCACCGAAGGAACCTTTTCCGCGAGTGGGGGGGGCTTCCACAGTCGACGGAGGTTCCTCGTTATCACCAGCATCCGAAAACGCCATCAAGTCACACATAGGCATTCCAAATGTCGCTTGTCCTCTGCTGTCTCCCAGCGCGGGCCAGTGCTTCAGCGCAAGCATAGCATCCACACTCGCAGTGGGGTCATCTCTGCCCGGCTTCGGCTGATACGCCATTGCCTGACGGTTCTCGAGATCCAGAAAGTTGATCTTCACGCCGCCATCGATGTCGTCAAGATCGGCTGGGTTGGGGATGACGGGCATCGGGGGTCCTTCACCGGCTTTCAGGGCTTCCTTGATCATAAACTTCTTGGACTGCTCCTGAAGCAGACGGGTCTGGCTGATGACGCTGCACTCGTTATCCTCGATGTGCTTCATCAGTCCAGCGGCACTCTTGAAAATAACCTTACAGCCATGGCAGATCAGGTGCTGTTCCGCGCGGTGGTTCTGTGGGTGGTTGAAGCTCTGCGTTAGTACTCTACGAAGATCCTGCGCCGTGACGGATCGTGCCTACCTGGCGAATGTGGGCATCACGTCCTCCCTCACTGCGGAAATCAATTCCACAGATAGGACAGACAATGTGTTTGTTCTCAGCCTGGAGCTTGTGGATGAGGTGACGCTCCTCATCTTCGAAGTCGAGATCACACTTGGCACAGTAGTCGTGCAAGGGCTCCATTTCCTTGTGCTTTTTCATCTCTTCGACTGAGGCGAAGAGGGATTTACAGTCATCGTAGGTGCAGGGGATCTTTTTCTTTGGACCTGGTCGATACATCCTTGGCCGTGGTTGCGGGATGAAGGTGTTCCTAAAGGCGTAGACACTGGATACGAAGGTGGATGAAAAAAAAAAAAAAGAGGAAGTTGACTAGATGAGGTAGAAGAGAAAAAATAGAAGAGGGGCTGTAATGGATTCACCTGCAAGTTGTTCTGGGAAGAGTGAAAGCAAAGAAGTTGGAAGTTTACATTGTATGTGACTACAATGGGAATAACTTCATCTGCTCAACTCACTGCGGGAAAGTGAAAGAATTTGTCTTCTTACTGTAGCCTGCCTACAAAATAGGGGAAGTACCGCAAATATAGAAATAATTTTTGGCTACTACAGCTTTCTTCTACAACCTTATACTTTTTCTTGGGCAAGTTGGCGATTCACCGTCCAGGGCTGTAGGGTCTGTCCGAATATGGTTCCAGCTTTGGTTCTGTCCCCTAACATCGTTCTAAATATAAATCGACATGGGAAGAGTCAAGAAACTAGGTTAATGAATGCATTTGGAGACGCGCCTCTCTAATTTGAGGTAACTGTCGGATCATTTTCTCTAGTTATTTTGGCCTTGTAGGGTCAAATATATATACACTCGGATTTGCCACTTCCCCAAAGAACACGAAGCGCAAATTACAAGTAAAAGGCAAATATAAGCTACATATCTATATCTACTACTGTATTCTAGACCTCTAAAGGTGCTTCTTATGTTGTTGTATACATCTGTTTACTCTATTTGGCGACGATGACATCACACCCTTATCGGGTTAGCGCATGTCTTATCACGTGGAGATATGCCGCATACCGTAAAGAGACGCCACCCCAGCCTCGATCCCACGCCATGTTTTGCTAGCCAGTTGAGTCATTTCTGAACAGCTCGAGCTAGCTACTAAATAGCAGCTCAGTCCAAACATGGAGAGCTTCGACGAGGTATCCCGCGCCCGGGATCCTCAGGAGGAGTGCGTTGCGGTCAACAACGATCCCTCCAAAACCCCGTCCGTTACAGATAGCAATGCGCCAAAGTCCATACCAGGGCCGTCCATCGCAACTTCGGATGATTCTGCTTCATCGTCCATGGCGAACAAGGCACCTACAGAAAAAGAAGGTTTAGCACATCCAGAGGATCCACAGCAAGAGATCTTCAAACCGTCTCCGGATCCTTCGCCGTACGCGCCCTCAACGTATGGTTCCTCGACTGGGATACAGCTGAGTGAAGATGAAGGTGCTGGTGGGGAGGATGAAGAGCCTCATATTGCAACGTCTTTCCAGCGAGATTCCACGCCAACTTCGGCACAGAGGCGACTATCTGTGTTCTATGATACTGGGAGTGAAGGTATCAATCGCATGCACAAGTTTTCTCTATACGAAACTGCTAGTCGATTTTATATGGTTGGGATGGATTTGTCGGACACCCGTTTCAGAATATTGAAAATCGACCGGACATCAGAGACCGGTGACTTGAGCGTTGCAGAAGACGACATTGTTTATAACAAGCGGGAAATGAGTCAGTTATTGGACGCCATTGACGACGGGAATAAGAGCTCTGGAGGACTGAAGTTGAAATGCAGTGCATGGGCATTGCTGGGATTCATCCGCTTCACCGGTGCATACTACATGCTTCTCGTGACGAAGAGAAGCCAGGTCGCTATGCTAGGAGGTCATTACATCTACCAGGTTGACGGTACAGAACTGATTTCCTTAACAACCTCGTCATTATCGAAAATAAAACCGGAGAAGAACCACGAAGAAGCCCGGTATATTGCAATTCTGAACAACCTCGACCTCACCCGCTCGTTTTACTTTAGTTATTCCTACGACATCACACGAACACTGCAGCACAATATCTGCCGCGAACGCAAGGCCAATCAGGATGGGCGGCCCAGTAACTATTCCCAAGACTACAACACGATGTTTATATGGAACAACCACCTCCTCGATCCGGCGCTGTCAAACCTCAAGAGACCATGGGAATGGTGCTTACCAATTATCCATGGCTACGTCGATCAAGCAAAGCTCTCAGTATATGGACGGCACGTCTACATCACGATCATCGCTCGCCGGTCTCGGTTTTTCGCAGGAGCTCGGTTCTTGAAGCGAGGTGCTAATGATGTAGGATATGTCGCTAATGATGTTGAGACTGAGCAAATTGTGTCAGAACAGGCGGCAACATCCTTCCATTCGCCAGGTCCGGGGCTCTATACAAGTCCCCTGTATACCTCGTATGTCCAGCACCGTGGAAGTATTCCTCTTTATTGGACTCAGGAAAATTCCGGCGTTTCACCAAAACCGGACATTGAACTGAACCTGGTGGACCCCTTCTACTCTGCAGCGGCTTTGCATTTCGACAACTTGTTTGACCGGTACGGTGCACCAATCTACGTTCTGAATTTGATCAAAGCGAGGGAGCGAACGCCGCGAGAATCCAAACTTCTGAAAGAATACACCAATGCCATCAATTATCTCAACCAATTCCTTCCAAAGGAAAAGAAAATCATTTACAAGCCATTCGATATGAGCCGGGCCTCGAAAAGTCGTGACCAAGATGTGATCGCAACACTCGAGGATATTGCAGGTGGCATAGTCCCCAAGACCGGCATTTTCAAAAACGGCTATGATGTAGAATCAGGACTACAATTGCAGAACGGTATTGCAAGGACCAACTGCATCGACTGCCTTGACCGCACCAACGCTGCTCAGTTCGTGGTTGGGAAACGCGCACTTGGCCATCAGCTCCATGCTCTAGGTATCATCGAGGGCACGACAGTGGAGTACGATACTCATGCTGTTAACCTCTTCACGACGATGTGGCACGACCATGGTGACACAATTGCCATCCAATATGGTGGATCACATTTAGTCAACACCATGGCGACATACCGCAAAATAAACCAGTGGAGCAGCCATTCGCGAGACATGGTGGAGAGCTTCAAGCGATATTATAACAATTCGTTCCTCGATGCTCAGCGTCAAGAAGCATACAATCTCTTCCTCGGTAATTACATTTTCTCCCAGGGACAACCGATGTTGTGGGATCTCTCTACGGACTACTATTTGCACCACGCAGATCCGCGGTCCTGGTCAAATAGAAAGCGACCAAATTATATCTGCTGGTATACGCCGGAAAACTTAAAGCAAAAAGAGATACCACCTCCGCCCCAGCGGCCAAAGGAGCCTTTATCGTGCTATGATGATTACTGGCTTGAATACTATCGACCGCTGGCCATATCGTCATTTCCGAAAATCTTCTCTTACAGACTGAACTCCAACAAGCATCGATGTCCACCCCTCCGTTCCGGTCTCAGTCCATTCGACGTCTGGATTCCACATGAACAAGTCAACCGAGAACGACATCCACAACGAGGCGTCAAGATTCAAGAACCATCCGACGACTCCACGCACACAAACACATCAAGCCCCCAACAAAACTGGCAATACCAACAACCCTCCGCCGAAAAACGCCCCCCAGCAGGCGGCATCATGAAAGAACCCCGTCTATTCACCAAAAACTCCCCATCCCACGACTCCCAATCCCAATCCCAACTACCCTCAGCACCCAGCAAGGCCCAAATCGCCCAATGGACACTCGGCCAACTCGTAACAGACTCCCTAAACCCCTCCGTCAAACCCGCCGAAGCCGAAGAATACGCCCGCTACATCAACCACCCCCTCAAAGTGCCTCTCGTGGTGACATCTGAAGATGAGTTGACCGCTCGTGAGAAAGGCGGGTCGAGTCTGGATTTGCTTGAGTATGCGAATACGTGCAATGTTGAGGAGGGGACGTTGGAGGCGAATGCGGAGCAAAATGTGGAGGATTATTTGGAGTTTTTAGATGTTTCGGAGAGTGGGATTTCGGTTGCCAAGGAGGATTATGAGAAGAAGAGGTATAAGAGGTATCGGCAGTGGTTGAGGGGGAAGAGTTTGTTTAAGCAGAGGGTTGATCTTTAATTCTCATTCTTGAAAATTGGTTATGTGTTATGAGTACTTAGTTTGGAGATACCCTGCATTTGTCTATAGCATCCATTGAATATGCATTTAGATTTCATCTCAGATTAACAACTAAAGTAGCCCCCATCATCCGGGCCAATCTCATCCATAAGCAGCTCCTTAAGAACATCATCCGCGTCGACCAACTCCCGCATCTCATCCCAAATCTTCTCCTTCGCACCCAACTGTCCCTCATCCCCCTCCGCATCCACAGGATTCTCCAACGCAAGCTTCAACAAATAGACAACGCCCCTAAGCTTTTTCTTCAACACTCCCAGAACCTGCCCTGCTGACTTATCACCTTCTAACCCGCGCCCCTTCTCCGTTCTCTCAGTAATCTCCCCCTCTTCCTCAACCGCATACACCCAGCACGCGCACAGGCCACCAAGTATCTCTCCACGCCATCTCCATAGCCGCGGATGCGCATTCAGAATCACAGCACGCATTGCGGCCACAGACGCGAGGAGGAGAGGGGCATGTGCGGGACCGAATGGGTTGGAGAGCGTGCTGTACAGGACGGGAATGATTTCCTGGAGGTACTTCGTGGTGTGGATTCCTAGTTCCGGCAGGATATTGTGTAGCTGGTTTACCAGGAGCGTGGAAAGGCGTGGGTGGGGGAATGATGCGAACGAGGATGTCGAGGTTGTGCTTGTTGAGCTGATATGATGGAATGAGGGGATGATATGGTCGCGGAGGATTCTGGTGACACCGGTAATATATGTGTTTTTATCTTCTGTTTTCTTGTTCGTCGGCATGGACGGGAGTTGGTAGGCTGTTTTCAAGACAGAAAGAAGGGCGGGATAGGCGACTTCGAGGAGTTTGATGGAGTCGTCTTCTGGTGTGATTGTTGGGAGCGAGAAGAAGCATTGCTTTATGGCGTCTTCGAAGACAGAGGAGAGGTTTGTTCGCCGGAGGATGTCAGATTCGCTTTTTTGGATTGGTTTGAGGAATTGTAAGAGGATGCTACAGCCGCGAGACTTGTAGGCTAGATTGTCGTCGTCTATCAGGGACAATGTTGGGGGTATGAGGAGCGGGAAATGTCTTTCCAGATACCCTTTGTCATTGGACTGAATCATTGTTAGCTCATGCCTGAAAGTGTTCGCCAGGGGGACGTACATGATACTGAGCAATAACCCACTCGAAAACCGTGGTAGCATAGGGATTGTGAACCTTCCACGGCTTCGACTCCGGATCCAAAATACTCGTGTCAAAATGACCCAAAGGTACAGGATGGAAGTTCTTCCGGCCAGCATCTGTGATTGCCGGATTCCTCGTCTTAGCAAAGAGGGGCTTTATTCTCTCTTTCAGGACCTGCTCGACAATAGACCAGAAAGAGCGGCTCTCTTCTGTACGAAGCTTTGTAGTAAAAAAGTGCAGTGCTTCCTTTGCCTTCGTAGCACTTGCGCTTGTAGTCCAAGGATCGTTATCAGACGTGAAGCTTGCCAGTGCGATGACGATATCCGACTTGTTGGCAGCTTTCTCAATGGGTAACAGAGCAGCCAAAGATGAAAGAACAGAAATAGCGATAGTTGACTTGAGTCGAATAGCCTTGACTACCTCCTTCTGCTCTGTTATTGCAGCGTATCAGTCATGCCTGTGTGCAAGAAGACGTAATGAAAATACCCACCTTTTGATATACCCTCCGGATCAGAGATATTACCAAACACAGGACCAGGAAGCGCTGCATCACTAGCCCACTCATACAGGTAGTTCATTACCTCCTCATCTCGGTCCGGTAGACTCTTCGAGTCCCATCTATCCAGAAATCCTTGGGCGACAAGGAGGCCTTCGCTGATCTGAATGCATTGTCAGAGAAAACCCAGGCTAGCAGGGACACGTAGACTTACCTCTGCATCGCTTTTTGAACTTTGAGGCGATAAATCTCTCCATAATGGACCTAATGAATCGGGGAGTGCGATGTTGTCTGGGAGAGTAATGGCTGGGAGGTCGTTGGCATCTGGCTGTTGTTGGAGGGACTCACGTGCCGCTTTGCGAAGTTCTTCCATGACTAGACGCGGCGAACGTCGTTTATAGCTGCAACAATTGATTTAACAATGTAAAAATAGTGTTGTTCTATAATTTAAAGAAAACAAAAGTGTAGGTGTTAATGCAGCTTATAACGAAGAGATATGTGGGCGGGAGATGAAAATTTGGAGAAGCGGATAAGTTACTGCTGATGTCTATACCAAGGGATCTACGGAGTAATAACAGACTATTCGAACTTTTCTTTCATTTCCTCGTAGCAAATAACTATTTTGGCGGAGGGATACCTAATTCTTCTCGTTGACTTGAGAGAGCTTCCAAGATCTTTTCCTTCTCTGTGATCTCTGGATGCAGGAGCTGCCACTTAATCGCCGCATCGATGACTTTACTCATCCATGGCCCTTTCGATACCTTCATATGCTTCATGATCTCGTCTCCGTTTGCGATGGGCTTCATTTCGCATACCTCTTTGAGGTCCTGCTTCACCATGTATTCCAGAAAAGCGTCATATTCTTCAATAACTGCACCGGGCAGGAGTGAGCAAGTCGTCTTCCAGACTGTAGAACGGGAAAGGATCTGATGTCTTACCTTTAGAGAAATCGCGTCCCTGCATGACTTCCTGAAGAATACTCAAGACAAACTGAAGTCTCCATTCCTTTCCCCATGACCGCATGTGTAGACCAACTTGCTGTCGAATTTCCGCAGCCGTGCCGCTCAGGCGCTCCTCCAGAAGCGATGACTTGACGTCGATAATGCTCTTCCAATTATTCGACGAGTCCCGCAAAAAATTGATGGTCTTGTTGTCCGAACGAAGACTGTCTCTGGCAACTTCGGATGCGCGTGGTGGAAGCGGTTTGGCTTTTTTACCCGAGGCTATACGTGTCGGGACACTGGTCCAAGGTGCGAATGCAGTGATGACCCATGCATAATAGCTTTCTGACTTATCACGAATGAGAATGCTCCGTACGCGCTCGACGGCGTCACTGCTCTCTGCGCCCGTATGTAGCAATTTTTGAAAGGTATTGTATGCAAGAGCCCAGGATGATGTTTCTGCCTGGACATCGTCTTGATGGTTCGCGAATATTGTAGTATAAAGTCCGATACGATCGATGAGATCCAGTGCGCCTCGGGGATCAGGTCCTATACTTGGTGAGCATCATGAGTTTGCCAAACAATCCGTGTCATCAACTTACCTTTGAGCATCTTTTCCAGCTCCGTTCCAACACGCTCCTTGCTGATTTTTAACTTGAGAGCTTCACTGATCTCGCTATTCTGCATCGCTTGTTTTGTATCCTCATGGATTCGGTATCCCAACCGGCTGGCAAACCGGATCAACCGTAGCACACGCAATGGGTCATCTTTGAACGTCTGGAATGGTTCTAATGGAGTACGAATGATCTTATTCTGCATGTCACTCCAGCCGCATCCTGTGAGGTCCTCCACCTTGGACTCATTAAGGTTGTAGAAAAGCGCGTTGATTGTCGCATCACGGCGCAATGCGTCTTCCTGTGCCGTACCAAACTCCATCTGCGGGTTCCTGCTGTCCTCCGAGTATGTCTCCTTTCGCAGATTGACCAGGTCGATTTCGAGACCAAAGATCTTTGTGGCCACCGTCTCCAAGTGTTTCGACTTCTCGGGGTTCGCTTCGATCTTGTGTAAACTGACAATGGCCTCGCTCAGCTCGCCGTTCGGGTGGTTCCTCCTGTACTTGTCCAGGTTCTCCGGGGTATCCAAGTATCCCTTCAGAGCCATACCAAACTGGTATCCTGTCATCGTACTGATTCCCACATCGATGTCATTGCTGTCCACGCCTAGCAGCTTGTCTCGCACCCAACCCCCAGTGAACCGCAGCTCGGTCTGCGGGAGGTCCTCGCTACCACCTTTTGCAATTTCTTGTTCACGGATATAATGCGCGACATCGAGGAGGAGCTCTTTCAGGGTGTTCTCGATCGGAGTAAGCTGTACGGTGGGCAGGGCCTGCGCGTTCTGAGTCATGGTGTCGTTGGTATTGTAGGAAATGCGTCTTCGCTTGTGTATTTGTGCAGAAGGGCTCGCCTGGACTTTGCGACGACTCATAGGCTGGTATGCCGCAGGTCGATAGTGTCGCACAGGTATGGGCGATGTGGTTGTTCTCAGCAAACAGTGTCTTGGAGGGGCAGGTAAGCGGGACAATGTGCTGAGAACACAGCACTGGCGACACTCAACGAGAAATCGGACAGTCTGGGGTCTCAGCATATAATTCAGCCATAAGTTAAAAGCGACAATCGCGTATAGAAGCCCACTTTATGAATTGGAGCTGGGGCAAGAGCAAGAGAAAACATCCAGAACTGTCAAGGAAGCCGATCCAGAAGATCACCGCCTTCTGCCTTCTTGGTATGACTCTTCCTACATTGTGTCATACGCCATAAAAAGAAGAGACGAAAGGTGTCAAGGCATAGAATTGATCTTTCGACTCCATACAGATCCAGTGGTATAATTATTTCTGGCCATGGTGGATTTGCGCTGTCATTTATGAGCCGCTTGTTTTCTGCCACTTTGACTTGACCCATGATCTCAACGGCCTCTCCTCCATTCCTCCAACATCACCCCCTCCTATAGCTTGATTCTATCGCCCTGACCGTCCCATATCCTATTCTCACGGCTTCTGCCAGTCGATGGGCTCTACGGTTTCGTCTTTCTTCTTTGAGTCCTTATCAGAATCCATCCGGTGTCCATGACATCGCCCGGAGATGCTCCTCCGGTCAAACCTCCGCCGTCCTTCTCCCCCGGCGTGCCGCGTGTCGCATCCAAGGCAAGATACCCAGACCAACGCCGCGATTCCTCTCCCGCTCTAGATACTGCTTCGGATTTGGCGGGGTCGAGGATTGACACCTCCCCGACCCCGCCGCTCTCAGCCTCGACCGCTGACCTTCCGATCCGGATTGCTTCGCCGCACGCGAGATCTGTGAGGTCGATTACACCCCAATTAACACGGTCAACGCTGGGTTCGCCGCTGGAAGGACGGTTTGAGGGTTCCGAGGATACCAGGTCTCTGATCGCGCGCTCGTTCTCTCCTGTGGTCGCAGTCTACGCTTCCGCGGATACCGATGAATTGGTCAGGCAGAAAGGTTTCAAGGGAGGTTTCTGGGAGTTGATTCGACCTTTCGGGGAGGATGTTCATGGGAAGGTTGTTATAAGGGATATAATCGGGGCAGGCCATGGTTGGGAGGATTATGGGGTTCATTTCGTGGATTTAGGGGGAGTGGTACAGAATCGGAGTCCGGGTCAGGATTCGTCTCCTCTGGCGCAGGTGGAGGAGGTACTAGAACAGCAGCTTAATTCAGCAGATGGTCCTCTGGTAGGGTCAGCGCAGCCGAATGATGTCCTGGGTATGCCGACAACGTCCTCGATATACAAATTCTTTTTACGTCAACTCCTATCTGCTTCCCCCATGAGCTCGCATGAGACCTTCCGTCATCCGGTGGCATGCGTGATTGCGATCAGTTCGCGCAATACCGCTCCGCTTGAGTCGCTCAGACAGCTATATGCAGATACGAGCAATGGCGATAAAAAGATGCCGCCTTGGATTCATCCTGAATTCCTTCGCTACTATGTTCTGGTCCATGATGAGGATCGTGATGATATCACGGAGTCGACTAAACTTTACGATCAAATGAAGCGGCATTTTGGGCTCCATTGTCATCTTCTTAGGCTTCGAAGTAATCAATGCGTCGTCACGGATGATGACAGCGTTCGGGTACCTGAATGCGAATGGCTATCGCCATCAGAGCATCTGCGAGGAGTGGGCCAAGCAGGTAAGTCAACACGTTATCCGGCTCGACTACTATATACTGACAATTTCCCATTATTTAGAGCTCTTAGTCGATTTGGACGCAGACGGTGTCCCCTACCTTTTCGACTCTGATGTTATGGCCATTAAGACATTCGTTCGGGAACTCGTGGCCCAATCGGTGATTCCATTCATGGAAAACAGAGTCGCCGTCTGGAACGACCAGGTGGCATCCCGAAGGCGTGGTCTTAGTGGACGCTTCATGTCTTTATCACGACGATGGACTGGGTTTGGAGCTGGCTCTAGATCCAGTTTCGCAGGTTCTGGGTCAGGCGGAGTGAGTGGGAATTACGATGCAGTACATGGGTTCTACAAACCTGATACTCCGGAGGCAATACTACGAAAACTGGCCGATTTTGCTTTCATGCTCCGTGATTGGAAGCTGTCTGCATCGACATATGAGCTCGTGCGGTCAGATTATGGCAACGACAAGGCATGGAGATACCATGCTGGCGCTCACGAGATGTGTGCAGTGAGCATGCTTCTCAATCCGCTTGCAATTTCAGGCAAAACCAAGCTCGAAACTGTTGATCAGATGCTCGAAACAGCATGCTACTCCTATCTCACAAGGTGCTCTGACGCAACCAATGGCCTACGCTGTCTCACTTTGGCCATTGAACTCCTCAAATCACGCGGGGGCTCAGCAACAGAGAGTGCAACCCGATGGGCCATGCGGGCCATGGACATAGGGTTAGTAGGCTCGATTGGCCAAATCCTCTTCAGCGAGAGAGTGTCAGCATGCTACGCATCCAAGATAGGGTTAGGATCAGGCGTGTGGAAACAGGGGTCACGGCGCAGAAAAGCTGGGATGTGGAGTGTCTTCGCCGCGGACCTCTGGCTCAAAAAAGGGAAGCCAGCACTGGCCTCTGCATCTCTGGAAGAGGCTGAACGTCTTTACGCCGATGTCCTTGATACAGACGGCGTATTCCCCATGCCGGAAATGCAAAGCTTCATCGACAACTTAAGACATGCAATCAGGATCCAGTATCTCGGAGCCAGAGGGTTAGACACCGATGAATATGCAGATGACAGCACAGCGCCGTTGGAGACCCAGGAGACTGAAGAAACAAGCGAAAAACTAGACAAACGCAGCCACCGCAGATCGCTTATGGGTATCCCGAGTTCGACGGATCCTGGGAGTCTCAATCCGCCGCCGGTGACGAGAGAAAATGAAACACCGTCGCATGATGATTTTGAACGAGCTTAGCTTAGGGATTTCTCTGATTTGAGAGGGTGTATTTCGGCGTATGATAGGAGTATAGTTTATATAATCTTGGGTGAATGAATGCTTTTCATCGAGTATTTGCGGTCTCGGACTCTACACTTTTTTATTGTACTATCGGTTGGTGAGATGGCAACAGTCTGGCTCTACTGGGCAGAGATGGGGAATCTACGTTCTAACCTCAGCAAATACATTGCTGACTTGGGTAATATGCAATAGGATTAGTGGCTAGTTCGTTCCCTTCACCCCAAAGGCCAATCGAAGCTCGTGGTCGTATTTCTCTTTATCAGAGAGCTTCTTTGCGACGAATTTCCCTGCATTCTTCGCCCAGAAAAAGGGCATGATCTCACCTATTTCCTCTGGTTTGTGCTTGGAGAACCAAGGCTGCTGGATGTGTTTGTAGAATAGCTTGAAGAGACCTGTCGGGCTGGTGATAGCCAGGGTATACCAGAATGTCCCTCTCGACCAAGCATCTTCCATGACTCTGGACAATCGTGGCATCGTTTTGTCCGCGGGAATTTTCCTCTCCTCAGTCGCCATCACGGCCATTAACTCCGTACGATGGGAGTCATATTCTTCTGGGTCCATGGAGTCCACGGGTTTATTGGTTAGCCAGTATGGAGGCTCAACCATCTCAATTGGCCGCGAACATGCCCATTCCAGGTCGACCAAGCATGTAATATGCCAATCGTCATCGACAAAGATATTGCTCTGATGAAGATCTGTTAAAGAAAAGACGAAAGGGCCCCGGCAGAGTTCTCGACGAAAGAATAGTGGTAGTGTCGTTCGCATTCCTGCCAGTGCTGACATTTGATAGCCAGCATCCGGTACGTTCAACACTGCATTAGGCTGGTTCTTGAGGCGGTTGTCGTGGACTCTTAGTAAATCGTATAGGTATGATTCAACTGTGGAATATGTGAAATCGCGTGGCATGTCGGTTGGGATTCTCTCGTTTTCCAAGCCCTGGATCTCAACTGACACTGGACGATTGCTTAAAGAGAGATACCCGTCACTGTTTATGACGAATGAGCCGATTCGTGGTAATGGTATTCGGCTGATGCTTAGGAGGATTCGTGAGAGGTCTTGAAAGAAGTTGGTCCGTAACTCTATGTCGTCGTGTTTTTTGAACCAGGTTTTTGAGAGCATGGTTCCTTGACATTCCTCGATCTTCTCGATCAATATATACCCAGCTCCGATCACGCCATCGAGAGAACTGTGTCTTCTGCTCAAGGAGCGAACATATGATGTGGGTATGGGGAAACCAAGCCAAGACAACAATTGACGGCGTAGAAGCTGGAACCAGCGGCTTATAGTGGGCAGGAACTCAATCCGAGTGAACTTGATTGGCCAGGTTAGTAAATATTATGAGCTGCAAAAGGTAGCTGGCACTATACAGTTTCACCACTTGACATAGCAAAGCCGTATAATTGTGGAATAGGCACATCCGGACAATTCTCTTCAAGCCATGCATAAGCACCAGCCTCACACTGGATCTTCTCGTCTCCATTTCCAGGTCGAAATTCCTCTCCAACACGGTATGGAAGAGGAAAGCGGATTAGGACGTCGTTCCCTAGCTGCTGCCTGTCCTTCCAATCACTGATAGTAACTGGGATACAGACATTGAAGCTGCCGCAGTACCAATTGTCGATATCTGCGACATGACACACTTTGGTTGATTTCAGACCCAGATGCTGAGCAACAACTCGCTTCATCCATGCTCGTCTGCTCTCGAGATGAGCAAAAAATCGGTCCCGCTTGTCATAGTAGTCCAATTGGTGGAGGAGATTGATTTCTTGTGACTTGGCGAATGAATAAGTAATGTCCTCTTTTAGAAGATGGCGGGTTTTTGGCATAATGGAAGATAACTTGACATGGGGAGGAACTGAGAATGCCCACCCCTAGAGATGGCGGTCTTTATATAAAAAAAAAAAAAAAAAAAAAAACAAAAAATTAGCTGTATCCATTGTCCAATGAGGCCGAGTTCTGGGGTTGTTGGTCGCATACTAACGAACATTATCACGTGATGGCGCTTCTTATCGATAGACGATCACCGCCGGCGACGGGATCATCGTTTGTTGTCGTCTGGGTCGACGGAGTCTAAACATCAGACTTGAGCTTCAGGAGACGACGCCTCTACTCACACATATATTTAATCACCCTGCGTGTCGCGATTACAGTGTGCCTGCCTACCCGAGGAACGATTCCCTAGTCAAACGATGAGCGAGCTACTCAACTACATCCTCGCCCATGAGGATGCGTTCCGAAAGTACGATACCTCAGCGATATAATATTGCGTGCCATATAAGGAAATGGAAGAGCTGACTGGGTCAATTTGGAAACGCGCAGGAACCGTCTACCCTCACTCTATTCCGACTTCACGCTACAAAGGACAACGAACCCGGACGGCTACGCGGTCAATGTGGGGGCATGGGAACAAGCATTGATAAAGGCTGCGAGGCAGGGGTATATTTCTCGGGGCGCGGGGGCAGGGCAGGTGAAGAGCAGCCACTTGGTCCTGAAGGCGAATGAATCCCTTTTGCGGGATCTGGAGATACCGGAATTGGGGCAGCCGGTTGCGCTTAGTACGGTGATTGTACGTATTTTCACCTTCATGGCTCCGCTTGCGAGGGTTGCTTGGTACGGACCTGTTCTGACGAGTCATGTCTAGGATGAAGCAGTTGGGAAGCGGACTATGGTCCCATTGCAGGTATACAGAACCAGCGGGGCAAGTCTACGGAGAAGGGGATGGATTGATCCAGGGGCTTTGAGTCCGTGGAATGTCATGAGCTGGGGTATGAAGCAGTTAAGGGGAATCGTTGTGGGATCTGATAGCTCGGGATCTGCGGCGCCGTTGCGGGGGCAGGAATTGGTCCTTGTCGAGAATCTGCAGGTGAGTGAGGTATTTGCTGAACAGTGTTGGACGGCGTCTGACCTCGAGACAGGAAGCGGCAAGTCGAGTGGTAAAACAAGCCACGGCTCAGGCTTCGTCGAAGATGGACCTCGTAAATTCCAAAGAGGGGTTCATGAATGAATACGCGGGAATACTGGATGCAGGCGTCGATTTTTCCGAAACGGATTTTGATGTTCTATTGCTCTATTTATCCCGCGACAGCGGTTCCATCGCCTATGATGGCAAGGTGAGTTATCTATGCTCTATATTGCACGAATGGGGAATAGAATGAAGCGCTAATATGCCAAAAAGACGATCAAGTTCAGACCAACACCGGATACACCAACTGAGATCACCCAGCAAGATACAACAATTGCGTCTATCAAGACACTCATGTGGACCATGATTAAACAAGCGGATATTTTAGAAGTGAAGATTGCCGAGTTAACTGCGACTGCAAAGACAGCGCTTAATAACAAGAACCGGATCTCGGCACTTTCTGCGGTGCGCTCCAAAAAGCTTGCGGAGCACAATCTACAGCGCAGATTCGACACCCTGGCGCAGCTCGAGGAAGTCTATTCCAAAATCGAACAGGCTACAGACCAGGTTGAGTATGTCCGTGTCATGGAAGCAAGCACGGGTGTCCTCCGAGGGCTTAATACTCAAGTCGGCGATGCAGCCAAGATTGACGAGGTCGTGGATGAGTTGCGAGAGGAGATGTCCAAGGTGGATGAAGTTGGAAACATCATGAGTGAAGCTGGCCCTGAGATTGATGAGACTGAGATCGACGACGAACTTGAAGCCCTTGAGCATAAGGACCAGGAGGCCAAGGACGAAGAAGAGGCGGAAGAAACCCGCAAGAAGCTTGCCGAACTGGAAAGCTTGGAACAGACTACCAAAGAGGCTGCGCGAGCGGAACGGGATTTGGACTCGGCACTAACAGACAGGCTCTCGCAAATGTCGGTCGAGGATGTTCCCGGTGCTGCCCATTAGCCCCATGCAGAGAACTAGCTTTCCAGTGATTCAAAGCCCATGAACTTAGCCGGCTAGGCTGATGGTATTGCACCTGATGCGGCAAGGGTTTCGTGCGCATCGAGCATCATGGCAGTCCCATTGGAAGGTTTACATAGCCATTCTGTGTTGGTTGACTTTGGTTCTCGACCCCATTCATGTTGAGAAGAGCTATTTGTGAGTCTCCTAATCCCGGCACTTCGCCTACCACACATGGTCCCTCCGCTGGTTGCTCGGAAATGGGTGCCGCTTCACGCTCAGGGTTTGGAGCCGTTTCAGGCTCATTCGAATCAACTGGCCCTTGAGAAATCGTGCCACGGACAGCATCATTCTTCTTTCGCGCGTTTGCGATCAAGTGCTTGAAGTCGTTATCATGGCTAGTGGACCACGCCGCCTTGTCGAAAGATTTGTCCATGATTGTGGAATCGTGAGATGACGGATTTGCATTACCACCTTGTGTTCGTTCCCAAGCATCCAGTTCACGCAATAATTCCCATTTCGTTTTAGGCCATTTCGAGTCGCAATTAGCGTTCCACAGGTTCATCCATTCTGTATGGCGTCTCTGGAGGAGCTGCCGAGGACCCGTGTTGGGAATTCCGAGGTCTTTCAGCTTCTTTCGGAGGACGCCTTCTTTCAGTATAGAATAGTTAATGGCAGGAAGCCTTTCGGGCTTTTTGTTGACTGTTTTTCTGGTTGCAGTGGTTCTAGTTTGTCTGCGTGCAACCGGTGACATGGGCTGTAGGGACCTATAGAACATATCCCAGTTAGGCCAGTCGCAAAGTAGTCCATCGGAAAGGAAACAAACCTACCCATAAGACATTTTCTTTGGAGCTGGATCTTTCCCGCAAGCTTCAGCCTCGAGGTGTGGAAAGACAGCTTCATTTTTCATCCGTCGATTGCATATTGGACACGCGACCAACCCGTCATCTGAAAACTGTTAAACTAAGTTGCAGGCACACACCGGCCGCCCATGAACGTACCTGGCGCGAAATCCTCATCCTGACTATCCTCTACCAGATCCACCGTAGCAGGCTGTTCCGCCGTGGTAGGCTGTGGCTGATTGTCGACTTGTCTTCCCTGAGACCGGGTCACGATACCCTCCGCACCAACCTCCGACATGTCCTCCTCCCCTTCCGTCGGCTCAATCTTCCGCTTCTTAGACGCAGGCTCATCGGATAGCTCACGACGGTCAAGCGCACCATCCCTAGCCTTCCTCGCTAGTTCCAATACACTAGGACGAGCGTTCTGAAAGGCCTCCAAAAGTTCCTGAACGATCCAGTTGCGCCGCAGTTTCGTCTCCTGATCAGAGCTCCGACACACGGGACATTTCCCTTCCGTACTTAGGCAACGACGTATACACAACGAGCAGAAGGTATGGCTGCAGGAGGTAATCACGGGGTTGTCGAAGAAGTCCTTGCAGACCTGGCAGCGGAGGGACGATTCGAGCGGCGCGAGAAGCGACAACGGCGTGTCTAGCCAGTCGGTGGAGTCGGGGATGTCGAACGAGGTGTCCATTGAGTTGGTTCACCTCATGGGAGCTTGTTTTTTTTTTTTTTTGTCTGTTTGGCTATTGAAGAAGGAATACTTGGTTGACACGGGGAAATCCGAGAGGGTTCGTTCCTTGAACCCAGTCGCGACTGGAGATTGATGCTACGGCGAGCGGTGCCAAGACCGCATGACTAATGCGCGTTAACTTGTTAACTAGTTAACTAAGTGGTGGCCATAGCCCTACGTAGTCTTCTATCCTTGTATTTCAACCTCAAAATCTATAATGGTTTCTCAATTTCTGTTTTCGCAGCACTATTTGCCAAGTTTCAGAATTGCTATCACACAATACATGGATGGGCTTGAGAAAATGTGCATATTTGTCGTCACATGCATGAATATTAAACGCCTCAGCATCTCGTCAAAATGCTATGTAAGAGTCGATCGTCAGCAAATTTAAATCTCTATCATAAGCAAGTTCCTCAAGATAGTGATCTCCTCCCATCCAAGAAGCTACATGATACCACCAACTGTTTAGACCAAATCGCATTGCTATTGTAAACTCCCAATATTCAGGGTGTCAGCCCGCACATTCCCAATCAAGAAATCCAGATAGATACCCATCATCACCAATTATGATATTGTGGGCCTTGAAATCTCCATGGGTTAATGTGAGTCTGTGGGAATGCTGTCAGAGTTTATTTGCTTCTAGCAAGGTCTCCTCGAATTCCGCCCGAGATTTGAATCCGTCGGATGAAGCTGGACCGAAGAGGTGGTCGTAGAACTCCTTCTTGGTTGGAAAGGGACCCATGATATGGTGAGGAACTCGTGAGCTTGAATAGCGGTCACAATTGGTGAGCATATAGAGTTCTCGTCTGGTGGAGACCATTGACGCATAACATGTACACACTCCTTTAGCTTTTCCAGCCATGGTTCCTCATCGTCAGCGTTCAATGTATCATCGAAATTAATAAAACAAATCCCAGGCAACCTCGTCATCAAAATCGAAAACATCTGTAGTCCACCAATATTCCCAAAAGATACAAAGTGTTGCCTACAAGATATAACCTTAGGAACAGACATCCCAGCATCTCTCGCCATTTTCATGGCAGCCGCCTCCTCTATGCTCGCCCGGTCTGTACATTTCAAAATGAGTCCAAAGGGTAACTCCGAGATATTGGGGTCAGAAGATGCCAAACCAGGAGCAATACCATTCTGAAAAGCGAATTAGTGCTCTGTGGACGAGGCCCCAGGCAAAAAGAGAAAATCTTCCTGGTACACGGGGTACTGGAGGCGTAGTCTTTGATAGTGGGTATTGCATTGGCCATTTTCGAAGGTAGACAGTCTCCATCAAGGCAGAGGGTCGCTGTAAGAAAAAAAACTTGAGAAGAAGTTGGATAACAAAGAGTCGAATGCTCTATGTTGATTAATTCACCGTAAAGGGTAAAATTACTTTGATACCGGATCAGGAAAAATTAGCTCCGTTCCGAAAGTGGTTATAGACCTCCGACGCGTTGCGCGACAGGAAGCGAACAAGAACACAGCAAACGACCATGGCTGTCGATTCGAAGAAGTATCTAGCTGAAAATGTCCTCAATGAGCGTCGGACCGTATGTTTTGGTTTATATCCGTCTCGATTTCTGTCTTTCTTGAGCTAAACAATATGGCAGGTCACTTATCGGTCACTGAGTCGCGCTCTGAAGGTTCACAGCCATGTCGCCAAACGGTGCGTGCCATGGTATACCAATTGAGTACTTGATATGCTGATTATGCGAAAGAATGCTATATGACTTCCATCACAATGAAAACTCGAAGAAACCGAACAGTGTGAACGCGACCTACGTCATTACAGGCGTGCAGCACCCGTCAGAACCTCATGCAACAAACGGCGATGCCCACGAGTCCGACGGCGATGATATTATGCAAAGCAGCCCCTATATTAGCAGCTCCATGCCGAATCAGGATGCCGCCGCCGACACGGTTACGGGCTCGTCTATAATACTGGTGCGCGAGGAGGACTTGGAAGGTAATATGGCGGGCGATTTCTCGGGTACGGTTCTCGTGGCTGACAGCGGATATAGATGCGAAATTGACATTCCGGTCAATCTCTTCTATCCACGTATACAGTCTCCAGCCCGCGGTATTACAGGATCTCAATGTCTTGACGGATGTCAGCCATGAAACTCTGGCCGCTTACGCCCATGAAGATCCGCTGGAATTTGGGAAACAGTGGGGAATGATTCAGAATCAGAATGTTAAGGTATAATTCGACCACTCTACGGGACTTGCACCATATATGAAACCCAATGCTGAGATCCATTATAGCGGAGAACAGGAGCACGACCCCCGCGGCCGCCAGCAGCAGCATCGACTCAAGCAACTCCCAACACAACAGTACCCGCAAAACGTCCTTTACAAAGTGATCCTCCTAAACCCGAACCGTCCAAACCGAATGACACCGCCGACTCGAAACAACCGCCGCAGAAGGGAAGTAGCCAGCCGCCATCGAAACATGCAGCAAAGCCAGCCCCATTGAAGAAGGAAAAGAGCAATCTATTCAGCTCATTCGCAAAGGCAAAACCAAAGCAGAAAAAGGAAGAAGCAGCGCCTGGGGCCTCGGGTGCAGAATCGGTCAGTGCAAGCAATTGATATCCAGTGCAGTGCAGATGGCTAACAGCTATATAGGCCGCAGCCAGTGGCGCAGAAGATTGTAAGTAAACCGCATAATGGTCTTTATAGTGCCCTAGCAGCAACTGACATGTGGCAGTGAATTTGGGTGATGCTTCTGAGGAAGAACCCGAGGAGCTTTTCCCCGAAAGCGGAAAACCGGCGTCTACGAGTAACCGTGAATCTAGGAAAGAAAGGGAAGAAAGGTTGAAGAAGATGATGGAGGATGATGATGAAGAGCAAGGAAATGACGGTAAGACGAAATAGTGTTTTCCAAGAGCTTAACTTGCTGACTCGACTCTTCTACAGCGGATGAAGAGATGCCCGATGTCGCCGAGCCTGAAGAAGAACCAGAAGAACCGGCACCCATTAATGAACCTCCTCTCCCACCTAAGAAGCAAGAACTCAAAGAAGAAGTGACTGTCCAAGGAGGCCGTCGACGAGGTAAACGGCAGGTGATGAAGAAGAAGACTGTCAAGGACGAGGAGGGATACCTTGTGACTCGCGAGGAACCATCCTGGGAGTCATTCTCCGAGGAAGAGCCTGCAGCACCACCGCCCAAGAAGAAGCCGGCCGTGAATGCGTCCAAGGGCAAGCTTGGTGCAAAGCCTGGGCAAGGCAGTATCATGTCCTTCTTTGGGAAGAAATGATACAGTGCCAATATCTTAATACGAAGACAATACATATATTTACATATGCATAGTCAAACTCAAGTATCTACATCTTGACCTTTCAATGCCGCGATACCAGCGTAGACTTCTCTGTTGAATGTCCGAAAGAGGAAATGCGGGGAGATTGCGGGGATTTGGGGAATGTGCCGACTTTGAGGAAGCAACAACCGAACACTTACTCTCTTCTATCCTTTCACTGACTGCAGTGCTTCAGACTCGCACCCTTCTTTTACTTCTCACCTTACTCGGAACATTTTCTTTTCTTCAGCTTTGGTGTGGAATGTAATGGATGGACAATAAGCCGACTTCTCCGAATCGCAACTGCATGCGGAGTACAACACCGACTCCCGACACTTCTCTTTCTTACAAAATTAGATCTCTTCCTGACTCCTGAACTCTTTCTGCAAAATGACCATCGCATCGACTCTCGTTCTGGCACTGGCTGTCAGCTGGGGAGCTGATGCTACTGCAGGACATCGCGATAACACTGCGATTCTGCGACGAGATTGCCCGGACTACACCATGTACTCCGCGGCTAAGCAGTAAGTACTCTTTATCCAAAGCTACAAGACAGTATGTCAAGAGATATTGCAACTAACCTGGTTGCTCATCGCAGTCCCCCCTACAGTGACGGTCCTTTGAACTTCCCTTTCCAACGACCGGCCCAAGAATGTCGCACGTTCACCTCGCCAGCAGTCGAGCAAGTTATTGAGAACGTTACCTCGCGCATAGTGGACAAGGATCTGGCTCAGCTGTTTCGAAATGCTTTTCCGAATACCCTCGATACAACCGTGAGATGGCACACGAACGGCACTGGCTCAACGACAAACTCATCATCGTCCGCGAAGCGGAAGAGGGAGGATTCACAGTGGCAAGGGCCCCAAACGTTCGTCGTTACTGGTGATATCAATGCAGAATGGCTGCGTGACTCTACGAACCAATTGTCCGGCTACCAAGCTCTGGCTAAGCAAGACCCGAATCTGCACTCGCTTATCCTGGGTGCCATCAACACGCAGGCTGAGTTTGTCATCCAGTCTCCATACTGCAATGCTTTCCAACCACCTCCGCCTAGTGGATTGAACCCTGTACCAAGCTCGCAGAAAGACACGGTCCATCCAGAATACGATCCTTCGGTGGTCTTTGAATGCAAGTACGAACTTGACTCTCTGGCTAGCTTCCTGGCGCTGGGCACAGAGTTTTATGAAAACACAGGATCTACTGAATTCTTGACAGATCGCTGGTACAAGGCCCTTGATACGCTTCTGTCGGTTCTGGATGCACAGTCACAGCCAACTTTCAACGGACAGAACCAGCATGTTGCCAACCAATACACGTTCCAGCGTCAGACCAACGCAGGCACGGAAACCCTCAACCTCGAGGGGGTAGGAAACCCGTTAAACGGAGGCACTGGGTTGATTCGAAGCGCCTTCCGGCCTAGCGATGATGCAACTATCTTTGGTTTCTTCATTCCTCCGAACGCGATGATGGCCGTTCAGCTGCAGAAGACTGCTACTGTGATTGAGGCCGCAGGAGGACATGCAGACCTGGTCTCGGAGCTCCAGCAGCGAGGGCAGAAACTACAGCAAGCTGTGTGGGAGCATGGTGTTGTGCATCATGCTAAATATGCCGATGTCTTTGCATTCGAAGTTGATGGGTACGGTTCCCAGCTTCTAATGGACGACGCCAATATCCCTTCATTGCTTTCGCTGCCTCTGCTGGACTTTGTCGACAAGAATGATACCATTTATAATAATACTCGCAAGATGATCTTAGAGAAGGGCGGTAACCCATACTACTTGGTTGGATCCGCGTTCAAGGGCATTGGTGGTCCTCACAGTATGTGTTTCTTCTTCTTGTCTTTTTATATCTCAGCTAATAACACATTGCCTATACAGTTGGCCTTGAAAATGCCTGGCCCATGTCCCTGCTCGTCCAAGCAATGACCTCCGACTCCGACTCGGAAATCAAAGAATGCATCAACCTCGTCCGCAACTCGAGTCTTCTCGGGCTCGTGCACGAGTCTATCAACGTGAATGATATCAACAAATACACCAGATCATGGTTTGCATGGGCAAACTCGGTATTCGCGCAAACGATTCTCAAGATCGCGGCAGAGAAGCCGTATATAATCTTTGGGGATGGGGCCGAGCCTTATATCCTCTAATGGTATACAGTTTGCATGCTGTCAACGAAGAAGCGTACCTGTAATCAATGCAATAGGACAATCTAGTCTAATTAATCAAATGCTAAATTAATACATCTGTGGTATCCACATTAGAAGACATGCTGTTTATATAAAAGGAAAGCTCATATCAAGACCCGTCTCAAACCCTCTGTTCCACTCAACACTCTCCTACCAGTGATAGGGCACCGTCCCCTTCCACTTTCCCATTGACCATGCCGACCATCCTGCCCCTTCGAACTCTCCGTCTCAGCATTCTCATCTTCCGCGTCCTCATCGTCCCAAGCCGCACCAGAACTCTCTTTATTCATGAAATCAATCTGTCGCTGATGCTCCCCGTTAAGCCAATGGAAAACACAAACATAGCAAAACACATATCCCGTCTGAGACGCCGTCGGATTCGCAAGCTCACTCAAGCAAATGGGGCAAGTACCAGCATTTTCCGAATCCGCGGTAGGCAGAGGGACGGTGAAAATGGGCAGGTACGAAGAAGCAGAGATAGGCGGTTGGCGGGGACGAGGGGATTTGAGGGCTGGTTTGATGTCCATTCCGCCGGTAGCGGCCTTTTCCTTCTCTTCGTCTGCTTTCTTTCTCTGCTCGATTATCTTCTTCTTGTCGAAGGGGGTGATCATCCCTTCTACCACGGGGGCGGGGAGATCGATCACGTCTGTTGCTTTGCGGGCGAGTTGGCGCGTGAAGTCGCTGGCGTGCCACCATTCGAGGAATTTCAGGGCGAAGATGGATGCTGGGAGGAAGTAGCGTAGGGATGCGAGGACTTGGGGGTAGAGGTTCTGCGGGCTTAGCAGACCCAAGAGGCCAGATCCTGGGCGGGCACCGCTTCCTGGCTTGGTTTCCAATGTCTTCGCGATCGCGCGATGGTCCGCCCCTCCCAGTCGTCGAATCCGGGTCCCAATGAGCCAGAGGAACGGCGACGAGTACTTCGTGTTATCGAAGAGGTACGCCAGGTTGAACGCGATAACGGAGAAGTAATACGCCGCGTTAACACTTGGGTACACATTCCTCAAGAACCACTTGTAATAACAGAACAACCGCTGCTTAATAGTCGGGTTTTGAGGCAACTCATCGCTAGGATTATATCGCGGCCCGCCGCTCATAACCAGCGACGCCTGCGGCGCAGCATGAATATCATACCCCTCATCCAACTTCCTCTTCAAATACGGAATCCCGACCATAACAAACAAGTTCTTCCACACGTCCGACGTGCGCAGCTTGAGCGTTTCGCGGACGGGCGCGGCGGCGCCCATTTGTGCGCGTGGGATCTCGCCATTTTTGGTTAGGAGGACGCGTTCGCGCTTGAGGGAGTAGAAGTTTTCTGTGAAGGAGCCGCCGAATGTGCGGAGATAGTAGCGTTCGACGATGAGGGAGAGGAGGGCGTAGACTTCGTCGTAGGAGTTTAGGATTCGGAGGAGGTAGCGTGGGTGGCGGTGAGTCGCGACGGCGAGGATGTAGCGGATTGAAGGGGGGAGAAGGTCTGATAGTTGTTGTTCGGCGAGTAGTTCTGTGTTATTGAGTCTGTTAGCAATGTCTTTTTGATTGACCGAGATTCAATCGATTATCACGGGATGTTGTTGTTCTTACCGAACAGGGACGGCTTGAGCTCGTCAAACTCCTGCTGAAGGCTGGGCAGATACTCCATATTGGCGATGGAAACTGCAACTCATCCTCCTCCAGCGCTGGATCTTGAAGAAATAATGGGCAGGGGGATAGTGGTAGAGAGAAGAGGAAGACCCCCGGACTGTGACTGACGTTGGGTTCGGAGCGGAGTTGCAGCCGAGGCTCATCGGAGTCGGTGACGGACGACTACTAGACTAGTAAAGACCATACAAGGACAAGCATTTATAAGATATAAAGATACAGTCATGAATATCATTACATAGACAATTGAGTTTACTATACAAATAAGGGGTGTCGAAACGTTCACGCATCACAAGTCGTTTTAGAAGTGTGGACTTCTATACAGGGGAATCCCACTTCTAGATCCGAAGCCGCTGATTGTTTGAAACTGTGATGCTCTGAACAGGCGTAGACTCTGCTCACATCACTGGGATTGGCTCTGCTGTGTTGCCCCATTCTCCGTTCCAGCTGCATTTGCAGACTCCAACTCACGCTGCTTCTGTCTCCTAGCCCGATCCAAGTTCCCCTGCCACAAGCCATCAAGATCGACTTCGGCTCTCTTATCTTCCGTGAACATTTGTACCACAACTCGAGTTCCCGCATTGATGGCACCAAACCCTTCAAAGCCTTGGAAATCCTCTTGTTCCACGACAGGAGCCTCTTCAACCACACCGGCATTCACGCAGATCCAACCGGTAGTGATCCCATCATCTTTTTCATCCACGATTGCCCCAGATTGACTCGCGATGCGGGCCCGACGGGCCTTCCGTCGAAGTTTGATCTTAAGTTCATTCCGACCCAGCAGCCCATCTGCATACGGTGAGAGCTTGTAAGTGCTCCGTAGCCAGCGACAAAGACGATCCGCGGCGACGTTAAGGTGTTTCACGCTGCGAGCAGTACCGATGATCATAATGACATTGGCGCCGAGGGCCGGTGGGGTTTCAAGGTGTCGCAGATCAAACAATTTCAAATTGTCCAGACCTAGGTCTTTGAATGTATATTCGAGAAGAGTAGGAAGTATGGCTGGTGGGTCCTCTGGCAGTTCTGGCAGGTGGTCTCGCGACAATACTGGTTGCGACTCGGCAATCGGGGTCTCTTCTTGCAAGTACCATGGAACATGCTGTGATGGCGCAGGCGTCTCATTGTCAATTTGTACGTTCTTATAGCTTGGAGCTGGAGGAGGCGACCCGGGGGAACTTGAAGGAATATCGGATCGAAGGCGAGGCACTGAAGAAAAGGCCCGGGTATTCACATGGGTATATCTCGAAGAGGGCAAGCTGTGGCGAGGGATCGATACACCGCAGAAGGACGAGAATGTGCGAATAACGTCGCGGCGACAAGCGTGGCACAATGGCCCTCTCATCAATGCTCGATTCATGTTGACTTCTGTGATCTTTCAATTGTTGGCCGTTGAAATCCAAGGAAAACCTGATAGTATTTGAGGACAAACCCTGCAAACAGCGCTGACTCAGAAGTTAGTCAAGTGCAAACAGAACAAACAAAAAGTTTCCCGGCGGGGCAAAGCAACAGTGACAAATCCAGAAAATCTTGAGTCTTTCTTCATCATCTCAACTTTTACTTCCATCTTGTGTCTGTCTATCCTGTAGGATACTCGCAGACATGTCGATGGATCTGGATGATTCCCCGGTGCCCATTGCGGGTGACCAACAGCCCGTTGCTGCGACGTACGTCCACCCCTCTTTTTTTTTTTTTTCCTGCTCTGTACTGACTTCTTCTGGGATTCTCTAGTATCCTGTGTTGCAACTGCGGTGCCCCTATCGATGGAACTTCTTCGGCCGGTGCGCTTTGCCAGGACTGTGTCAGATTGACCGTGGATATTTCTCAAGGAATCCCGCGCGAGTCTGTTGTTCACATTTGCAAAGACTGTGAGCGCTGGTTGCAACCACCCACGAGCTGGGTCAGCGCCGCCCCCGAATCGAAGGAACTGCTCGCCCTTTGTTTGCGCAAACTTCGAGGCCTGAACCGAGTCCGAATTATCGATGCAGGATTTATCTGGACCGAACCCCACTCGAGACGTATCAAAGTGAAGATCACCATCCAGCAAGAGGCTTTCCAGGGTACCATCGTGCAGCACTCATTCGAGGTGGAATATGTAGTCGCTACTCAGCAGTGTCCTGAGTGTGCCAAGTCGTACACTCACAACACATGGCAAGCGTCGGTGCAGGTGCGACAGAAGGTTCCTCACAAGCGGACGTTCCTTTTCCTCGAGCAGCTCATTCTCAAGAACAACGCCCACCAAAATACGGTCAACATCAAGGAAGCTAAGGACGGATTGGATTTCTATTACTCGCAACGGAACCATGCGGAGAAGATGGTTGAGTTCTTGTCGTCTGTCGCCCCTTGCAAGTCGAAGAAGTCGGAACAACTGATCTCGATGGATATACACACTTCCAACAAGTCCTACAAGTTCACGTTCTCCGTTGAATTGGTGCCTATTTGCAAGGACGACTTGGTGGCTCTCCCGATCAAGTTGGCGAAGCAAATGGGTAACATCTCGCCCTTGACGCTTTGCCACCGTGTGGGCACGGCCGTCAACCTCATGGACCCCAGCACTCTCCAAACAGCAGAAGTCCCCACAGGCACCTACTGGCGCTCGCCATTCAACACCCTCGCAGACGTGACGGAGCTGGTCGAATTCATCATCATGGACATCGAGCCTGTCGGCCGCACAAACGGACGATACCATCTCGCAGAGGCAACCGTTGCGCGCGCCTCGGACCTGGGCTCGAACGATCAGACCTACTTCTGCCGTACCCACCTCGGCGGTATCTTCCACGTCGGGGACAGCGCGCTGGGATACCACTTGACCGGAAGCAACTTCAATGACCCCAACTTCGAAGCCATCGAGAACAACAGCCGATACAGCTCCACGATCCCTGACGTCGTCCTCGTCAAGAAGCACTACGCCCGCAAGAAGAACAAGAAGACCCGCAACTGGCGTCTCAAGCGTATGGCCCGCGAGTACGAAGAGGAGGCCCTTGCGCAGAGCAACCAGCCCACGAACCGCAAGCAGGAGCAGGAGCGCGAGAAGCTCGAAGCCGACTATGAAATGTTCTTGCAGGATGTTGAGGAAGACCAGGAATTGCGGGGTACCCTTGACCTCTACAAGAGCAGGACAGCTGCTCCTGCTGAAGGTGATGGTATGGATGAGGATGAAAGTGATGATGAGGCGCCTAAGATCAACATGGATGAGCTGCTTGATGACTTTGACGAGTTGAATGTGGACGACAAAGAATAAAAGAAGGGAAAAAAAAAAAGGATATAGTCACGAAGCACATGGGGTTCTGGCGTTACGTGGTTTTACTGGGAATATCCAAAAGTTAGAGTACATATCCAGCATTGAATCAGTGGTACATGCAATACTATATTCATAACAGTAAGAACTCTGTACACAAGTAGACGAAAGGCATCAGAAAATCTTCCCCAACACCCTCTTCGTATCCTCCCCCAGCGCAGCAGCACCATCATCCTTCTTGATCCTATCCCTCGGCGTCTTAACCTCATTCTGCTTAAACAGTCTCCGAACATTGCCCTTCTTTCCCCCCTCACCAGCATTCCGTCGCTCCTGCACCTTCTCCACAGGCACATCCGCCTCCACCTCCGGCATCCTCCTCTTCTTCTCCTCACTCTTCTTCGCCATCCCATCAAACACCCTCCCCCTCTCAACCCCCTCCACAAACACCTTCTCCTCCTTCTTCGCCCTCGCATCCTCAACCCTCCTCTTCGCCTCCCTCTCACTCCTCTCCCGCTGCACCTGCTCCATCAAATCCGCCCACTTAAACCCCCTCAAATACTTCATATTCCACACATCATCATGATACCAGCCTCCCTTTTTCCCGCCCACGATATTCGCATTGAGCGTCTCCGCGCAGAGCTTCGCAGTCTTCTTGGAGGCGAATTCGACCCATCCGTCGGAGTAGGTTTTACGCTTGTTGGAGCGGCGGCGCGGCGCGGAGGCGGAGGGTATGGAGGGGTTTAGGAAGACTCTTGTTACGGGTGCGAAACCGTATTTCTCTAAAAGTCCCTTTAGAGCGAAAGGACGCAGGTAGGGGGGGAGGCTGGAGAAGTAGATGACGCCGGTTTTGTTCTTTTTGGGAGGCTTGCTTTTGTCGAGGGGTTTGGGTTTTAGGGGTTTCTCGGTTTTCGAGGAGGTGGTTGTTGTTGTTGTTGTTGCGTCGAGGTATTGGGCTTCTCCTTCAGTTTCGCGTTGTTCTTCGTCGTCGTCGTCGTCGGTTTTGCGCTTGGCTTTCCCTTTGCCCTTCTTCGCTCGCGAAATCTTCTCATCCTCTCCATCTGACGCCCCCTCATCACCATCCTCATCCTCATCCTCACTACCAGCGTCCAAAAACCCGCGCATCGGCTCCGTCCGTCGCCGCTTCATACCCCGGCCTTTCGTCTCCTCCGCGGCTTCAGAGTCGTATCCTGCGTCGCTGCCTTCATCTTCGTCGGAGATGGGGTCGAGGAATTCGTTGCGCTTGCGGGTTGTCATTGTCTCTTTTCTTTTGAGAAATTGAAGGGTATGGTATGGTTGGAATTGTTCAGTCGAAATTTCTTGAAACTTTTTTTTCTTATCTTTTTTGCTTTTCCGCTGCGATTGGCGGTTGGTCCGTGCGGGTGGCGATCACATGACTGGATCGCATACAATGTACAGCGTGCTATGTTACTCAAAAGACTTAATACTTTGTGAAAAGACTGAATAATGTACATATATTCCGTAATCCAATGGTAGCAAGGATAACAATAAATTGTACAGGGCACTCTGCCCATCAGTCCATACAGTCCGTACAGTGCACCGCTCTATACTGTACCATAATCCTATCCGGTCCAATGCATTCCTCCACTGTACCCATGTGTAGAGATAACATGTCCCTGCGCATATCCATCAGGCTATGTAGGTATCATGAAGCCTACCCCTGGCTCCTCTCATGCAAAAAGAAAGAGTCCATAACAACCAAAGACGCCAAAGCTTGGGATCAGAAAAAGACAAATGAAGAGCAAAACAGATGGTCAACCAACAGCGTCACCGCTATGTGCAACAAACAGTTCAGTCCCATGCAGACAGACCTCCTTTTAAATTCCCAACCACCACTTAAACCGTTCATAAGCAAAGAAACTCGTCGCAACCATGGGCACGACCTTGATATACCCAATCGTTAACCCGACAAAGAATCCACGAGATCCGCTCTCCATCGAGATCTTGCGGACTGTCTCAGCAATGCCCAGCCGGCGTCCATCTCCCACAGCACCTCCGACCTGCATCCGTCGTCGAATCACCTCAAGGGGATATGAGGACGTCTGGGATACCAGACCGGCAATAGCACCGGAGAACAGCTCCGCAGCCGCTGTTAATTGCGGCCGTCGAGTACCCTTCTTGTTGTTGCCTTCAGATCCGGGTATTGTGGTGTAACGAGCGACACCTGGTAGACGAAGCCAGTCGCCCACCGTGTCGTGTGTGAGGAAGGACATGCCTGCGTATGGCAGCATTCCGAGCATGGTTGGTGAAAATCCACGGTAGAAGTTGGCCAGGCCAGAGCTCGGGACCACCTTGTTCACAGTCGAAGACATCGTCTGTGCTGTCGCCGCCACCGGGGCGGAAGATACTGTCGCATTCGGTTTACCTGGCGTGGAAGGCGGCGATATCCGTTCGTTATAGATCTGTTTAAAGGTATCGCCCAAGGACGACCGCGAAGAATTCTTTGTCTCGAAGGCTAATCGTACCCGAATCAATTCCAACGGGTATGTGAAAAACACTGATGTGATTCCTGCCAAACTCCCCGAGATAAGCCGGCGGAATGGTGTTTCTTGCTCTTGAGATGTGATCACAACCGCACGAATCTGTTCGTAGGCGAGGAACTTGATAGCGGCATAAGGAAAGATACGAAGTAATGTCGCGGAATGGCCCTTAAAAAGACCCCGTGGCCCTTCAAAATGATAGATATCCTTCATCGCCGCTGAAAGACCAAACCAGCTTCCGGTATACTTAGCATATTGGGGATTCGACGCTTGGAACAGGATCTTCACCCGGTCCAAGGGTGCAACCACTGTTTTCGCCTAGCATCGACAGTCAGCTCGTGCCCCCTCTGTCAAAGCATCAATCCCACTTACAGCACATCCCGCCAAACCCCCCGCACATCCACTCCGTAGCACATAATCCAAACTCCGCTTATTCACCTCCTTTGCCTCCGCGCGGGTATCCTGCCTCGAACCTAACGACGCTCCTGATGTCCCTGATGGCTCGTCATCTGTCGCGTTTGCTTGGGCGGTTGCCACTGCGGTCCCCTTCGTATCGCCTGTTAAAGGCCTCCGGTCTGATTTCGACTGTGTAGCGTGCTCCATCTGAGGAATTGTGGGGTTACGGACGGCGGAATCAGCACGTTCATGGCCCGGAAAGGCGGCGGACATGAGCACAAGTGAGGGCGAGATCGGTTGAGATTCGTTCCGTTTCGTTTCGTGGGGTGTAATTTAGAAATAGGGTTGATCTTGTTCTTGTCCGGGGAAAGAATAATATGGAGAAATGAGGAATGAGGAGTTCACGGGCTACCGGAGAAAGGCCATGGGGTGAAGTTCCCGAGGGCAACGATCTTCCCAGGCCACAATGGGGGAGAAATAATAATAAGAATCAGCAAAGGCAACAAGCCCCTCCGAAATCAGATATCAATAAAATTAAGCCGAGAGTAGCCGTAGAATTGCTGTAGAGAGCGTTGGAAGGTGGAAAAGTTGACTGAGGCGCATTTCTTTCAGTCGGGCATGTGACGTCGTTGTGCAGTTTACGGCTCTGACGAGCCGATACCTGCCGGAACCCCCAGGCCGCCGTGCTAATACCGTATTGTGACGCTCCGAGCGGCGCGGCGGTACTCGGAATTAATAATCGGCATGTGCTCATTGATAGAGAAATGGCTCACGTGAGGTGCTTCCAAAAACGCTTGTATACAAGTACCGGCATGCTCCAAGTAACCAAGTAGTAGCAAAAAATTCATATGCATATGTACATTCCAATTCTCTCTTTCGGTTAGACCATACCCAGCTCCTCACGTCACCCGTACAGCATGCTCGCTCCAGTTCTCTATATAAAACCATATAACCCAAGACTAAAATGCAGACTACTGCAGTAGACAAAATAAAATCTCCAAACAAAAACAAGACAAGAATAGAAGAGAATTAGTATCATGGTCTCGTCTCTCATGCGCAGAAAAGGGTGAAAGCACTTTTGTGGTCGCCCCAAAACGATTACGCACAACTTTGCTGTTAGCCCTGTCTCAAAAAGGGTCAAACCCAACGCCTTATGCATTCAAGAAGAAAATAGCACAACCCAAAAGTAAAAGGGAATCAAGATGTTCAAAAGTTGTACCGTGTGCCTTGTCGCGTCAGTGGTTTGCCTTGTCGACTGGTCGCCTTGAGCTCCTTGGGGTCATCCGTGGCTCGTTTGGCTCGCTTGGTCGGCCGAGCAACATCGGCATGGAGGTGTCCATTTTCCGACAGAGCAGTCGTGTTCTGCCAGGCTAAGCAGCGGTGCTTGCGGTCGCCAACGTAAGTCCTTTTCCGTGTCGATACCCGTTTGATGGCCGTATCCTCCGATTCCGCACGTTCAGCAGTTTGCCCCAGATACTCGTGGCGGTGCTGCATGTACTTGATGATGATATGGCGTTGTGTGACGAGCTCCTTCCGTAGCTTCAGCTCCCGATTACCGCGCAAGTCCAGCCAGTCGATCAGTTTGTCAACGGATTCTGGATCGTCGTAGTAACCCCATTCGCAGGCATTCGAGACGCTGGTGTCCCCTTCTTCGGCCGTCTTGCGCTCGGCGGGCGTCATCTGGAACTCCTTCTGGTACTGTCTCTTGATGTCCTCAGGCACGTCGATGAATCCAGCCCGCTCCATCTCATCAGGGCCTTGAACCCAGAGTCGACCGTTGGCGTATTGAGCTTCGGCCGTAGAACTGTCGGGCATACCACCATAAGGCATTGCATTCCGTTCGAACCACCAATACCGGTTACAGAATCGATCCTTTCCGAGACATCGGGTGCGCGGGCAATCGGCTTCTCTTAGGTCATTGTCGACCACTTCAATCTTCTTTTCAAGCTTTTCGATTGTGACCTTTAGCTCGTCAATCTTCTTGAGCACCTTTTGGTATTGCTTGGATCCCTTAGGCTGTTTGGCCAGTTGTTCCTTCCTCTCGCGCTCCACTTCCTGCCTGCGTTTTCGTTCATTGGCTCTGTCGGTGCCTCCACGAAGAGATGGCCCTTTCTTGGCAGCATCTTCGTCGTCAGTGTCCATAGCCTCTGAGTCCCCGTCAACACCGGTCATTTTCGAGTCTTCTTGACCTTCTTCCAATTCCGGCACAGGCGACGGTGACTTCTCCGGCTCTGGTTGGAGGGTCTTTCGCTCCTGATGCAACCGACGGAGCTCTTCCAGTCTGTATCAAAAGTGTCAGTAAAAAAGGATAAAATTATAACGAAGAAGAATCACTTACGCAGTTTTCCGGGCCCGTTGATATTCAATCTTCTCCTTACGGAACTCTGTCATCTGGTTACTGCACTCCTCAAGATAGTTTCGGATAGCTTTGGTCTCCAGACTGAGCATGCAGATGGTCTCAAGAGCCCGCACGCGAAGATTAATATCAAGGGTTGCATATTGGCGTTGCGCGGTTTCCTGCGTTGGCTCTGCATCAAGCGGGGCCAGGTGCTTGAGGATATCGTTGCAAACTTTTTCCACCCGAGGACGGGATGACAACTGGTGCAAAAGGCCAATCATCACCATCTCCCATCCACCGTTACGGAAATCCCGCTTGCGTAGGCGATCAATCCAACCATAGTCCTTCAACATTTCGGCTGCACGGTGAATCTGGGCTTCTTCGGAGCTGGAACGGCTGCTGTCTACTTGCTCCTTCAGATTATCCGCCTCTACCTTGGCCAAGCTGCTTCGTGTAGTCATGCGCGTCACGACCGGCTCCGGCTCAGGACTCTCTTCCTCTTCGTTTTCCTCCTCGTCGGACTCGTCAGACTCCTCTACAGGCAGATCCGGCAGGGAGATCTGGACTGCCCCATTCTGGTCGTTCTCGGAGTTGACCAGTTTCTTTAGAACAGCGCAATGCATCTCCACGAATAGTTGGCAATCCACATCCTCTGAAGAAAACCGCATGGCCTGGAGAAAATCATCGAATGTAAACGAGTCCAACTGAAACACTTCGCAATACACGTTGAGAGTGTTCCAGGTCTCTAGTAATAAGCCCACTGAATCTGACCGGATACCATCGTGTAAAATGTCTTCGTCATCCGCATCATCGGTCTCATTAGCGGCCAGGAAATCGAGTGCTGGACGCTGTTTCTTGTTTTCGCGGACAGGTGCAATGTCCAGATCTTCGATTGGATATTTGATCGGCGGCGGAGAAGGTTGCTTAGGGGTTTCATTTTTGATAACAGGGACGGAATTTTGGGCCTTTTTGTCAGATTCTTGGGACTTTGGAGGCCGAGTTGGCGTAGAAGCAGCAGGAGTAGGTGTGGTTGGAGCATTGGTGTTAATGATTGGCGTGCCGACGGTAGAAGTAACACCATTGCCACCGCCATTGTTGACGACAAAGGTTGGGTTTCCATTCAGCGAACGCTGATATTCGAGGAATTGTGCCTCTCTCGATCGAGCCAGCTCCTGTGGGGAGGGTTTGGCTTTTGGTCCTTTGACTGCGGGTTTCAGTTCTGGTAGTTGCTGCGATGCGAAGAAGCCGAAGAATCCGTCCTGGTCTGCTTTTTTCATGGCCTTCTTTTCGGCAACCTTGGCGCCATATTGCAGATGCTTCGGCACCTCCGTTGGGATTCTGTAGTCATCCGCAATGGATTGTTTGACCAACCAGGGGGCACCGCTCCAAGACTCCCTCGTAACGTTGTTCTTGATAAAAGCGCGTAGCATCTGCTTGGTAAACGTCTTCCGATCACGTGTAATGTGCTCTTGGTCTAGCAGGGCCTCTTCATTACCACTGTCGGAGACCTTGACCAGATACCGGGCATAAGCGGGAGTTTTCACGGTTCCGTCGGGGTTCAGCTGTTCCGCAAAGTTGGCCTTGTCTCTAATAATACCATGGAGTCGCGTGTTGTCCGTAAGCAGGATTAAGACGGGTTCACCGGGATAAAAGTCCTGTTTGAATTCCTGGCCTTGTGTTTAGCGCTGCGTCGCGTTGAGCATCCACTATCTGAATGGCCACTACTAACCTCATAAATCTCATCCACTGTTCGAAAAAAGAAAAAAAAAAGAAATGTCAGCTGGAAAGATGCCACCGAAGAGTATGCAATAGAACCTACCCAGATTATCCACCCTAGACACTGTCGAAAACTGTATCCGGCGTAAAATGGGTTCCTTCAGCGCTTCCGGGAAAGCACTATTGACCTCGCGCGACTCATCCATCTGACACGGGTTTTCTTTAGTATGGAGCAACGGCGAAACGGAAAGACCTGGACTCCCGGCACGTACTTCGCTTCTGAGCGCTTCAAAAAATGTCAACCCCGAATGACCAGTGATCTCACAAATAAACCGGCGTTGTTTGTAAAAGTCCATGCGCTGGAGATACGGTTCGTAGTCGGTAAAGACCTCGTTGGTTTCTGGAATTACCCAGACCTATAACAATCGCAGGTAAGCTGTCTGCGTTGCGTGGGCGAGACGGCGCGGATTCCACCAGTTGTACGTACTTCGGAGCTGTCATCCTCAATGACCGGCCGCGGGAGGTATTGGACGGGTTTTCGCTTGAAGAGCACCTGGTTGGATAGAAATAGCGTAAGCCTCTTGTTCAGAACGTCTTGTTTCCGTCATGGTCTGTCCCCGTTGCACCGGTCTAGACTGCCAAAACGTTCCATGATCCCAAGGAGGTCTCAATGCATACCATGATCGTCTTATGAATAGTGTGGTACGCGCGATTCGATCATAGATTATTGGTATCAGGAGTGTTGAGCATGGATTGGTCTTTGGGAAATCATGCGAGCGGTTAGTACAAAAAAACCGATGCATGTAGTTCATAGAGCGACGAAGTAGGAAAGGGAAAAGGCAAGAATATAGATAGATCGGAGACCAGGAATTCGAGAACAGGGGGAGTGTGGAAACGCATTGGTGCCGGTGCCGGTGCATTGCCCATAGCCTCACGGTCCACCGCGCAGCGGAAGCCGTGTGTAGGAGCAGTCCGAGGGAAACCCGCGCAACCACGCAACGAACTGGGAAAAAGCAAGTTGATAATGGATATACTTACCGATTAAACGCGTCCAATCGCGCTTAAAACCAATGCGCGAAGCTATGAGAAAAACGGGAGGGTGTGTGGTAGGCGTGAATGTGTGCGTGGATACCCCGTCGTGATAATAGCTTGCAGATTAGATTGAGCTCACGAGAGCGGCGTCAAAAAGACTAAACGGGTTAGTAGATATAAAGTTTAGTTGAAAGAACGATGATATGATGAAGGTGGTGGTGGTAGAGATGGTGGTGAGTTGACGCGCTGAAAGGAGAGCGAGAGAAAAGAGAAGAGAAGCGGTCGCCCCCCAAAGGGAGAAGAGAGAAAAGCGACAGAACAACCCCCGATGAGGATCATTGCGGCAAGTGGGAGGGCCGGCCGGGTTATCACGCGTTCTGATTGGTCGAGACGAGGAGGACAAGACCTCCCGGGCGGACAAAATGGGCAGTATTTTTTTCTGCCCTTTTGGGACTCTGCGCTTTGCCCTTTTTCGCTTTTCCCGTACGGCGGCGTTTTGCACGCGACTACATCTTGTATTTGTACTCGTTAGACTCGTTGAGAGAAGTAGATTCTATTGATGGCTCATTTATCTTCATTATCTTGGTTTGTTTCTTTCTATTCGGTAAATTCACCCTGTGACATGACGGATCTGACAGCTAACACGCTTCTGCAGGAGTCGCCGGGGTTTTAATGCCCAACAACCATATACAGAAACAAACCATCATATATGCTCAAAAGCCTCAATTGATCAAATTTAAAAACCAGAAGACTGAATTGAGTCTTAGGGTTGGTTACCCTTCGTTGAATATTCCATCGCGACTCCTTTTCCAGTCTAGCTAGTATGGTGATTGTATCGAATCACATTGCGGTATCAAAGTACCTTTATGATACTCTGGCTATGATTGCCTCTCAGCAGTTTCAGAATATACCAATTGCTCTTTGCATCGCTGCATGGACTATCATTGCATGGGAGTGAATTCCATGTTCATCTAACACGCCAGAGCCTCTATTGATTGTCTTGCAATATATTCACACTTGACTCCCCTACTTCGAGCCATGTCTAGAAGTATTCACCATGGTACAAAATCGTTTGTAGCCGGTCGATACTAATCCTATGCTAAACACTAGTCATCCCTATTTAGAGTCGCTTGTAACTGCCGCTCTTATTCTACTATGTAATCTCCATTCTCTTTTGGTCACCTGTCACAACTTTCAAGCTCTACTCCAATGTATTTACTCTGTTGTCACTTCTTATTTTGTGACATACAATTACAGGTCACTGTAAATGTGGACATATACTCTGTATACAAAAAGTCCTATTAGGGCACAAGAGCGTTAGCGCCAATCGACTAATTATAGATTGTCTATTCTAGAACATTATAGTAGTGGCACTAGTGAAACAACATTGGTTGGATTCATTTACACAGTAGATAGTTACGAGTAGCGCTGTACGTAGGTACCGATTTAATACCCCATGTCCGACAATATGTATTTAGGGGAATCTCGGGTATCTCGCAAGTCGCAAAAAATCCCGAGTACGAGGGACTACTGTAAGATGTATTTTTCCTGCCTACAGTTGTGTCTTCTTCGCTTTACACCTTACTTATTGATACAAAGTCACGCATACAGTACTCAAAGTGATGCTATTGCTCGTCTCCTGACGCAACACCGCCTCACCTGATAGCCCTAAATATAGTCGACCATTGAGCGTCTCGCAGCAAAAACAAACAACTAAATAGAATAGTACAGTGGCAACAAAAACAGCAACTAAATAAGTACTTTGTATAAAACAAAACAACTACGCTCACAATACCTGAACCGTTGCTGGTGAACCATGGAAAAGGCGGGTCTAGCCTGTTTGGGTCTGGCGGCTAATAGACTTCCACGGATATGGTGGGTCCGGGCTCCGAGGCACGTGGGCCGCCAGACAAACGCGTTAAACATCGCCGTGATACATTACATCATTGCCTAAACAGTTGGAAAGAAGAAATAATATATATTTTTAAAGAGCTCAAGATCATGCTGCAAAATAAACCACCATAAATCCAACCCAGCTACCGACGACACCCATCGCCGAGTAACTGCTCATGAACATGAGCGGCAGAAATTCGTACCGCCCCAGTCCAAAGATCAGCTGATGCAGCAGTGAGCAGTACAAGATCAGTGGGATGGCCACTGTCAGATACAGCAGGGATAAGCGGTCGAAGATAAAGATCCGCTGTTGCTCCGCGACGGGTGCAACCCGGTCGAAGACGAACAGGAACAGCATCAGCCAGAAAATCGTGTAGACGGTCTTGATGGGGAATTCCGCGGCTGTGAATAATAGTGGGAATAGCGATACATGTCCTGCGACCGCAAGGGGACGGAAAGCGCTAAAGTATCGTCGGTCTTTGAGAGCAATCAAGCTGAATGGGATGATGATCAAGAGGACAGCCTTCTCGTGGACGTGCCAACCAAACAGGAACGAGGCATATCCGCAGAGAGTGACAGCGCCCACAAAAGTATCCCAGGTGGGATTGAACCATAGCTTAATCAACGGAAGCTGCAGATGATCAGTATACCTCACAGGAATAATCTAATAGGCTGGTTGGGCAACTTACCACCTGGAAGATAAAAGTCAACGCAAACGTGTGCTCTTTGGTAACCTCCGGAAGGATGGCAAACGAAGTATTGCCAACCAATCCACGTGTGACACTGGTAAGCGCAGCCTCGTTAACGGGAAGGCCTAAGCGTGGTGCGACTGGTCGAGTTAGCCATATCCGTGCTCAAAGAAAGCAAGGTGATACAAACGTTGAATCAGAAGACGGTCCGTAAACGAGTACATAGCCCAGATGTTAGGTGCCCAATAAGCATGGCATAGACCCCTGGAGAACGGGAAAAGCCTGTCCTTCAGCTGGAGTAGCTGATTCCAGTGGGCAAATGGTCCGAAGGCCAAACCAAACACGCCCAACACACCCAACCCAAGCTTGAAAGCGTTCCGGAATCGGGGCCGGAGAACCGATTTAGGGTCAAGACAGTAGGCCCGCAACAGATACACAAACCACGCCAGCGCAAGATAGAGATGGATGTGTTTCAGACATAGTAGGATCGCAAATGTGATGCCACTGTAGAGAAGGGTCGACTGTTTGCGGGCCAGGACGATCGACAGTATCAGGAGTCCATACAAGAATCCGTTGTATTGGAAATGGATGTGGTCGATGATCAGGAGTCCGGGGGACAGCAGGATCGAAAGGCTAGCGATATGGGCAAGATGCGTGTTCGGTTGAGGTACGGACTTGATGAACCTAGATCGAGACACAAAAAATTAGCCCGGGATCTCGACAAACGATCAGGTAAAAGCTATACGTACCTGCTCAGCGCATAAACCAGGACAAGCTCCGTGAGAATAACCGTCGCTCTCTGAAAATAAACCGTCTCCCAAGAGTCATAGTTGACATTGCTCACAACCAACATGGCCGGGTCTGCATAACGGGCTGCTTGCGACAGAAGCCACTCAAAAGCAGCGAAGAAGGGCGGATAGTCCAACGTCCATTCCGATGTTTTCTAGTGTCGCCCGACTCAGCATCCCCGATGTTTATGAATATCCCGACTTGTCATACCTCATAATACCACTCCTTGACCGGCAGCGAATGCGTAATGGCGAGCCAATTGCGATGTACTTCGAAATCGGTAGATTTGCTGTATGGGAGAAGAGAGCTGTTAGCATGCTATCATTCACATTATGGGACGGACGGAGAACATACTAAGCGGGGAAGAGGAGGATCTTGAACGCCGTCGCGACGATGGCGCATTGCGCCAGGGAAGGATACAGCTCAGCCATTGAAGCTGATGCGCATCAAGTCGCGTCGAGCATTCAGCCCGAGTTGAGAAAATGGAGAGTGAGAGTGAAGAGAGCGACCAAGGATTAACACAGCTGGACCTCCGTAGCTTTGTCGGGGAAGAAAATCGGCGGGTCGATCTGCGGAGGACATCACGTGATGAGCTATAAACAGGTGGCCGTTCGAGGACTCGAGAGAAAGAGGCTAAACTCAATCGCTCAACGCTACAATCGTCAAGCCAGCACAAATACTTCATGTCTGACGTCGCAGTCCGGCACTCTGTTGCTCTCGCTGACAACCTCCAAGTCCACCACTTTGTTGACATCTCCCCAGCTGCTGTCTCCGTTGCGCGAGAGATCCGCTACTGTGTGATCGCCCTGGTGATTGGGTGGACGACCAAGCAGTTGGTATCTGTGTGGCTGGATCGCAGAGCTCCTGATCGTAAAGAGTAATACACTCTTTTCTTTTGGATAGGAGGAGTATAGCTACTAGGCTACTTGCAACGTGCCTCCTGAATTTGAATATCTATTGAAACGACATCATGAAGCTCCAAGCATTGTCATTCTCGGCCTTTGTGGCTGCTGCGACGGCTCAATCAGTGATTGAAAGCTCTAGTTTTGGACAGAACCCAAGGTAAGTAGACGAATTCCACCCTAGTCATACATACATGAAGATCCTTATCTAATTTCACATAGAATCTCGCCCTACAGGGATTCAATCCCCGGTTGGCAGGTTGGAGGGGACGGCCATGTACCCCAGATTGTGCGTTGTCCAATTGATTCTATACTGGCAGTTGAATTGCTAACGCCATGATAGATGTCTGATAAGATCATCTTAACTCCCCCTTACCCAGGTATTGTGAGAGGATCCGCCTGGGCACAGAGCCCGTAAGTTATCTCTATATCCAATAGATATGCCAATACTAAACATGAACAGCATCGCGCAGCCTGAGTGGACAGCAGAATTCCAATTCAGAGCTACTGGCCCAGAGCGAGGTGGTGGAAACCTCCAACTATGGTACACCAAAGATGGACAGTCCAGAGTTGGCACCTCCAGCATCTACACCGTTGGCCAGTTTGACGGTTTTGCACTGGTTCTTGACACGCACGGAGGAAGGGTATGTTCCCTTACCCAGGTGTACCCTAATAAGAGACTGACTCTGTCTAGGGAGGCAGCATCCGAGGATTCCTCAACGACGGCACGACAGACTACAACCGTCACCGGAGCGTAGATAGTCTGGCTTTTGGCCACTGCGACTACCCATACCGTAACCTGGGCCGTCCCTCTGTCGTGCGTCTCAGGCACACGAACTCTATCTTCGAAGTCACCGTGGACGACAAGCTCTGTTTCTCGACGGACAAGGCATGACCACCCCACTGCAACAATGATTCCCATATCTAACAGCATATAGGTTTCTCTTCCTGTTGGAAATAACTTCGGCATGTCAGCCGCAACACCCGAGAACCCCGACTCCTTCGAAATCTTCAAATTTGTCGTGCAAACCATCCAATCCGGCACCAACCCCCCTCCACCACCCCCATCCCAACAGCAACAACAACCCATCGTCGTCCAACAACGCGACACCACCACCAACCCCAACCCCCAAGACCACTCAATCAACCAACAATTCACCGACCTAGGCAACCGCCTCCAACAAATCAACCACGCAACCAACAACATCATCCGCGACATCGGCAACCAAGACTCCAAGGCCGACTCCCGCAATGCAGACATCCTCCGCAAACTCGACCAGGTAATCGCAGGCCTCGACGCTAGAATGCAGCGCCTGGAAACGAACATGCAGACTATCCAGCGCGATCTCGAGGGTAAAGACTACCGGGACCGCTTCGCGCAGTTGCAGGAGACACTTAAGTCGTCGCATTTGAGTCTGAGTGAGAATTTGCAGACACATTTCCTTGATGGTAAGCTTTCTCTTCACCCAAAGAACCCAAATAGTGGAGTTGTGCGCTAACGAAAGCAGTTATCACCGCTTCGACGCCGCGTATGGGCTTCTTTATTGTCTTGGTTATTTCATTCCAGGTGTTCCTTGCTGTTTCTTACGTTATCTACAAGCGTCGTCGCGCGAACGCGCCTAAGAAGTTCCTCTAGAGATTTAGGTCGTTGGTGTTATTTATTTCGATGTGGTAGAAATGATTTCTTATTTTTGATTGGTTTTTGTATTTATGTTTTGATCAATCCGTTTTGCTTTATGGTTTGCTTTATCTTGCCTCTGTATATCACTAGATTTGCTAGGATTCTGAATTGCAGTACATACTCGAAAGCCAATCAAGAGAAAATAGTGAATTGACGAGACAAGCCTCTGTATCTGCATAGAAAGATTATAACAACAATAGTAACAACGATACCACCTCTTCCAATCTATTCCGTCAATAGAGCGAAGTTGTAGAAGGCCACGAATTGAAAAGACAACAAGAGCAGCGTAATTGTAGCAAGAGAAGAGTAACAACGATTTATCGTACAAATCTCAATATTTCCACCTCCACCCCCACCGAATGCAAGCGCAATACAATAATTGTAAGGTATTTTATCCAGAGACAGGCCCAATCGGTCCAGCCCGAGTAGCACGACCAAATGAAACGGAAACAGGCATGCGAAAGACCGCTGGAACGAGGCATGTCTCCATAACGCCAGAGAAACCCGGAATACAGAGAAAGAACGGGAAAGAGTTGGAATTCTATAGGACGCTCCGAAGGTCCAAAGGGAAGATCACCAAAATAGGGAGAACACCAAACTCCATGGCTCCGTAACGATGCACCTCGAAACATCAAAGGAAAAAACGAACAAAGGACAAATTACAGGATAATGTAATCAAGGCATACTAAAAGAAAAGGAAAGAAACGGGAAAGCTTCACGCCTCCTGCTGGAAATCCTGCAAAAATTTAAGACGATCTTCGATCGATTTTTGCAGAGACTGCAGCGAGTCAAGTTCTGTTTGAACCGATTCGACAGACCCGGCATTTCCATGGGTAAGGGCAAGCAAGCTCATTGCGGCATCCCGGTCATCGGTGGTTCGAGGAGCCACCGTGTCCTCCACGGGCGCGGGAGGCCGCGGCTGGCGTTGGGTCTTGTAATAAAAGCGAGCGTTGGCGGTCAGGTTGTCGAGCCGCTCCTTCGCGTAAGCAAAGTATTTCTCGGCGGCAGCCTTCTTGGCTTCCGCTTCAAAACGGTCACTGGATAAATTAGCGATTTGCAAGATGAAAGAGAAGGGGCAAACAAGGCAACATACCGTTTCACCTTCTCAATGAAACTTAGCTTAACGCCGTTCTCCGAAACGCGATACTTCTCCCCTTGGTGTGTGAGCTCTCTCATGTGCGCTTCCTCATCCTCTTCATCGGGAAGGATTTCAATATCGACCAGTCGAGGGCGCTTAATGCTGCGAATGCGTCGGCGATGTTCGTAGCCCTCTTCGTCGTAAACCAAGTAGGCCAGGTCGTGGTAGACATGATTGGGACACATCCAATACCTATGACCCTGTTCAGGGTGTTCCCTTCCTGCCGATGTTTGGACAGGCGGGTTCGATGTGATCGGGTCGGTGCAGTCCAAGTGGAACGAGCAGGGACAGTAATCACACTGAATGATAGGCCGGTCATGAAGACTTGTTTTGCCACAAACCATACAGAAAATAGGGGTTTCCCTTGATGAGTTGGGAAGTCTTTCGTAAAGCCTCCGGAGGTTCGGATCACTGTAGTTTGCGAGCCTGCTTCCCCGAACATTACGAGGAGCAATTCGAGGGAATGGTGGCCCAACTGGTTCATATCGTCCACCTTGTTTTTCATTCGATGTGACACCAGCAAAGTAGTCCTTAATCTCAGAGGGCAGCTTGAAATCTTGTTGTTCGACACTGTGATCCAAAGTACCAAGGAGTGCACGCATCGGCCTGGCAATTGAGCATTTCGGGCAGTACCATTCGCCTTCGGGCGGATTTGCAGGATCCAGGGGTGGTTCAAGACAGGAGAAATGGAACGATTTCACACAACCGTCACAGCATAGCAACTGTCCACTGCGGTTGCAGTTATGGCAAAAGTCGTTGTTCTCCGAGTACTCATCGTCACTGGAACAGGTTAGGTATTTTTTCTTCAAAAGGAAGGTTGAGAAAAAGAAGGGGAAACATACGAAGTAGCTATGCGCTGGTTATCGGGGGCCTCGCTAGTCTCGCGAGAACCTGATTGCTCCCTGCCATTCATCGGGATTCCATTAGATCGCGAACCATAGCCCCGAGACAATCCAGGCGACGCAAAGTTGGATAGAGCCAGCGAGCTGCGGACTTTGCTTTCTGGAATATCAAGCTCAGGAAGTTTCGGTTGCAACCGGTCCCGCTTTTCGTTAACGGCTCCTTCTGAGAAGTCAGGATTAATTTCCATGGCGCGCTTTCGTTGAGTAGACGCCTCTGCGTTGCTTGGAAACGCTGAGCGGCGAGCCGGGGGAATCGAAGTTTTTGGCTTGGGTTTGAGCGCTGTGATCTTGGCTTGTTTGCCTTTTGTGCGAGAACGAGTGTTGCTTGTTGCAGATGTCATTACTGGCGCAAACGTCTCAGCGTCAAGTGACTTTGCGGATGATAGCGAAGACACGCTACTGGCAGATCGCGTCCGAGTCATGGCAGGGGGTTGGGCATCGGAGCCATCGGTGTCCTCCTCGTGTTGAGATTCGTCCCATGCGGCGCGTATAACCGTTTTGAACGCGGATGTTTCGCGCCGGGTAGGATTTTCTCGACATATGCCATCCAGGATGGACAACATGGATGAATCATTGGAGGTGTTTTCCCACACATTTAAAAGGGTGCGAATGACCGCCTTGTTGCCCGTCTGGACACCTTGGCGGACAGCGTCCTTAACCGCGTCCTTGATTCGGTCAACGTCAAACTCATCAGAAGATGGAACTGGAAGTGCTGAGAAAATGGCAAGATGATCTTTCTTCTGAGCTTTTTCTTTTGGTTGGGCGGGCGCGGGAACCGGGATCGGTTCCTCGACAGGAGCATCGGGGGATTTTGATTTTTTGTCGCCTGTATCGCCATTCTGCTGAGCGCTCTGCCCGGCGTTCTGCTCCTCTTTGTGAATGCCGTTTTGCATGATTTGTGACGCTTCCTTGAGTGGTAATCTAGGGGTGGCCGGCTTGGACGGTTCTAAGCCCACTTTCCGCAAATCCGCGGTTGTTGGCATTGACCCTAGGGGTCGCATAGTTGACAATACAGGATTCGTGTCGCTAGACATGGCGGACCACGGCGAGTCCATATAGCTTGGGACCGCAGGTCTCACGGGCGGTTCGGTCCATCCTGTTTGTGGCGCGCTGGAGTTACTCTCAATCTCGGCTGTGAATTGTTCGGGATGCGACTGCGAGCCCTGCGGCGGGTCGGATGCTACTCGCGTGTTATGGCCTGTCCGTCTTAATTTTCGAGGTCTCGATGATTCTGCTGCCGAGGAAGGACGAACAGTAGTCGGCGCAGGCGACTCGACGGGCGTCGATGGACGTGACGAGGAACGGAGTTTCCGAGCCATCGCTGCCAGAAAAAGGGCTCGAATTGGAGCGGCGCCTAAGAGACACCAGATTAGCACAGCGCCAAATACACAATTACTGCAAGCCCAGAAAGTGACAGAAATACTTACTAGAAAGAAGAAACCACACGCAAGCAGCGAGCGTGCTCGTCGTTGCAGGGTGGAATGGTGGCCAGCCCGCGCGTTGTGATGCGGGTTTGGAAAAAGAGAAGCTTGCGGAGTTTCGGCGACGGGAGGTTTTCGAGGAGCCCAAGTCACACTTCCCAGGGGCAAATGACAACAACCGCCAAACCTGCACCGCAGAATTCAATAGTTAGACTGAGATTCTTCCTGTATGTTCTTTCTTTCCAATCATACAGAATGCGATATTTTGTTATTCAATAGAGGCAACACTCACCTAATGGTCTTTCTGACACAGCTTATTGGAGGGTTCCGGCAAGGAGAACAGCCTCACGGAATCAAAAGAACTATAGGTTCCGGTGAGGCAAAGGATGACTGCTAGAAGCCGTATGACGGTTTCTAGGAGATTCAAAGGTGAATCAAATGAAGTTGAACTGCGTATGTCAGTAAGATTGATGTTGTAAGACGGAATGCCAGCAATGAGAACTGCAGGACCAGTACATAGTAGGCAGACAAGTAGATGCATCAAAGAGCAATATACGCGACAGTAAAAAGAACAGGCTGTGTAATGTACAAGCTTCTCCAAGAGGGTTCAAGGAAAAGAAGGAGATATCTAACGTGGACTCGGGACAGGTGGCTCTCATCGTACCATAGATGCCGAATGCATTACTTACCAGGAAGATAACTGAGGCGTATTCGATCTAAGACTGCAACGAGTTGCAGCTGTGAGTAAGACTAACTTGCAGCTTTTCCTGCTCCAGATGCGCTTCTCGTGGTGTGTCGAGCAGGATTCCGGGAGGATGCGTGGGATTTGGATAGAACAAGAAATGTACAGAGAAACAAGAAACTCGAGTCCAGTTTTCTGTGACCTTGATGGAAGCAGCACAGCTGAACTGAAGAAAGAAGAGATGTGATGGTTTTCGAGGGGGGTGTTGGTGGTGAGATGAGGAAGAGGGAGGAAACGGAAATCGAAGCAGGAAGTGGAAATGTAAAATTCACAGAGATGAGTGTTATCTGCCAGAGAGCAGAGATTACTCTAGTTCTTTTTTTCTTTCTTTTCTCTCTTCAGTCACTGTGGTCTGGTGAATGCCACAGGGTGCGTGGTGCCCTGTTCAGCCAGGCCCAAGACGAATATTCAAGAGAAGAAATGAAGAAGAAATGAAACTTTCACTTAAGAAAGTGAGAGTCACCTTTTCGGAATGATGTGTTACAAGGGAATAAATGAGGAGTGCGAAATGTTGCAGGCAGAGTGGAAATGCAGAAGGCGCAAAGGGAGAAGACGAAAATCGCGAATAGACGCGAGATAAGTCCGAATACGAAAACGAAGAAGCGTCTATACGAAAGACAGCAACTCCAAATGACAGAGAGAAGCAGAAATAGGAACTCTGGGGATGGTTTCGTTGAAGAGTGCTGGAGGTGTGAAGAGAGTGGGAGGAAAAAAGAGATGGGAAAGGAATACACGGGGAAGTGGAAGATGCACTTCAGCCACCACGCCCAGCGGGGGTGAATACAAACCACCACTGCGAGACAAGACGGAAATGTTGAGGACGAGAATAGAAAAAGATAGACAAGGCTGTGAGAGTTTCTTCTCAGGCTTATACACATATATGATCACTACAGCTGTCAGGTGACATGGCATCCATGGCCACGGCCGATGCGACTATTGTGAGACCGGACAGTGGAGGATACGACTCATGCTACCAGTCACTGCAAAAGAGAGATTGATTTTCTATCCAGATCGAATAGAGACACCTAGGAATTAGGACAGAAGATAACCTGCATAGTGAACTGCCTCGAAGATGCATGCATCGGCAACTCGTCGACCGTCTGGACAGAACATTAACAGAAGACCAAAAATTCATACAGAGGCTTGAATAGCATTCCCCGAATTGTCCGCCTATCATCTCTTCTGCATTGTACATCTGTAGATGATCTGGCTGGTTCGACGGCATTTTTTGTCGCTGAAGAGTGCTGGCTGGTTTGAAAGATCGAGGACGTCATGATAGCTCAGATCATGCATAACGAACATCTTCCTACATCGAGCGTTCTTTACTTCTTCATCAGGGTTTCCTTGTGGTCAAGTCTGCCTGCCTGTGAAAGGCCGGTTTCAACTGGACCAGAGATCATCGAGGTCCTATACACTGCTTCATTAGCTTTCTACTGTACAGTGACATCGTATATCCCAGTTGAGGCATAGCCCCAAGGCAAAATATTGCAAAATGATCTTTTTTTTTTTTTTTTTTTTTTTTTTTTTTTTGATGAATTTTTGGCTCGTAGCACTGTTTTGCCTGTGACTAATTACGGCACACAAAATTCCAACAAATGCTCCATGACACAAGGAAATAACACAAATAAATGAAAAGAAAAGTAATAAACCTCACATTGCTTCCTTGTACCGATGAATATCTACTCGATTTCCTGAATGCCCGGTAGCAACTGCTCCAGGTGATTCCTCGCAAACCGCTTTTATGGTACCGGAGCATTGACAAGGTCTGCCGTTGCCTTCCTTCCTTTCTCTTCCCATTTTGGTGATAAAAAAGGAGTCAAAAATAAACGGCCGTCGTCTTTTTCACATGGATTCAAATGGCAGACGCGTGCGTGTATATGTGGGCGAGTGGGTATGTGGAAGGCAAATTATTCCCAATGGGAAGAAATTTACTCTTCCTGGGCACCGTCGGCCTTCTTGGCGGCCTTCTTCTTCTTGTTCTTGTTGGTCTTGTTGCCGGTGGAGCGGGCCAAGGGGCGTTCCAGGAGCTTGAGGATCTCCTCATCCTCAATCTTCTTGTCGGTCTGGTACTTGGAGAGGTCCGGAGCGTTGGGTGCGGCCAGGCGGGTGATGCCGTTCTTGGTGATGGCTGCAATGTGTTAGTTCCAAGTCGTACCCAAACAGGATGCTTAAACGGGGCAATCATACCAAGAGTGGTCAACAGACGGGAGACCGGAGCGTTTTCGGAGTCACCGGCAGGCTCGTACTGTCTCAACACACCGTTACGGACACACTCGACCACACCAACCTTGGCGGCCTTCTCGTCCTCGAGCTGGCGCAAACTGAAGGGGAATTGACCGAACTTCTTGACAACCTCCGACAGGGTCTGGCGGGAGCTGGGACGCTTGAGAATGTAGGTGGTGGTGGTACGGCGGTGCAGGGTAGCGCGGAGGGGCAGGTCTTTGACCTTTCCGGAGCCCAGAGAGAGACCGACCTCGACACCCCAGACTTCACCGACGGCAGGGACACCATCGCCACGGACGCCGTTGGCGGGGGAAAGGATGATCTTCTTCTCACCCTCGATCTCGTTGCGGTCGAAGATCCAGCTGGTGGTGTTCTCAACCACGTTGCACTCGTAGGCCTTGGCGACCTTCTCGAGAAGGCTGGAGATATGGGCTTGCGTAGGGGCCTTCTCGGCGGCAGCCTTCTTCTTCTCCTCTTCGGTACCGCTGGCGAGGAGGCCGGGGGGGACCATAAGGCGCAGCAACAGTTCGTTGGCGTAGTAGGTAGCGTGGACCAGGTCGGCCTCACGACCGGTGACGACGTCGCCAGCGCCAACGATGACCATGTCGCAAACAATGGTACCGAAGCCATCGATCTGAGCACCGAGCTGGATCTTGACGACCTCGTTGGCCTTGAGGGTCACCTCGGCTTCCTCCTTCTCGGACACCAAGGGGGTGTAGGGAGTGACATAGGAGCTAGGAGAAACGGTAGTCGGGTGACCGACACCTGTATATCCGCGGACGACCGGTTAACAACATTGGCCAGACTCGGCGACCTGACAATTGGGAAACGCACCCTTGCTGATCTTCTTGCCCTTGTAGACCTTGGAGATCTCCTCCTCGAGCAGCTGGTCACCCTTCTGGCAAAGCTCCACGATCTTCTCGCCCTCCTTACACCATCCTAAGCAACCGGGTTAGGCATTTTTGGTCTTTCGATTGGGTATTCCGAAAACGAAACGACGAACCTGCGACGGCCTCGAGGACTTTCTGGGAGATAGCAGCAGCGGTCTTGTACTTGGTCAAGGTGTCGGGGTTGTTGAGGGAGTAGTCTGTAGAACGCGCATCGATCCACGCGACTGGTTAGCTAGCTTGTCCAACGGACGAATGGGTGATATCATCAGAGCAAGAGCTCTTGTGACAGATGAAAATGCTCCAAATTCTGGTCTTTTTCCTTGCTCTTGTCTTATCTCATTTTTTTAAACCATTTTTTTCGTGATTCCACCGATTGAAGACGATTGAAGGTCCAGAGCTGCCAATAAGCAGTGTGGCTTCACTTACCAACCTCGGGGGCCTGAGTGGCCTGGGTGTTCTCAGCCATTGTGAAGTAGATAGGAGATCCTCGCGTCGATGCGAGTGACCGTTAAATATCAAATAAGTAGATAAGTAAATCGGGGTTCCAAAGAGGAAGTAAGAGAGAGGAAGAGTCGAGGCACGTTCGGCGGTGGTGGTTTTAGCGGGGTTTTTCCCTATGGAATTTATTTTTGATTTTTCGGTGGGTGAGAGACCGCTAGGGCTTAACGTCATCGCCGTCATCCACCTTTGAGCTCTTTATTTACCACTTCTCCAGTGCACGCTTTCTCCTCTTTGCTTTGCTCTAATGATGTTAATTAACTAACATGACCTGCAGAAGCTCTGACAGTTGTCTGTCTGCAGGAAAACATGGCCCAATCATGGTGGTTCAGCCTGGTGTGGCCGTTGTCGCTTTCTGGCTCGGCTGAGCTGGGATGAATCCTTCCCCTCAGCTACGTATCACCTCGGTTCTGTTCGCCTCAAGAAATCACCGATATCATCATCTTCTTCCTGTCTCCCTGGCATCGCAATGCAGATCCTCACGCAACTGCCGCTCCGCATCCTGACACACAATATCCGATACGCGACAACCTCGCTTTTCGAAGGAGAACGGCCGTGGGCGGAGCGCAAACAGCCCCTTCTCAATGAACTTCTCTACAATACCCGAAATTTGGACGCATTTATTTGTCTGCAGGAAGTGCTACATTCACAACTGATCGATATTCTCTCCGGGTTGAATCACGATTCTCAGCAACGGGAACCGAAACGAGCACAGGAACCATGGGCATACATTGGCGTGGGAAGGGATGACGGAGGAAAGGCTGGTGAATACTCACCCATATTCTATCGTCCTGCAGTCTGGCAACTCCGACACTGGGAAACTGTCTGGCTTTCAGAGACACCGACTGTTCCTTCCAAAGGCTGGGATGCCTCGTCGATTCGTATTGTCACGATCGGTGTTTTCACCCACCGCGTCAGTCAGCGGACAATCCTCTCAATGAACACCCATCTAGATGACCAAGGGTCGCGTTCGCGCTTTCAGGCAGCACATATAATCCTCCAGAAAATTCGCGAACACAAGGAGAGCGAATGGGGGGGCGTCATCTCGGGCGTCTTCCTGACAGGAGACCTGAACAGTGAGGAGCATCAAGAGGCATACCAGGTACTAACCGCAGCCGATTCCCCTGTAGTCGATACAGCCACACTGGTGGATGTTAAAGAACATTATGGCGACCGGATCACTTGGACCGGTTTTGATCATGAACCGGAGCCGCCTTCACGTTTAGACTATATATTTTTGGACGGTGGTCGCTCGCCATGGAAGGTCCAAGGGTACGCGGTGTTGCCCAATCGATTTGAGGACGGAATATACAATTCGGACCATCGTGCTGTCGTTACGGATGTTGTCTTGAGTTAGCTTTTCAAATTCCGAAATGCTTAGGATGATATACCTGTTTGCCCGTATATCATGGCTACTTCCTGAAACCAGTGACGATTCTACGCTAATTAGATGCACCGACCATAACATTATAAGATATATTCAAGATTCAATATATACAGTCCAGTCCGGTATAAATCCTCCGACAGACACACATTCACCAAAGCTTAACCTGAAAAGCCCCCATCGGCTCGGACATAAATCCTGACCAAAACCGCCTTAGATGCTGTTGAGGAGAGGGCCAACAACAGGAACTTTATTCAAAACTGGCCCCAGTATAGGGATACCAGCAGAATCAACCGCTGAGTTGGAAATCTGAGGGGTGGCACTGCTGGCTGCGGCGACGGTGGATTGAGAGGACGGGGTCGGGGAAGACGGGGTCGCCTGAGGGAGGGCAACGGCGACGGCTGCGAGGATGGGGAGGGAGACGATGGAGAACTTCATTTTGCTTGCGTGCTTTTTGATATTTCACTGTTAGTGTAAATCATCGAGGGTAGAGAAGAATAGTCGGGCCAACCTGGTGGTACAGTGGTTGTATGGAGTACGGAGTAGTCAATGAAGGGTAGTGAGCGTCCTTGGTGAATGAAGGGTAGTCTGTCACAGTATTTAAGTCTTGAATCTTTCTGCCTGTGATCTTCATGTCCCTGAGAACAATTGTGTGCTTGTCAATCACTGCTTAACAGCTGAAGATTATAACAGATTACTGAACATGCTGTGATCTTTGTGCTATAGATCACTATCTTACACAAAGTTTAGTGGTGTGTAGTTACTTAGTGTACTCTTTTCTCAGCTGCAGAATCCCGCCTTACAGCTTGGGGCTTTCTTTCTTCAAAATACTCTGTACTTTGTACTCTGTAGACTTCTTTCTCTTCTCGTGGTTGGATATATTTTGCAATACTGCTCAGTACAAAGTCCAACCCACCAGCCAAACCCAATAGTTTAGTCACATAGTGACGATAATCACCAATGACACAGGTCATGCCATCACTCACGGCAATTTGCATTATCATCATCCACTGGTTGTGTGATTCAGTTGTTGCTCCAAGAGGATTGAGCTCGGAAATTACTGGCCTCTCTGGAAAGGAAGGATTGCCAGCCATGGTACTTCATAGAGGAATGGCTCAATGTATCCATGTCAATCTGGTCCATCAAGTCAACAAGCCTATGGAGTATACGATAGTTGGATGCTTCTGTAGTAGACACTTCCACCAGAGCCCAGCTTCAAGAACCAACAAGTACTTGTAAGACCAGGCAATCTGCTACTCCTGAAATTCATTATTCAAAGCGTTGATAAGAGCGCGATCAAGGGCCAAGAGGCAGAATAGACCCAAGTCCAGGCAGCAGCAGTTACTCCTGAGATTTATAGCGATTTGCACAATTGTGGTTATGGGCGATCCCGCCTGGTCAAAGTGTCTTCAGGAAGCTGATCCTGGGGACGATCATAGGGACTAGTGCAGTACTCCGAGTACTATGTACTATGTATGCATAAATTCACACTGGCAAGATTTGTGGATTCCATTTTACAATCGGAAATTTGGAAATGGGCGTCCGCATCTCTAATCGGTACTAGAGCCACAGAACTCAATCTTCTTATCTAAAGTACTTGCACGTATTGGATATTGAAGGCTGAATTTATGTAATGTACAATGACCCGCATCCCCCTTAGAACAGGACTCAATCAAGCAGACGGTGTAGGCTTGGATGAAGGGCACCGGCTCTAGCTATGAGCAGGTTCATTGAATTTAATCCCCTTAAGAAGGGTTGGAACAAGTGACAGAACACCATGAACCCCTTTATCCTCATCTCCTTCTCTTTTGACCATGGGAGCGGCTTCTTTAGCGGCATTCCTGTTCGAGCTGTCGCTGGCGAGGTTGACGGAATTGCTGTCTTGGTTTGCTTCGAGAGGAGCGGCAATGGCAGCAGCCGTGAGGGTTAGGATGGAGGCGATGCTGGAGAACTTCATACTGCTTGTGTGAGTGTGTTTTTTCTAAGTGGATTGTTAATGACTATGTTCTGTAATTGTGTGTCGTCTTAGGATGACGATGGACCTACCTGGAGACGGTCGTAATCGTAAAGTCGTGTGAGGTGAGTAAAGGATGAAAACCAGAAGAGAAGAGTACCTGACAGGGTCCATTGCGGTATTTAGGTTAAATTTTTAAATATACAACTCCTTACATACCGCCTGTGCTCTCTGACTTGTTTACCCATCCCTTTGGAATGTTCGTATATAGTATCACTACGGCTTGTAGGAATCGAGCAACTGAGATGAAAAGCAACCGCGTTCAAGCTGGTTCATGACTTATCTCAGTTTAACGATGGATTGTCTGGAATTTCAAAGGCCGTCGTTAACGTCTATATCCAAGCCGGGACGATTTCCTCGAATTGGAAGGGTTGAGACTTTCCGAGACAACAGGGAATGTAGGGTGGAATTCAGTCCGAAAGGGCATGGAATTAACGGTTATGATAGGCTTACTGGACTTGATTCTTGATAATGTATGACATTAGGTCAATTTCATTTCATTAGAATCTATTAGGGATACAAAATAGATTTATACAAGTCCGGTAAAGCCACCTCCAACTTATTCCCAAGACTCCCATCTTTCGATCTAAACAAAACGCGTGGGCGAAGACGGAGCTAAAGCCCAAAGCACGACGGAGACATCGACTTTACTCATCTTCAAATGGAGGGGGCCCAACAATTTCTGTAAGAAGGGGGCCGACAACAGAAAGAGACCCCAAAAAAAGTCCCTGTCTGTTGGTGATCAAGGTCTTGGAGTTCGAGTCGATGTTGGTATTAGGGTCGGCGGCTGTCTTGGAATCGAGAGGGACAGCGATGGTGACAGCCGCGAGGAGGATTAGAAGGGAGGCAACGCTTGAGAGTCGCATTTTGTTTGGAGACAGGTTTTTCTGTTGATTCCAATTTTCAGTACGAGTGAATATGAAAACTATCAGCTTCAAATAAAAGAGAATTAACCTACCTGGTGGAGTTGCTGCATCTATAGAATATTGAGTTTAGGAAAGGGAGATATTCCATTGCTTTATTGACGTCGAATGTCTTCGTTGTTAACTTTAGATCCCTGGTGGATGTCAATATTGTGTCATTCGGTGTTGTATATCCGAACCATCCATTGTCTATATTTTCCACATCAATCAAAATCCCCAGTCCCCAAACAGTCGGACATGATCCATGGTTCAGCCCACGTGGAGAAATACCACCGTAGTATCAGAAGCCATTTTTTAGAGCATGATATGTTGCTGGTAGGAAATAGTTTTCACTTATTTTCAATGCAACAGGCGCCAATTTTGAATAATAGACATGCAATTGCGGTCACTTAGCATGCCAGGATCCCATCCCAAGATTCATTAGTGCTTAATTGCTTTTATGGAATATACACCGTTTGTGGGAAATATACATATTTATGAAGATGCTAGTGTTAGGTTGGCTCTGAGTGCTTTGTATCTTTGAGATAGTGACCCAAGAGCGAGAGGATGGAGGATCTTGGTCAGAGATGGAACCAAAGATTTCCCATACGGAGTGCTGATGGTGAACTTCAGCTTGGGATCCTATGCAACAGCAAATGGAGTGAAGAGCAGACTGCGCCTATCTTGACGGTGCAGCGATTGTAGAAGGGTACATAGTTACGGAGTAACTGCTGTACTTAGCCGAGTTAACTCCACAATACATGATGTAGATATGCACCCCGAAGTTAACAATCCTACTAAATAGGCATATGTGAGATCTCCTGCATGTAGTCTCTGAGAGGCTTCTGGAGTTTATGACAAGAATATTGCTATCAGGGAAATGGCATCTTTATTCTCCTCGGAATCAGACGAGTAGTGGTCAATATACTGGTGATGATGATAGAAATCGACACATATTGAACGGGAGTTGCCTCCAGTAAGTTGTATCGCAAAGCCCAATTGAAATAGTCCTTCAGATGCTGCATGCATAATTAATATATATTGTAAAATGAGACATAACAGTACCACTTCAGAAAGAGTCCGAAACAGAGTGATATAGAGCACAACATGAATCAAGAATTTCCACAAGAAAAATCCACTTCAGACCCATCTCCATTTGTACGTCAGACCTCAAAAGGCTCCTCCTTCTCCTCCTATCTTTCCTCCTCCTCCTATTTTTCCTCCTCCTCCTATTTTTCCTCCTATCTTTCCTTCTCCATCTCCATCTCCATCTCCTCCTCCTTCTTGTTGAGCTTCTCCTTCTGCTTCTCCTTGTCCTTCTGCCTCTCCTTCTCCTTCGATTTGTCTCTTGGCGACAGGAAGGACATTGTTGTTAATAGGGTCAGAAAGGTCATCAAGAACTGATTTCTTTTCGATATACACAGCATTACTGAGTCCTGGGTCAGTTGATCCCTCACGGCTGAGGGAAGCACCGCTGGCATCAGCATTGACCGGGGCGGCAATGGAGACAGCCGCAAGGAAAAGTGAAAGGGAGACGGTGCTGAGCTTCATTTTGTTTGTAACCTTGTTTCAATTCAAGGGTCAGCGTAAGTCATAAGAATAGAACAGAACAGACTTACCTGGCGTTGGTTGTTGTGGTTATGGAATAATGTGCTTCAGGAGATGAGTGAGGGAAGGGAATTGGAGGAGAGAACAGGGAGGCTTAGTGCTGTATTTATATTGAATCTTGCCGACTGAGCTGTCTGTTCTCCATGATCTTGAGTTGAAAACTAACACCCCTGGTGGAAAGATTGCCCATCCGGTGCTGTGGCTGGCTGGTGGATATGTGATGTTCCCATATAATTATTCCATGTTGTAGATCCAGAGTTCGATAGTCGAATCCTTCTCGTCGCCCAAAAAGGAATGTGCTCGGAACGGAGTACTTGTACGGCTGCTGAAGGGAAGTTTTCTTGGTCATTCTGTACTCCGTAGAGTAGATGATGCAAGATACAAGTCACATCCTGAACTTGCTGCGAAGAATTCTTTTTCATCAAAATCTGATTCTTTCTCTTGTGTTGGTTCATGGTAATACTGCATGGTCAATGCCAATTGTTCGGCCCGCTTTGTGGGTCTAAAGGGGCTCCTTGCCCTATAAGGCCTGGACTAGTGGTGATGGAATCCCTAGTTTCCTCTGACCATTGTTGGATTGAGGCATCGGGGCTACCGAGTCAATGGTACGGTTCACGCTGGTTCACCGTTACTTGAGAGATTGACATGTGCATTGACCACGCTCGGGTACGGAGTAGTTAAATTGCGTGATCTTTCTGTTGCGCCGGAAGTTGAAGTCGGGTCCTGCAGGGCTCAGCTAAAAAGTAGATCTCCGGCTTCAGCTGTATTCGAGGCTGAAGACTTTCCGAACTACTGAGCAGATCATCATTTCAGGACTTCCAAGACTCTAGAAATGACTACTTACTACTTAGTAGCAAAATTGTAAATCCCACTCAACGAACTGCGGAATAATGCATGTTGAGAAAGCAATTATATCAGTGAACAGACAGCCGTTTTCTCCATTCCTCAACCATTACAATAGCATTATATGCATAATATTATTATATACAACAGATTCGCATGTAAATTTCAGACAAAACACCTCAACAAGGTCTTGTCTTTTGGCGTTGGCAACTTGGTAGTAGCTGCTGTGGATATAGAATGGTGTCCTCTGGGAGGTGAGTGATGGGAAGAAGTTGAAGGTGAAGAGAGACGATGGAAATCCATTGCTGTATTTATGTCGAATTCTGACTTGAGCTGAAAAATCACTTGCCCTGAGGCTGACTGATTTCTCGATCTATACGCGCATTAAAGTTCGATAGTTATATCGCGATCTACTACAGAGTACACCATAAGTACTCTGTGTGGATAAGATGTATGCACTAACTGCATCTGGCAACGTGCACCAACCTGTCTACGTGTAGAGCTCAGCTGCAAATGCAGATCTTTGTTTGTTTGGCCGAATTCGAAGCTGAAAACTTTCCTGGCCGGACCATGGATGCGTGAATTGTTCATGTTGTTCCGTCCAGGCCATATCCCGGGATCATTGGAGCCATGTACGGAGTACAGGCTACGGGATACTGAGGAAGCAACGATATCACCGAGTCATACAGTGGTTATAAAAATGACATACCGGTATCATTCCATGTTATTTGAGGCCCAACACAGTACACGTAAAGTTAGAAACTATTATCAAGTCCCTATCCCAAAGTTTTAACTGCCAAATCACGATGAAAGTAAGGACTGTGATCTGGTGCTGTGATGTGTTCATGCATAGTACATGCTGCAATGTTCAGGGACATATCGTGCACCATGCTATGCCCGATGGTTCAGCCCGCCTGGTTGGCCCCGGGGAGTTCTTGGTCCCATAGGGTCGGTGTGATAGTGATAGATAGTGTTGTTGATAAATCGCTAGTCTCATGCTATGTAACGTCAAGACGCTAAATTGCCATCATTTGAAGTGATCTGCTGTATTAGGAAAGGGTCACATGAATGTATATTTCCCAATATGGACTAGTGGTATCACGTGCTATACCACACTGCACCATCCCCAAAATAGCAAAATTCAGTCACATGATTCCATACCGAAGCGTAAAATACGGTAATACCGATACAGCCTCAGGCTCACCACCATCACCAGCGACTTTGCGGTCTCGCGATGGCTTCAGAAAGTGCCCAAAAGGGTTATATTCCAATCAGATTGCTCGAATTTCACGCTGTTGACTTGCCCTGAAGCCGTCTGTCTTCTGCTCTCTCCTCGCTCTCTTCAGACGGAAACGGTCACCACCAGCTGTAACGGCCTTTTTTCTGCCGGCGCGTTTTCTCCCTCACACACTCACTCACACTCTCCTCTCTCCTGTCACGTCCCATATTGCCGCGCAAACAGCACCGTCACAACCGACGAGCTAACAAAAGAATAATCTGGAAAGGGAAGAGGGAAAGAAAGAAGGAAACACAGAAACGCCAGAGACGCGCTAGTCGAACGTTCCCCCGGTGCGCCGTCCGCTGCTTCGCCGCCTGCTTCCGTTTCGGTCCGACTGTCTATTATATTATTCTGGAAAAGGGAGTCGGATTGGACTCTGGTATGTTTTGTTCTTTTCCTATTCTTTACGCTATCTCTTTTCGCTGGTTGCTCTCTTCAATTCCCTTCGCACCGTTTTCCCCTCACGACCATTACCCATTTGTCGGATGATGAATCCTTCGGAACAACTTTGCGACAGGCTGGCCTTCTCTGGTTCGCCATCGCATCAATTCCGCATTAAAAACGTGTCGTGGTTGTCGCGATGATTCAAAATGGTTGCGTTGACATGCTGATCGTGGTCCGCTTTAGCTTGTAGTGCTGCGACTGGTCTGCAGCACCAAAGGATGTCGTAGCTGTCCCATCACGGCCACCTTTGTTCCTCGAATTGAACTGAACACTCGTGGGAGTGACGCACTTGGAACCCTCCAACCGAACAAGAAAATACAAACTACCACCGGACCATGCCATTCCCCGACATGGAGCAGTCACTTCACGACCTCCCAGCGGAGAACGACGCAGATGCAGACATGGACCAATACGAAGATACCTCCCCTGACCCTCCGACGGAACAGGAAATGAACGGGCCGGAGACAATCGCAGAGGGGAAACAAAACGCCAAAGCCGTTCTCGCGGCTTCAGGGGTGCCTGTTTCGGAATCAAGTCACGACGCGTCCACACCGAACTCCCAGTCGAATGGCGCCAACGGCTCAGCGAAGAAACGTTCCCGCGATAGTTCCGCTCTACCTGTGCGCGTTCGAGAGACCCCGCTAGATAAGGTCCGGCTCGAGAACTATGTCAATCGGGAGTTTGAACATTCAGCAGCGGCGGCTTGGCATAATCCGACTCGGGAATTGCTTCAGCAGAAACGTGCAGAAAGAGATTATTATCTTGCCGTCCGACGCGAGACCCAGATGAACCCGGGGGCTGTATATGGTGTTGGCTATGAAGGATTTGGGAATGTTCGCACGGATTCGCGACATCCGCAATTATTATATCCGGGCAACCGTCGTCGACCAGGGAATAGGAAGACGAGAGAACTGCGCATCCCGCGCAAAGACATGAAGATCCAAAATGAGCAAACCGAAGATCTGGTACCAATTCGCCTTGATATCGAGTGGGAAAAGCTTCGAATCCGTGACACCTTTACCTGGAACCTTCACGACCGTGTCGTCTCGCCTGATTTATTTGCGGAGAAGATGGTAGAGGATCTGGGTGTGCCAATGGAGACCTGTCTGCCTTTGGTGCGGATGGTTTCGCAGAACATCCAGGAACAGCTCTCCGATTACTACCCTCAATTATACATCCAGGAAGACCCCATCGACCCGCACCTACCGTACAGTGCCTACAAGAATGACGAAATGCGCATCTTAATCAAGCTCAACATCACCATTGGCCAGCATACTCTCATCGATCAGTTCGAATGGGACATGAATGACCCACTCAACTCCCCCGAGGAGTTCGCAGCACACATGACCAAAGACCTATCTCTATCTGGCGAATTCGCGACGGCGATTGCCCACTCCATCCGCGAACAGTCGCAGCTCTTCACCAAGTCCTTGTATATTGTCTCCCATCCGTTCGACGGCCGCCCCATCGAAGACCCCGATCTCAAATCCTCATTCCTCCCTACTCCCGTCCACTCTCCATTCCGTCCTTTCCAGGCTGCCAAGGAATTCACACCGTACTTGTACGAGCTCAATGAAGCAGAACTGGAGCGCACAGAAGTGTCGATATCTCGCGAGCAACGCCGACAGAAGCGGTCGGTCAACCGTCGTGGTGGTCCAGCTCTACCGGATCTGAAGGATCGTCAACGAACTATTCGGACTCTGGTTGTATCATCGGTCATTCCCAATAGCGCACCATCCCTCGAAGACAGCAATCTCTTCAAACGGTCAGGCTCAGCCCGCCATAGGCGCGCCATGGGTCAGCGAGATCTTGGCGATGAATCTGAAGAATCGGATAGTGATGACTCGTCGATTGGGTCTCCCGCGATTGGTCCTAATCTGGCACAAGGTACTGCGCGCACAAGAGGCATGAGAGGTGCCGCAACCGCAGCTCATGCTGCTCTGCGCGCCAACCTCAACCCCTCCGCTACACCAGAGCCCCATTACGAGCCTAGGGCTTCAGCACGGAGACAAAACTACAGGGAGGAAAGTGTCGAGGAGCAGGATTCGCTCATCGTGAAACTCCGGGTCCCTCCATCGAAGTTCCGGCAATTCCTCATCCGTGGACCTCAGTCTCTGCCATCAAACGTACCCACATCGACACCGGGCCACCTACGCTCGCAACATGGCACGCCTCAGGTCCAGACCCCTACACCCAGCTCCACAGCCCTCCCATCTCAACAACCACCGCGTAGTGCCTCGGGATCGCAAACACCAGCTCCTCCACAACAACTCGGAGCAATTGACGCGATTCACCCTCCTCAACCAGGCGTTCCTGGGGTGAGTATCCACCGCCAAGGATATCTAAATCATATCCCATACTAACATCTAATCCAGCCTCCACCACCTACCTGGCTCGCCACAGGCCTCGCACAGCTCCAACGCTCATACCCTAATGACTCTTTCGAGGGCATAATGCGCTACACCGCCGTCGACACCGAAACCATGCACCCCGTTGCCAACTCTGCAAACACACCCGCTCACAGATTGAAGTATCAATATCTTCCCCGTATCCGATGCCACGACTGCCCGGGTAAACTGTACACACCCGGTCCGGGGATGACAGTTGACAACTTCGAAGTCCACCTCCGGAACCGGCAACATAAGGAACGGGTGGAAGAAAGACTTGCAAAGGGTGGTGCACCTGTGCCTGCACCTGCTGCGTCATAATCTATTCATGAGATAACCTTTTCTTATACTGCATTTGCGTTTTTTGTCACCGCCATCTCCCGTTATTACAATTTTCTGCTTTTGCCTGTTATTGGTTCGCTTGGTGTATAGGATTCCTTCCAAGCGGGATGGTCTTGTAATTTTCTTGTTTACCTGTTCATGTTCATTAAACACTCTAGTGACATTGGGGTTCTTCTCTGTTTGGAAAGGCGTAAATATATCCTTCTGGATCTTTGACGGGAAATTCCAAACATGGACATCTAAGCAAATAGACTTGGCAGGATTAGTAGTTTCATGAACCAATCAGCGTTCGGCAGTGACATACTGGACGGGTATATAGAACGGCCAAGTACAATACTATATGGCATTTGGATTCAAACTTGAAAGGTGTACTAGAGATGCTCGTCCGTTCTAGACTACTATTCGCATTAAACCCCTATCACAGCCTCAAACCCAGTCCGGCGGTACACCCAGGCCTCCGCCGTCTAACAACCATGCCACCACCACCAACCCTCACCCCTCTTCACTCCCTAGCCCTCCCCGAAACCGATGACGACCCAACCATCCGCCAAAAACACCGCCCCTTCCTCACAACCTCACAACAACCCACTCCAACAGCAGCAGAGAACCAGGAGCATGACTGGATCAACACCCTAGAACTAAACACAGCCCTATCCATAGTCCAGCAAGATCTCCATAAACCCTCATCCCAAGGCAGACTGAAAGTCCTCGTGCTCTACGGCAGTCTACGACGCAGATCGTACTCGAAGCTGGTGGCCTTTGAAGCAGCACGGATTCTCTTCCGGTTGGGCTGTGATGTGCGCGTGTTTGATCCGGAGGGGTTGCCGGTTAAGAATGAGGTGGATGTTGGGCATAATAAGGTGCAGGAGTTGAGGGGGTTGAGTACTTGGAGTAATGGGCATGTTTGGGTTTCGCCAGAGCAGCATGGGAATTTGGTCAGCCCTTCCACCACACCCTCCAGAACTACCTGGCGATACTGTAGCTAACAAAAGAGCACAGACCGCCGTATTCAAAAACCAACTCGACTGGATCCCCCTAAGCACCGACAGCATCCGCCCGACGCAAGGCCGCACGCTCGCCATCGCCCAAGTATGTGGTGGCTCGCAGTCCTTCAACGCCGTGAACTCCCTCCGCCTTCTAGGCCGGTGGATGCGCATGTTCACGATCCCCAATCAATCGTCGATTCCGAAAGCGTACACGCATTTTCCGGCGGAGGGGGAGGTGGGGGATCAGAGGATGCTGGCTAGTGGGAATCGGGATCGGTTGGTGGATTGTATGGAGGAGTTTGTGAAGTATACAGTTTTGATGAGGCCGCATTTGGGGCTCTTTGGGGATCGGTTTAGTGAGCGGGAGGAGAGGAGGGTGAAGTCTTGATAGTATTGGATTGTGATAAGGTAGCTGTAGAGAAGGGTGACAATGTATTATGCATGAGGATTCCAGCATGTATCCTGATTGCTTCTCTTTAGCCCACCTTCCTTTCCCCCTACAAGCCCAGGCCTACTCAAGAAACCCGCAACTCCTCAATAAGCCCCTCAACCCTCCCCCGAATCTCATCCCTCACACCCCTCACAACCCCAACCCCCTGGCCGGCAGGATCCCCAACCCGCCAGTCAACATATCGCTTCCCCGGAAAATAAGGACAAGCATCCCCACAGCCCATCGTGACAATAACATCACATTCCTCAACAGTTTCGCGCCCAAGGACCTTCGGTTTCTGATCCGAGATGTTGATTCCTTCTTCTAGCATGATTTGCACGACGATTGGGTTTATGGTGGGCGCTGGGGAGGAGCCGGCGGAGTGGACTTGGATGGTGTTGTTGGTGAGGTGGGTGAGGTAGGCTGCGGCTATTTGGGAGCGGCCGGCGTTGTGGATGCAGAGGAAGAGGACGGTGGGTTTGGGGGGCATGGTGATGGTTGGGGTGGATGATTTCGCAGGTTGTTGGAAGTTGGGAGGTGTTTATGTGCTCTTTTTCCTGTCTATATACGGGCTGGGGTATAGATCCGCACATTTTGGATGAATGTCACTCCTGTAATGCTATTGGCTGGAGGGAGTGAGAGCGGCACAAGAGACTTATGTATAGCATCGTAAATCAACTAAACTGCAACAGATCAAATATGTAACTGGCGAAGAAGTAAAGAAAAAGAAAGGGTATAAATCTCAATTTGACAGCAACAGCAACAGCAACAGCAACGAAATCATAATAGCGAAAAGGCAAATGAGGAATCCGAAAACGAAGCAACAGAAATCGCCGAGCAAACGAACAAATAACAAAACCCATCATACATACAATTGTCGTGCTCTGTACGGAGTATAGAATAGAAAGAAGTCACTCTGGACACATAACATAACCTCAATCATGACTGGAACACGGCGCAAACGATTCACCGTCGAGAAGACCTCCTCGTTGGTAAACTTGTCGAACCACCTTTCTTACTCGCAGCGGCTTTCCCTCGTGCCTTTGAAAACTTCGCCGGAGCAGGTGCAGGTTCAGGTGGTGCCTCTTCCTCAGCGGCATCGGCGTCTTCTACTTGTTCGTCACCGTCATTGTCATCACCATTTTTAGATGCCTTCTCTTCTTCGTCTCCGTTTTGGTCTTCAGCATCGCTGCCATCTTGTTCATTCTCGTCATTGTCTTCACCATCATCTGCTTCTTGTCCCTCCCAATCATCCATCTCCTGATCATCTTGATCACTGTCCCGATCAGCATAACTAACGCCCTTAGCAGCAGTGCCGCGGCTACTCCGCCTCCGCGCAGACGACTCCTTCTTCCCGGCTTTCCCACCTTCATCAGACGACCAGCCATCTTCATCTCTCTTCTTCCGCTTAGGCGCCTTGGAAGGAGTAGTGCCAGACGTCCTCCGGGCAGCTCGCGCCGTCTTCTGGGTATCCGACTTCCTTCTCTTAGTCGCGCTAGAATCCCCATTCGCATCATTGCTCTCGGGCTTCCGCTTCTTAGCCTGGCCCTGGGATCCACCACCCCGTGGTTTCATGACATTTTTCACGAAACGATCGAGCACGTCGTCGAGGTCGTCGGGGAGGAAGTTCTTCTCGGCTACTTCCTGCGCTTCGCGGTGGCTGCTCATTGGTGCGAAGAGCGAGCTTGAGACTCCCATCTTGCCTGGGTAGGTTTGGAGGATGTTGGTGCCACCACTTGCTCCGCCGAATTTGTGTTGTTGGGAGTAGATGTCGGCGAAGCGGCGGATGGTTGCTTGGGCTAGGTCTGAGAGGGTGTGGAGATTGTTGGTGATTTCGTCGGATTTGGTGATGCCATCACGGGTTTGCTTGACGCGCTGGGCGACGTGGAAAATCAGCGATAGATTTCGCTCGTTTCCAACGGCGGAGAGGTAGAAGAGGATGTAGCGTGCGAAATCGGTAAGATCAGCCACTTTAGTCGATTCATCAAGGTCCGCAGGCGGGTAGTCAGGGTGGTAGGCAAGAAGAGACAAGAGGCGGGAGAATATCGACTCCATAACCATCTGCTGCTCATTCCGCTTTCCACTGGCCTGGACCTGCTGCGCGAAGTATGCCGCGCGAGACCGCAGCCAGGTGAGGGTGCTGTCTTTCAGGTTCACATCCGGTTCGAAAGCAAGCAGACACGGAACGATGTACCAACGATGGCTCAAATACGAGTTCTGGACAAGCTTCTTCTTAAGCTGTTCAATAAACCCAATTCTCACGAACGGGATCCGATCCTGGGCGACTAATGAGATCGAGTTGAAGTCTTGAGGGGCAAGCAGGTGATCGCAAAGACTGTGGGATGCACAGAGCTTGAGCAGCGCTTTGGCAGCTGCCAAACGTAACCGTGGCTTCTGCGTAGCCGGTGTGTCCTTCTTCTTGGACAGCTCACCCTCATTAGCGACAAGTTTGTTCAATGTGGTATAAACAGGCTCTGCCTGCGCACGGAAAGCCACCTCGTCCTCGGTGCTCTTCTTAGCCCGGAGACGGTTGACGATGATCTTCAGCGCCCATTCCTTAGCAACAGTTTCCTCGTCAGCAGAATCGGACCACTTGTAACCAGAATCCGATTCGGGAGACCGATTTGAGAGGAGAATCTGGTCAATCGCAATCGAGACAATAGCGTCTTTCTCCTCATCTGCTTCCCGTGGTGCGAGATGGTTCAGCTTGGACAAGGTAGCCAACTTGGTAAGGAACCGATCAGAACCATAGGTCCAGTTTGAGACACACTTCTGCAGCAAATCCTTTGCATACATTTCCTTTTTCTCGGTGGTTGCCATGAGAATGGTAACGGCATGCTTGGCAGCACGAGGCGACGAGCTGTAGAGTGCGTAGTTGGTCAAAGCCTGCAAGAATTTGCGATCTTTAGGAAGCTTATCGGGAAGCTTCTTCGCAAATCCAGAGCAGGCCTTCAGGATTTCCTCTGTACCGGCATCGTTGCTTGACTTCTCCGTCGGCGCTTGGGACTCCAAATCCTTACACATCTCCTGGACCTGTGCTTCAAGCACGGCAGGATTGCGCGACGAAATCTCCCTCAGCATCTCCTGTGCCGGGTTTGCCAGCCCATTCTCATCTGTTCGCGAAAGACTCATAATCGCGGGAATGTGGCTCCTGTTGAAGATGAGAGAACTGCTGCGGTATAAGAGCGGCGTCACAGTCTCGAGGAGCGTGGCATTGTTCGAGTTCTGAACTCTCCTAATCAGCTCCTTGATCGCCTTAATGACAGTGCGGTAGTCAGTGTGTGCGGCCATAGAAAAACGGAACAGCTGATAGTTTCGCCGGTCATGCACCTTGGCGAATTTCCAGAGATCTGCTGGTGCCCGCGATGAGTCGGGGAAGGCCTTTGCCAGGGCATCGACCATCCGGCCGAGTTGAGCCTTGACTTTTGCCTCGTCTTTTTCAATCACGCCGCCATTATAATCCTCACAGGCTTGGAGGTACATTGTCATGAGCGTCCTCATAGACATCTGTCTAGCCTGCATCGCGAAGAACACTTTCTTCGCCTTGTCATTCAACCCTGCGAGCAAGGTCAGGATACGACGGGCCCGGATCTTATCAGTATCAGTTTCGCTGTCGCCCTCTGAAGCCTGTGACTGTGATTCCTTTTGCTTTTGCGACTGGGTCGAAGTAGTCCGAGAAAGTTTGGACTTGATAGGAGGGTAATGAAGCGGAATGAGAATCTCAAAAAGTACATTATCAATCGTAACATGGATGTCCGGGTCATTGGTGTAATAAGCATCGAAGATCTTCGATGGCCCATCCTTGAGCAGAGAGACCACTTGCTCATTATTCTGCTCGATCTCGCCTGCCGCGACGGCCCACATTCGAGCTATAGCCTTCATCGCATGCTCCCGGACCTGGGGTTTCCGGTCCTTGACTCGTTCTGCAAGAATTGACAGAATCGAGTTATCGGATGAAAAGCCTCCGTTGAAGCCAAGCTTGTAGACCACGTGAGAAAGACCAAAGATACCAACAGCGTCCACGGCTGCCACACGGACCTTCTCATCAGCGTCACGAAGCATCGTTGCCAGGTTCTTGATTAGCGTCTGTTCCTCGCCTTCACTCAAGCCCGAGCCACCAGCGGATGTTAACAAGATCCGCCCCACAACGATTGCCCAAGCTGCCCGGACAGAAGCATTCTTGTCGAGACGTCGGCTCAAGAAGCTCTCGTAGGAGGACGAGTGGGTCTGAGAAAATGGCTTAGGAGAAAAGGGTGTGAGAAGAACGCTGGTCTGAGGAGTCAATTGCTCATACTCCGCCAAGGTCACTGGGGGATATGCGGCTGGGTCCATTGGAGGCGGAGGGGGAGGACCAGCAACCCCGATGCCCGCCGTAAGGTCACCGATAGTCTGCGTGGCTAACAGACGTAGCGATATCGACTCTGCTGAGAGCTCTGCCTCCAACTGCGGGACCACATTTTGCAGTACCTCCGGACACGCTCTCCAGAGCTCGCGGATCAAGCGATGTGCTTTGCTCAGCTCCTTAATGTCCTCACCTTCTTCGTCGGAATCATCGAGGTTGGGTCTCCGATTCGATTTCGAACCGTTCGCGCCAGCGCCAGCCGAAGCATCGATGATGACGTTGTTGAAATACTGACTGATATGACTCGTCATGCGATCCGGACAGGCTTGACAGATGGCCTTGGACATGTTATAGGCAGGTGGGTAATCCTTCAACAGCAGCGTGCCCTGCTTAGCATCAATTGGCGTATCCGGCTTCTTTCCTTTCTTGCTTGGGTTTTCGAGCGCACGGGGATCCACGCGCAGGTACTGAGCCACGATGATATCCACCACCTCAGGCGCTAGAACAGGCGACTCATCGATAACCGTCACAAGGAGCCGTGTCATGTCGAATTCCACATTCTTGGCAATCTCTTCTCCCGTAGACGCCTTGGACGAACCCGAGACAATATCAAAGCAGGTGGTAAAAAGCGGCACAATTAACGAATCCGGATGGTCGAGATCTGTCATAAGCACCACACTCTTCACTTCCGCAAGAGAATTCAAAACGTAGATATGCTGAGCATTGTAAGGATGCGACGGATCCGCCAGCGCCGGAATAATCGACGACACAATACACGTAAAAAGATCCTACACCACCAAAGTCAGTATCTCGCCCGGAGAACAAAACTCCCCTAACCCAATCCAATTTCAATCCAAGAGCATCCCCATACCTTAAGCTGATTCCCCGTAAACGGCGCATCCGGCGCACAAAGCCTCAAAACATCCACAATACAACACCCCACCCATGCGCGCACCCCTTTATCCCTATGCCCCAACAACTGCGGCGTCGCCAACTCCTGAGCAACCTTGGTCAATGACCTCGTCTCAACTTCCTCCTGCTCCATCTTCCTCAGCTCCCCCGCGAGCGTCTGCAGCCGCTGCAGCAGATCCGCAATGGGGATCGCGGCCCGGCCCACGCGCCAGGTAATCGGTTCATTGAATTTTAGTTTGCGGAGGCCGCCGCCGGTGGATATTCTTGGTTCTGGTTCTTCGGGGGTTCCTTCGGCTTCGGGCTGGTCCACGACTTGTTCTTCCGCCGTTGTCGTCGTTGTCGCGGCCGAGGGCCCTTGACGGGTGCGCGCAGGCATCGTGGACTGGACGGGCGAACGAAGCGCGGGGAATGTAGCGGGATTGAGGGCGATGGTTGGGGTTTCTTTTTAGTACACCATGTGAGGTGGATGTGCAGATGATAAGAAATGTCGAAACTTTAAGATAGAGGATGAAAAAGCTGAAATCTAAAGATAGAAGAGACAAATGAGGGAAAAAGACAGATGAGAAGGAGAGGTGGAGGGGACAAGAGATAACCGGTATATGGCTGACCGCCTGCTACAAATGGACCGACGCGTCGCATAGCGTGTTTTGGCATTATTATACACAAATTGCACAATCTGCATAACTATGGGTATGGGTATTATTTTCTATTTGCTATGCCATATGCATATTATCTATAGACATTAGGTTTCATGAGAATATCAGAACGCCATGTTGTGCTCAACAGTAATAACAACAAGGAAACATATTTTCTTTTTTTTTTTTTTTTTTTTTTTTTTTTTTTTTTTTTTTTTTTTTTTCAGTCATGATTAGAGACCAACGCGAAGGGTATCACAGCTTAGGAGTGTACTTGCTCATAGCCCGAATGCGAGCTCCATAAAAGAAGAAGAAAATCGGAATCGGAATCATAGCAGCAGTAATAAACCCAAGCAAACTCGACGCCCAGTTCACCCCCAGATTATGATACATCTGAACAGCGAAGAGCGGAAATGCACCACCCAGCGTACTCCGAATAAGCGTATTCGCCGCAATCGCAGAGTTGGCAAACATCAGATACACATCGATGATATAGTTGAGACCCTGCATGAAGATAACCAGGATACCCATACCGATCGGGACACTGGCGATTACCTGCGGCACCCAGCTGACATGCGGGTTCGAGGTCCAGCCGAACCAGAACAGACCGGCGGGGAGGAGGACGGAGGCGACCATCATGGGGACCAGGCGTTCTTCGGGGATGACTTTGCCGTGCTTCTTAAACTTGCGGGCGAAACGGGTCTTTGTTTGCCAGATGAGGAAGGCGACGCCGAAGAGCACCCCGACTAGGATTCCGATGAAGGGCAGTCCGGCGACACCTTCGTTCGTCCAGCCGCGGACTTCCTGGAATGAAACGGGGAAGGCTTCGAAGAATAGGTACAGGATACCGTAGATGACGGCGAGGTAGATCGTGATAAGCATCAGGATCGGTTCGAGGAAAAGCATCTGCACCGGACGCAGGAGGTACTTCCAGACGATGTCCTTCATAGTCGGCCGGTTCTCGTCGAGGACGGCGTGCAGGGCCCAGTTTCCGGTTTCCTGGCGAAGACGGGCGGCACGACGCTGGTGAAGGACTGGTGCATAGGTTTCAGGAATGACGAAGAAACCGAAGATACCAAAAGCAGCCGAAGCGATCAAGGTAATCCAAGCTGTCCAGCGCCAGCCGAGGTACGATTGGGTAATGAATCCACCGACAATGGGCCCTGTGACTGTCAGACCATGTTGAGCAGAGGGTTAGATGCAGAGAGGAACTTACCAAGAGCAGGACCAACGAAAGTGGCCGCAGAGAACATAGCAATAGCCACAGCACGATCCACAGGATCCCAAAAGTCCGCCAAAGCACCACCAACAACAGCAACAGGCGAGCAACCAAACACACCAACAAAGAACCGGCACACCAGGATAGTCTCCAGATTCTGAGCCACAGCAACAGGAATCTGGAAGATCGCAAAAATCGTATAACCCATGAACAATGGCAACCTGCGTCCATACAACTCAGACAACGGCGACCAAACAAGCGGACCAACCGCAAACCCGAACACCACCAAACTAGTCGCCAGAGTCATAACTTCAGTCGAGACATTGAACTCCTCAGCCGTCACCACAGTCGCCGTCGAGAAGACACTACTCGCGAAAGTCATCCACATGGTCATCGAGGACATGGTCATGGTGAGCAGCCACTTGCGCCAGAGCACCATGTTGTGAGGGTTCTCTGGGTCGTCGGGGCCGTTCCAGCCCACGAGGTTGGGATCGCTTGCGGGCTCGTCTTTTGGCTTCTCATCGTCTTTCATGGCGTCCTTTTCTGGGTCTTGGTTGGCGTCATGTTGTTGTGCTGTTTGGGCGGACTCGGAGGTCTTGGGGATGTCCTCCGAGGAGGGCATCGCGAGGTGGCTCTCGTGACTTAGACGGGGGGTTGGAGCTGTCGAGTCAAATGTGGCTTGGATATTGTTGTCAGAACCCATGCCTAACAACTCTAATTTCTTTCCCCCGATTGTCTATTGTCAAGTTTTGTTCAAGACACAAAGACCTTTGTCTGTATTAGGTAGTAACAACAACTAAACAATTCGAAAAGATAGATAAACAGGAGGGGTATAAAGTAGTGAATAACAACACAGCAGAATCAGGTAAGAGAAAATCACGAGGGGGTAGTGAAAAGATTTTTATACCATCGACTGGCATCATTCAGTGGGCCTGTGAGTAAATAGGCAGCCCAACAAATCTTAGCAGCAGAAAAAAGGAAAAACCTCCGACCTCAAAAGCTGAACCAAATAATCCACTAACACCCATACATAGTATGGAAACACCGTTATTTCCGTCCATCTCTTCACATTTGGAGTGCTAAATCCGAACGATTGGAGTCCGATATGCCGAATACTGATTACACCGGTCGTCCATTAGTCAAAAAACGACAACCCCCAAACCCTCCGCAAAGATGGCAGCGAATAAGAGCAGTCAGGGATTCCGCTATCCGTGCGGTGTGATTGCGGAAACGACGAGCCTTATGCCCTTATGCCTGTATGTAGTGTTGTCTGCCCTGCATGGCTGACACCAGATGGCGATGGGGCCGTTTCGCGCTCGCATTTCGGGTGTTCCGAACACCGATGGAATCTTCACCAGTGAAATTTGCACCATCCGCGGTGTATTCGGCAAGTGGTTGGTCTTGGAAATCCCGACTGGGCATTGCAAAACAAATTTTTAATCTGTTAGCCTGCCCTGTGCGTCATTGATCCGTCCGAGTCTATCTGCAACGGATCTCTGCTGAGATGCCCTCTATGGAATAAATATGTTGGAGTTCTCTCCTAGCCCTGAGGATCTGATATGAGTCGCAAACGCATGTTGTATACTCTCCAATCTCACACTAGCAGTTTCAACAAGTCAGTCAAAAACAAGCCACAATCGCGCTATGATTCAAGGATGACCAAGAACCTTAAAAGTACACGCTTGTCCCGCCGCGGCGCAGCTGACCCAATGGGTCCCGGTGGGTATGGGGGGTCAAGCCAATACTTGACTATTTCTTCATTTGGGTTTGTTCTCGGGGTTTTCTCGAACGCAGTGGAGATGGAAAAATAACTACATAGTTATGTAACTATGTAGTTAGTTAACTAGTTAACGTAATCTATCACCGAGCTGGCCAGCTGGCTGCGCCCTTTGAAGCCTTTCTCCCCACGAAATTGATATATATTATCTATAAAAACGATAGACTATTTCTCAGGGCATTTAAGCCGATTATGGCCTGTTTTACCACATGTGCTGCAGGTTGGTGGCCTACGCAGCCTGGAAATTGGCCGGCGTGCTTCCTTCACTATAGCCTCCTGTTCTTGCGCTTTTTGCAATCCTTGAGCACCTTTCAGGCTCCCTCCAGCCTGTATAAAGGCCATAGGAGCTGCTTGTTTCTGCCTTTGATGCTTATTTTCCATGCGAAGCTGGTGGACTTCATGTTGCAGTAGGATGGCATTGTGCATGGTCATCGCCAGTTACCCATTCACGATTCCCAGACTGTAAGGCTTTGGCATTGCTTGCCCGAGTCTCTGAGCCATATATAACTTTGGCTGTGGATATCATGTCCATCTGAAATCCAGTTTCATCCATATTGTAGATATCTTGCTGAAGAATTCCATATTTTTCAATAGCATCATGGAAGCGCTTATACCACCCCATAATAAGCTCTGGATCTTCACATTTGGCATGCTGGTAGTCATATTTTCAGCTGTATTCAGAGGAGAGTTCATCATGGCGTCAAATATACCGAGTCACCTAACACTCGCCCACATAGGCAGTCTGGGAGGATAGCCGTGCAGACAGTAATAACTGTGCCAAAGAACGTACAGTGGAGATTTGTAGAGGTAGGCTACGCTGGCCCATATCAATAATCCATTATGAGTGTCTTTTCTTCAGTAGGTGTCAATTTTCAGTGATTGGCAACTGATTTCTTGTGGCATGTGGTTCCTTTAACCTGGGTCTTAAAAGGTAGAGAGAGGCACATCATATGCCTTTGCTGCTTTTTTTTTTTTTTTTTTTTAATGAAAAAGAACCTTTTTAAAAGCTTCTAGAGCTAATTTCATGCGATCTTCTTTTGAATTATCAGCCATGGTTGTGGTTGTGGATAAATTGCAAATATGAATAGTAGGTGGTCGCGGATGTGGCTAGCTGGCCAGCTTGGTGATAATTTCCATAACGTAATCATCCCCCGAGCGACGAATACCACCGAGCGACGAACTTTGTATGCCCATGCATTTTTCAAACTGCTATAGCTCAACAAACACCGCGTTACTTATGCTTATATTAGTTATGTCAGTGGATCATATAACTAGTTAAAATAAATAGAGATCAGTCTTAAATACACACTGTACATCAAAATACACCGTAATTTATTTTATTGGTGCAATTAAAGTAGTAGGTCAATTAAAAATCCGTACGCAGACTGCTTATTATCTAGAAATATGCCATCCAAGATATCGAGTGAAAAAAAAAAAAAAAATTTGCTAAGCTATAGCGGATTGAAAATGCTACTTTATATAGGAATACAAAGTTCGTCGCTCGGGGGATGATTACGTTAGTATCATTTTTTCTTTAAGATAGTTATGGTTTTTCGTTTGACAAATGATGCTTTGTGGTGGTCTCTCTCAAGTCTAGATGCTGTCTTTAATTGGCCTAAAACATAATGCAACAATGGCATCGGCAAAGAAATACATACGTTTCTGTAGGCTATACTTGTCTGTATATGAGGATTAGATCACTACGGACAGCAGGATATATATATATCGGCAACCACACCCAAATTCCACGATAACGTAGACTTCAAAGATATCTCATTTGAAATCTGACAGAGAGTTCTAATTAAAGGATATATATTGGAAATTGAGAAGATGTAAATGACAGATAGTGGTCAAACAGTACCACCGTGGCTTCAACTGTATTCCTAAATATGCAACCAAGGAAATCATCCTACATGGTATAAACGCCAGTCCCAATCCCAACAGCCCAGTATATGCTAGCCAGACCCGCTGACAATTACCTATGATAACGCCTTGATATATACCACAAACCAGATATATCACTTAGAAACACCATTAAATGCAATAGAAACTGTTTCATGAACTACCATCCGCACTAGATTCGTCCTTCTGCTTCTGCTTCCTCAAGGAGGAAATCGCTTTTTGCACTTCTTCTTTCGCAACGGTTGCAAGGTCCGCTTTCGCGTCGTCTTCGAGGGCTTCTGAATCACCCGCTCGTTCGTACAACATTCGCGAGATAGATCGATTGATGTCCGTATATTCATCCTTCGAAACGTAGTCCCGGCGATAGTATGGTTTCAGTGCCTTTCCCACAAGCCTCTGGATGTCCGACTTCACACCCATGGATGGGCCGGACCGAGTTGGGGAATTGCTTAGCGATCGTGCTTTCAGTAATTCCTGCGCTGCTCGTGGTATCCGCGACCGGGATCGGCCAGCATCTGTGCGAGACGGAGTCGGCTCGGGTAGATCATTGTTTCTGGAAGTGGATGGGGAGACATCCGGCGAGAATGGTGGAGATGAAGGGTCAGCGGGGGATGAGAGTTGGAGCGGCGATATGGGCCGGCTCCGGGTATATGGCGGTGGGCTGGTGGTGGATAAACAAGGGGATGACTGGTTGGAGGGGGCAGGTGAAAGGGATGGTGATGATGGTCCGGATGTGGCATGATCGACGTTTGTGACCTGACCAAACGGTCCATAAGAGATAGTACTACCGCCTGGAGTGGAGGCTTCATCAACCTCCTTCAGAAGTGATTGTAGGAAACTGGGTTCGTTTGAAGACTCGGCGTTGATTCGGGCAGATGCTTGCGCACCGGCAGCTCTCGAAGACTCGCCATTTTGCGACGCCAAGGCGGCCAACTCTTGTGGTCTACGGGTGCGTGGACGTTTGAGTTTCCGTTCGGGTTCAGTGGGTTCAGGTGAAGGAGACAGCGTAGGCTCTTTTCGCTTCCTCGCCGCACTTGGATCGTTTTCAATCTCGCGGGCGCGTTCGAAAGCATTCCACGCCCTCATCTCCTCCAAAGACTCGGGTTCAGGTGTAGGCTCTCGGGGCGCGCGGGGTCGAGAAGGCCGGGGAGCATCGATATCGAGAAGAGCAGCAGTGTCTCTAAACCGGTGGCTACCACCTTGATGTTCTGCAACCTCGAACCGACGCTGCCATGCTCGAAACTCTCGTTGGTTGGCCTCCTCCCTTCGCTGTTGTTGTAGAGCACGCTGTGCAGCTCTGTCATCATCAAACGGGAAATCGAGGTCCAAGTTGAGATGATCCCAGACGGACTGCCACACGCGGGCCCAGTGAAGGGAGTTCATGTGGTTCCTGGTCTGCAGTCTCCGGAGTTGTGCCCTCGTGCGACGACCTCGACTGTCCTGTCCTCGTGGCGATATTACTGACGAATCAGCAAAAACACCGACAGTGCCCTGTTCTTCACACTGATTGCAGAACCACGGGGTCGACGGTACGGCATCGAGCCCGACACAGTAGGTGTGGGAAGGGACATCGCAGCAATCGCAGAGAAGCAACAGCTCCTCATTATCAGAGTCTCCACAGACCGGACAAGGCTGGAAGTCTGCAACGTCGTCGTCGACATAATCGACAATCATCGAGGGATCGATTTCGGGGACTTGGACTCGGTCCTCGACCGCGTAGGAGGATTGCACGGAACCTACACAACCAACGATTAGCATCTGCCATCAACTATATGATATTCTGTCAACATACCTCCAGGACGGTCACTCAACTGCACGACATTGAAGCTGCGACGACATATCGGACAACTGTTGGCACGTTCAACCCACGGCTTCAAACAGTTGTTGTGCAGGATATGCCCGCAAGGGAGCAACTGGGCGATCAGACCAGGATCCTCAATACCATCGCCAACATTGTCCGCCTTGATCACATCGTTGGAATTGTCCTTCCCTTCGAGATCAGGTCTTGGCACGGGTTCTGGGGTGATAGTACGAGGATCGCTGCTGGCGCTTTCGCCAAGGTCTCCTAAACAGACAATACAGGTGTCGGACATTGACGGAAGGATACGAGCCGAGGTTGTCTGCAGAGGAGGCGAAAGGAGGCATGAAGAGCAACGAGGCGATAAAAGGAGAGGGGGAGGGAGGGAGAAGAAATAAGGCCGAGGAGAGGAGAGAGAGAAGGGTGTGGGGAGAAAGCAGCCGGGCTTTTTGAAGGTGGAGCGTGAATCCAGTCTAACTCAAAACAGTCTGGGCGGCAACGTGACCGGCCAGTGGATGACGCCGTGGCGGTGACCATCGAGAGAAATGCATACTCATATACACTCAAGAGACACACACATACTCTCCCTACAAGTGCTCTCTCTCGGTAAATATCCTAATATATACGTACATGGTGGGTTGCCCTTGCAGCCAAGTACGGTGGATTGGAGGGTCAGATTCCTGCGCAACAGGGAGCATCTGGTGGACAGTCGGGGACCTCGTAAGATGGACACAAGGCACCCGAAAAGAAATGGATTATTCTACGCACCATCATAGGACAGAGCAGAAGGATGTAAAGGAACAGCTGACGTTGTAGCGGTCGCCAGCAAAATCTTACGCCAGTCAGATGGCCCATACCTCATCCTTCCGGGGCGCACAGTAAGCGATGGACTCCCCGGTCATTCGAACGCACATTATAACATCGGGTGGTAGAAAACTCGTTTTGTCCGAAGATTCGTGATTCACAATGGTATTCAATTCATGTCTAGTATCTCGATGACGCGAAGGGGAACCGTCGACTACTCGGTAAAAAGGCGCTGTTCATGACAGATTCCTCAAGATGCCCAGAATCTTTTGAATTTTTAAACGTAAGAACTAAAAAAAATGATCCCATGGTCACGTTTAAACCTCCGCGATTTCTCTGAGACGACGGATGGTCGAGCGGGTGGCAGCGGCGGCGGGTGTCCTGCAGAAGCACCATCGGTCAGTAACAAGTCCAGTATTTCAATTCGGCATCCTCCTGCGTGTTGCTGGTCGTGATATCCCAGTTCAAGCCAAGTCCTGAATCCAAGTAGTATCTCCGACCGCAACACAGCAGGATAAACCGCCATCTCATATCCCGTAGGTTCACTTACGAGACAGTGTAGGCACCACCGGCGGTAGTCTTGTTGCAACCCTTGCACTCCCAGATACCAACAGCCTTGCGCTTGACGGTGTTCTTTCCGCAGAAGGTGCAGACGTAGCGGGAATGCTGCTGGATTTCCATCTTCTTCACCTGCTTACGCAGGGAGGCACCGTATCTGTTATCGAGCCATCGTGTCAACGAAACTGTTCACTTCGGGTTTTTCTCGTTTCGAGATCTCGGTTCTTTCAAATCGTCGACTCGTTCATTCGATTCCAAATGGAAAAATTTTCGAATCGACATCCGACACCGAATTCGTTGCAGGGGAGTCGTCTGGAGCAAAGCCTACCTGGTACCATATTTACCCGTGATTCCGACCTCTGAAATTCAAGTTAGCATATTTTATTCTCTTCTCTTCAAATAGAGCATTATTATCTTCTGTAGGAAAGACTTACTCTTGGTGCGCTTCGTCATCTTGTCTCTGTGCGGCTGTTGAGCGAAGATGGAAACAGTGCGGTTAGGAATTCGAGGCGGCCGCTTTGAGAGTCGTTGTGGGTGCGCTCGCTTAGGGCTCCGCGTCACGTGAGACCCACCAAAGATCTTTACTTTGTGCTATGGTCGAGCAAGAAAACCATGAATGACTGAATATTATCCATTATTTTTAGTGGATATCACACATAAATGCTATCCTAACATTTAATATAAATAATCATTTAAAATGTCTTTAACCTGTTATCCGTAGCAACGCTGAAATCTCTGCCGAAAAGGGTCATGTCACGTGTCACACGTGACCATTCACTACATCATTGCTCGAAGTAGATTTCTCTCCTTGACTCATTATGATTATTGTAATCGCAATTAGTCTTCTTATTTCAGTCCTCCCAGTTCGAATTTTCATCCTCTACTCACTACCCCAAGAAAATTGTCGGTCTATTGCTGAGATATGTTGATATGAGATATGACGTCACAGTCCTATGCTTATCGTCCGCACCAAACTGCCATGACGCATTACTCAGTACTCTGTATTGTGATCGAGAATTCTTCAAGGCGAGCGCAGTCAAATGGAAAACCCTTGGAGGGTCCTTTTAGGGAGACTTCTAATAACAATCCTATTGAGGCTATGGTTACACTAGGTCATTGTACTCGGTCCTTGAGTCGCAACACGAATCACATATCAGAGTGTGCTTTCGAATGGCCAAAATACTTCCGAATAAGTCATGTGCAAAGTGAGGCATGCAACTAGATAGCCCCTGGAGGAAATGTTTGCCAGGGGAAGAGGACTTCATCACAGAAATGAGGAAGCAGTTCAGACGGGGGTGATTGGAAACATAGGAAGGTTAACGATCTTCAAATTCTGGGAACAGAGCTTCGCTTTGCGGACTTCTCGAGTGCCATTATTGATAAAAAGGATCTTTATCCCGATCTTATTTCCACATTGATCGAAAACTTGAACATTTTGGTACCAAGGTCAATTGGACCGCCGACCCGAAGAAAGCGGAAGCGTCCTGGCACAGCGCCTTGGTATGGCTTACCTGGAGATCCTGTCTTCGAATGAGGCTAACCAGTAACAGGACAGGTCATCTGATACATGGACGACTTCCATTGCTGGTACTGTAGTGGTGTGCCCCAGGATACTACCGGAGGTACGTTACTTGCCGGTATCGACCCGGCATCTCCGTCAGGGTTTGCCCGTGTTCAGTACGATATGTTTACCACATATGATCAGAAGTGAGGCTTTTGGAGGACCAGAGCAGGGAGGGTACCGCCGGATAATGGTATTCCTTTGGCGGGTTAATGACAACCAATTCGTTCTCGCCGGGCCTATCTCATCGGACACATTCGCCCGCCGAACAAAAAACCTACTTGAAGGAGTGCATGTCGCTTATTTCCAAGATGGCAATGTATATGAAAGCCCAGAGAACTCGGGCTTGGGTTGTCAGATAGGAAACCTGTCTTTCCGACTCATCACATCCTCAAACGAGCATCTCGCATTCGAAATCCTGAAACGTGATCCCCGTCATGCTCGAGACAATCAGCCTACCGAATCGAAGAAGATACCAGTCATATTAGCTAGCACATGATTTTAAAATACCATATCAGTGAAGAGGACGACCCAGAGATGCCATCCAGAAATGCATTGCACGCATTGATGGATGTGGTAATACAGAGGCTTTCTCGCAACAATGCTAAGTTTGGCTTGAAAATGTAAGTAACCATTCTTAAAGTCCTTCTTTCTGAACCTCTTGTTTCGTTAATTGAGACTATACTCAAAATAACTCCTGTATACTTTCCTGTATCTTCCGCTGCTCTGTATCTTGTTGTCCTCGGCCCCTTCGGTGCCTCAGGCATATATTGATGAAGAGTGATTCCCTATACTTCAAAAATAGATATACTCCAAATAACCCCTCTTTGATATTCACTCTGCACAGAATATACCAGAAAAGAAACCAAAAACATAAACGTGACGTACAAGCCGTCCGAGTCACATGTCCAAAGTATGCCGGCTTGCATTGCCGTTTACGGTTACATGTCCGTCGGGGGAAAACACCGTGAAGTTTCCCCCTGTGATCTGAACCAGAGCTCAAACACAATTCATCCCTCGGCAATAAACAAAGAAAATCATGGCTGCTACCAGGGAATTTGATATTGTGCTCCTGGGCCCTACCGGGTATACCGGTAAGCTCTGTGCGGAGCATATCGTTCAGAGCCTCCCTACGAACCTTAAGTGGGCTTTGGCTGGCCGGAACTTGTCCAAGGTCGAGGGTATCGCGAAGGAGCTGAAGGAGTTGAACCCTGACCGCGTGGATCCTGGTATGTACCTGCTTGTCAGCTAATAAGCATATGGTCTTGTTGCTAACGCGTAACAGCGATTATTGCTGTCCAGCTCAACCGCGAGGAATTGCAGCCTCTTGCGCAGAAGACCAGAGTCGTGATCAACTGCGTGGGACCTTATCATTTGTATTCGACTCCTGTTGTTGAGGCGTGTGTTTCCAATGGGACACACTACGTTGATGCGTAAGTGATTGCTATAAATTAGCCGAACTGACCTCGGACATGGCTGATCTATGTAGTACGGGAGAGACCCCATGGGTGAGGTCCATTATCGACAAGTACCATGAAACCGCCAAAGCAAATGGCGCTATTGTTAGTTGGAAACCTCATATAGGTGGACTAGGTGTGCTAATATACTCTAGGTTATCCCCTCTGTTGGAATTGAAAGTGCACCTGCGGATATCTTGACCTGGTCCACTGTTAAGACTGTTCGTGAGAAGCTCTCTTGCCAGCCCAGAGACGTGGTCAGCGCCATCGAAGAGATGAAGTATGCTCTCGAGTCAACAAATTAACGGATTCCCCTATACTAACTGTTTTTTAGAACATCCGGAGCCAGCGGTGGCACTCTCAACACTATTCTGACCATTGTTGAATCTCTTCCCGCCTCCGATCTGATGAAAATCGCAGACCCTTATACTCTTGTCGCCTCTAAACCATCCCGTCAAATCCCCAACGAGCCCCTTATTTCCAGAATCCTGGGCATCCGCTCCGTGCGCGACCTCGGCACTCTCACCACCTGCCCTTCCGGAACGGCAGACGTGAGCATCATCCACCGCAGCAGTACCCTCATGCCCGAATTCTACGGCCCCAGCTTTTTCTCCCGCCAATTTCTGCGCGTGCGTAACGCATTCGTCGGCGCTGCCATCCACCTAGCCTTCATGGCCGGAATAGCCCTTATCCTCCTGCCTCCCGTCCGGACATTGTTGAAACGCTACATATACACTCCCGGCAACGGCCCTACCAAAGAGGACTCTGTCAATGACCGCGTCGAGTACCGCGCCATCGCAACGGCAGACCAGGACGTCCCGTCCCCGCAGCGGGTATTTGGCAAGTTGACGTACGATGGTTCGATGTATGTCTTCACCGGACTTCTTATGGCTGAGGCGGCGATGACCATTTTGGGCAACGAGGAGAAGGTGAGGAAGGTCTCTCGTGGTGGTATTGTGACTTCGGCTACGCTGGGACAGGAGTTTGTGAATCGTTTGGAGAAGGTGGGGTGTCGGATTGAGACGCAGGTTTTTGACTACTGATGATTTCTTTTCTTTTTCTTTTTCTTTTTTCTTTTTGCCCTATTCTTTTGTCAGTGACGACTTTTCTTTTGATATCTCTTAGCCATAGTCAGATATGCAGCCATGCCATATAAAACCATGATTCCCCTGCTTTCTTGATATTACGATGTATGTCTTTTCTATCTTTCCTCATCACATAGCTATATGAACGATAGTTCCCTGAGTTGCTCGAGAATTGCAGAGCATCATTAGGGTTCGGAAATGCAGAGGTGTTCATTCTAGTCACATGATTACGGATGAAATAACCCCAGTGACTCACTGTCATAAAACAACAACGTACGGTTTTTCAAACCAGCGAACACCCATACGCGATGGCATTCACAAGAATGGAGGGTCCCGGAGCTCAAGTTGTAGACCAGTACCGACAAAATCTAATCCATCGCCTAGATACACTTCGACGGGAATTATCAACCGCGACAGGACTCATGGGCATCATATGGCTTTGCAGCATTGGAAAACTAGAGAAAGCTGTTAAGTTGGCGGAAATCGATACAAATATTCTTAATTTGAACTTTGCTATGATGAGTGTTATGCTGGAACTGGTGTTTAGACCCTGTAAGGACGCATCCTTTCAACCCTTAGCTCGACAGGTTTGGCTTTTTATTAACTGAGTTTTTTGCAGGGACTGATCGTTCTCGTTTTACCGTGGATGAGGCGCCGACTCAAGAGCGTGATAGTTCTCCTGAGGGAGAAGAGGAAGAAAAGGAAGAGGAAGATGAGGAGGATGAGTATCGGACATCGAGAGGCGTATTTTTACCACCCTTGAATGTCTTAAACGCGCCGCTTGCTCCCCATCCCAAGAAGAGGAAGATCTAGTAAGTCTTCGATATCCCCTTCCACGTACACACTGGCTAATCCATTACAGTGCTCCGCGAGAGACGATTCCCGCTGTGTAATCACCGGAGCCGGAGGAGTGGTAGAGACCGCACGCATATACCCCTACTCATTGAACTCTACAGTCCGATCTGAGTCGTTCTGGGACATACTCGACAAATACTGGAACAAGGATGTTGTGTCGCGCCGGAAACGGGATGTCTTCGGAAGCAAGGGCACTGAGGTCTGCCAGAACCTCATCACGCCGTCCACTGATGCGCATGTATACTGGGACGCAGGGCTGTTCGCTCTAAAGCTATTGTCGTTGAGCAATGACAAGAGAATGCTCCGGTTGCAGTTTTTCTGGCTGTGTCTTCGTGACAGATGTGTTTGATGAGAATCTGGACAGGTCAATCTCTGATGCTAAACTCTACAATTTCAGAAATAACACTACAGTCCGCTCGGGTGATGTAATCACACTCAAGACTGATGACCCGGAAAAGAAGCCCCTTCCGAGTATGGATCTTCTGGAAATGCAATGGGTTCTTCATCATCTTACTGCCTTGTGCGGAGGTGTTTATGTTGAGCCAGTGAAATCCTATTCTGACTACGATGATGAGGATTATGATTCCATGGACGAATATGATGATTTCTAGCACAACACAGCAAAACCCGAGAGTGGATTTCTGTACCAATATCCTATAGCAAAAAGCGACACCATTGTCATCGTCAGACAGACATAGTTGACATCTTGACGTGAGATACTCTTAGCACATAAGTATATTTACAATTGAACCAAAGAATCAGTATGACTAGGGCTCATAGAGCAACTAGTTCAACGTACAAGTGCACCGCGTCTCTGGGCTATCGACGTCTTTATCCATCCATCTTTCTTCATATTCTGTACGAAATGCCTAATCGGATCCACCCAGTCTCAATAGTTATGCGAGTTTCCGCCGCTTTGGTCCCGAGGATTATCGCGTGGGAGCGGTTGCTGCCCTCTTTCGAGTTGACATAGTCTTTACCCATTGCTTAGCAAAATCCATGATTAAGAGTAGTCCCTCGGAGGAGCATACCAGTTTCAAACCAGCCCTTCCTTGATAAAAGGCGTCATCGTGATTCTTGGTCAATAAGGCCAGGTACAAAAGACACTTTCGCACGGGGACCGTCTCTGCTGACGAGTCTGTGCTCGCCAAAACTGGCCCGGCGTAACGAAACGAATCATCGTCACACCGTTGCAAGAACCAGGTCTTGTTGTAGGTGTGAAAAAGGAATAGCGACAATTAAAGTCGTCCATATATCGGGCGACTTGTCCTGTGGCAGGTTATTAGCATTCAGAGATGATACCTCGGAAGTCTCATAATGAAGCAACCAGCTAAAAAGCCTCAGTGCTTTCTCCTTTCTTGGGCTTAAAAGTCCAGTCGGTCTTGACTTTGTCCACCACGAGGATACGGAGATTGCCCAGGGAGATGACTACCAGGTCGGGGTATACGTGCTGGATTTTGACACCAGATGCGGATACCATGACCTGGTAGTCCACGAAGCGAACGTCAAGAATCTTGCCAATCTGTTGGCACATGTTATCCACCACGCGGGGCTGAGCTCCCAGCTTATTTCCGGAAACAAACTTCTCCTGGTCATCTACTGCGTTGACTTCCGTTCAGAGTCTTTCCACTTGCGCGTAGTCTGTTCACACCTCAGCATAAGCTATCATGAGAAAGTGGTATCCTTTTGACTTACCATACCATTCCCAACCCTTGTCGGATAGAAAGCTTCATCTTTATCATTGACCTTTGATGCAAGGAACAGGAAGCACTCCGCCAATGATACCTTACTATCCGACGATGCCGTTTCAGCTAGGATTGGACCAGCGCGGAGGAATTACATGTCTCCTTTCCTCTATAAAAACCATGTCTTTTCGTGAGTACTGAAGAAGCAGTACCGACAGTGGAAGTCATCCATATAGCGGACGACTTGCCCTATGAATAGTTAGCTTGCTGAAGGACCAAATGCATCTGAATAGACCATACCAAGGCACCTGGCCATAAACTCGTCTTCGGTCTCTTTGTCTTTTTTATGAAATGTCCAAAAGGTCTTGAGTTCCACCACCACAAGGATTTTGAAATCACCCTCAGAGACAATAAGCAGGTCCGGGTACACCGAGCGAGAGCCATACTCCTTGTTAGCCGTTTGACCTGTTAGTCCTTGCTTATCAGCGGGTGGGACGGCGACCTGAAAGTCCGCAAAGTGAACGTTGATACCAAGCTCTTTGAATACATTTCCTAGGCCGTGGCCAATGTGTTCGACAAATCGGGACTGAACTCCCAGTTCATTTCCGACGGCAAATACCTCTTCTGGGTAAGTTGAACCGAGACCTTGCACTAGGTTTCCCGTCAAGGCACGGACGGATGTCCTGACTTCTTCCTCGAAGCCACCCCACCTTGATATCCAGGATTCGGTCAATGAACGGACGCTGTTGCTTATAGACTTGGTATGGCGTCCATCTCACAAAAATACGTGGAAGTGCAGACCAGATCCGATACATTTGGGAGATCTGAAAAGAGGGAAGCAGGATAATAAGGCTCAACAAGAAGGTGAAATAGTGCAGTTGGATTGAGGAAATAGAGTCTCAACAGAGACCAACTATCGAAGACTTTATATTCTCCCCCCTCTCTCTCTGCTTACGGAGACTGAGAAATAGCGCCAGTACTTCCAATGGACTACTACCATGATGACGGTGATTTGCAATATGCGCCGTGATTTAGCAGGTGTGTTATTCAGTTTGCTGGGAATAATGATAGATAGGTTACTCTGGTTGCCTACTGTCATCATTCGTTTGCTCGCTCATCCAATCTCATAAGGTGCTGATTCAACTGCTGCCCCCGAGAACTCATCGATAGCGCTTCATCCAGACTTCCGGGTCGAGGCTACTGAGCGAGATGAAGTCCGGGAAGCGCCTGGTAAGCCCTGGATTTAACACCTTGAGTAAGTTGATATTACCCCGGAGGCTGTCGACCCCTCTGGTTCAACGCGTTTCTGATTCTTTTATCTTCTATTGACCTCTATCCCGTGTATAGGACCCTGCTCACCTCAAGAACGTTAGCAAACATCCAAATAGTCCTATCCCAAGCATTCCCGAGAACTGCTCCTTGTGACATAGAAATTGAATAGATAAAGAGGGCACCCAAAGGGAAACCACAACCCTAGTCGGACCCCTGTTCTATGTAGCACAAAGTACCTTAGCCATCTGCCTGTGAAACAATAAATGAATACAGCCCTCATTTATGTTCAACAAAATCTCTTTAATAATAAAACTATCTTTCCTGCAGCGCTAACCATCTCCAATTCGTTCTCTTGCCTTGGATCAGATTCAATATCTCAAAAAAAAATAAATAAAAAATAAAAAAAACCATCATGTATCCTCGTTGGAATTATGATTTTACTGGTCGAGGTCGGCATATCAAAAAGAGACCAGTTCAATTTGAGAAGCAGCTCACTGAGGTGCTGTTCCCTACATATGCGCAGCAGCATGTCTTGACTTTGGCACGCTACCTGGACACCGATGAAGCGATTATGGTCAAAATTCGCTATGGGTATGTTGTATACTCACGTATATGACAATGTTTGAGCCCGAAACTAACCACCCCTTACTCCTATCTAGACTGAACCCAGAAGACTTCGAAATCATCGAAGATATCGAAGGAACGCGAAAGATCACCTCCAGCCATTTTCTCCATGAAATCGATGTCCTTGACACCCTTTCGGAGGCCGGCTATGGCCCAGCCTATATCGATTGTGCTACTCAGCCTGCGGGCTTGACACTTCCATATCCTCAGGGTGAAGTGGATGTCCTTGTCATGTCACGCGTTCCTGGGGAAAGGCTTGGGGAGATGTCTGAAAGCTTATCTGAGGCTCAACTTGAGAGCATTCGTTGTCAGCTCACTGAGATACTAGAGTGAGTTGTCATGACCTGACTTGCAGCTATGTGTCGTTTTGCTGATTAATTGACTTCGCTGTAGGTACATGCGACAGGAAGGGTATGTCATATTCCAACAGGACCCCGACTTTCTCCAGTACGACATCGAAAATGATAAGCTGTAAGACCTATCTTCCTCCCTTGCTCTAGGTTGAATCAGTACTAAACAAAACAGCTACCTCGTGGACCTCACATTCATCGATATCATCGACCCTGTCTACGACCGTAATATGAAGCAAATCAAGCCTGATAGCATGTGGGTTTTGGCATTCGGGTTGTGGAGCGAAGAGCTAATTAAGCGCAATCCACAACCAAAACGTCTCTTGCAATCGGCAAAACAAAGACAAGATGGTAACCTCGATCCCGGACAAGAATCTAGGCAGATTTCTGGAAAGCTCCCTGAACGATCTCCTCCGCAACTGCTTTATACTCAGTCGGATAGTACTCCTGTGTCTGGGGAACTGGTTGAGACTATATACGCCCCAACAGACGGGGGTTTTCATGAGAAAAAGGACCAGCACAAACGTCAGACGTGGTGCTGTTGATACTTGGTCTGCGTGAAGTTGATAATTTCCTTAATGTTATATTTCATTGGTATGTTTTTTGTAGGGGTTCTGAGCAATGTTGGTATCTTTTCATTTTGGATTTGTTTCGCTCCCATTCATAGGGTTCACAAGTGAGTCTTCAGAAATAGATCAGCAACAAGCTAGAATGTAAGAAAGTTCTTTCTATATATTCATAGACCTTTTGTAGTGGAACAAACCACAACAAAGTCACATGATTCGCGCAGCCCAGTGAATATCCAACAGTCAACACTCCTCAGCTTCTTCTACGCACACCATATAATAATAATGACCTTGCTAACGCTATCCAACGAGCTCGTCGTTGAGATCGTCAGCTATCTCCAATATGACAGCGACATCAACGCTCTCATGCAAGTCAGTGGCCGACTATATTACCTCCTAAGCCCGTATCTCTACCTCCACAACGCACGCTACTTCGAGGGAACGGCTCTTTCATGGGCAGTGCAGAATAACGTCGCGTCAGCCGCTCAGAAGGCCATCGAAGGCGGGGCTCTGGGATCTATTTCGAAATTGCACGGCCCAATCCCTTTCGAGACAGCTATAAGTTCTGGTCATGACACTCTTGTGAAAGCGTTTCTGGGTCCGGGGAGCCGCGTTGCAGAGCTAGAGAAGTGGATCCAACCGATTCCAGGAAGCGAATACCAAGACAATAAAGACAGAAAATACCATTACCAACTTGATAGAAAGAATCCCTTGTTCTTGGCACTAGTTCAAGGCCACGACGCTATGGCACAGGTCATGCTCAGCTACCTGAAGATGCCGCAAGCGCAAAAGGACGGTGGTGGTGGTGGTGACGGAGGAGGAGGGATACAGAATGTCTCTGGGGATACGGCCCTCGAAAAGCTGCGTGCACTCGGGATTGCTGTGAGTAAGAACGGGATACATGAGCTGCTCAGAGGGGCATCTGGCAGGGGTGATCTTGCTATGGTGAAATTCATCACAGAGCGGTATCCCGCGCTTATCAATGAAGCGTCATGTATGTTTGGCGGCAGAACACCGTTAATTCTAGCAGCATCATCTGGCCAGGTGGAGGTTTTGCGATTCTTGCTCAGCTTTGGGGCTGATCCGAACCTCGGATGTGCTTCAAAGAAGGAGACACCGCTATACTTTGCAGCCCTTTCTGGCAATGTGGAGATTGTTCAAATTCTGCTCGATCATGGGGCTTGTGATTCCCGGGAAATTCTTGCAGAGGAAGGAGACCACTCACTAAGAATCCTGGGGGTGGCGGGAGAAAGAGGTCATGTTGAGGTGGCAAAGCTTCTGTTGAAACATAGCGACTTCAAGAGCAAAGTGCCCAGTAGTTTTTGGAATTACACCTTTATCTTGATTACAGCATCAACTTGTGGATTCACAGACATGCTTCAATTCGTCCTTGATAACGACCCAGAGCAATACCAGAAGACTCAGTTTGGCAAAAGACAGTTCACATGCCCATACTACCAAGGCTCTTGCCTGCTCAGGGCTGTTGAAAGGGGCCATAAGGATACAGTCGCTTTGTTGTTGGAGTATGGTGCTGAGCCATATGGTACTGTGCAAAAGGCACCGTTCCTCGAGGCCATCACAAGAGGGCATCTGGAGATCGTGGAGCTGTTTTTGGACAAGGGCATCAAGATCAATCACCGGGACAAATATACCTTCTCGGGCCGTCTCCTGTACCACCAAAACACATGTACACTTGGCATGGCTGCCCTGTGCCATGCAGTCCGATTCCCAGCGATATTTCGACTGATCCTTGGCAGAGGGGTCCGTATCAACGCCAGATCGGTAGTCGCATTGGTCCTGAGAACAGAGATCGCACGCTCGGGCACTAAGGAAATAACCGATATGTTGCGGGAGAGGGACTACCTGGTGGAAACACCTGAAGAGTGCCAACTCTACAGGTGCAACATGCCAATCCATGCAGCAACTCAAGAAGGGAATGACAATGAAGCTCGGCCCTTGCGGATCATTGCATTGGCAAGACCGTATTCGCTGTACGTCGTGCAAGTCTTGCAGGATGCCATGACGCGAGCCGATTCAGTAACCGTCAATTACCTTCTTGAAAGAGGCTGCCACTCAAGCTTGGAACATATCCAACGAATCGAAAATGGAACAAGCTTGGAACTCGCAGCAAGAGTAGATGACCCCAAAGCGGCAGGGGCAACCCTTGACGTCCTGCTGCACCACGGGGCCGATATGGACGCACTCAGGACAATTTACCGATCGGGCTGGAGATACAACAACAACAAGGAAGAGGAAGAGGACGAGAGACATCTGACTTCTGCCCGGCTCCTTGTTGAGCGAGGCGCCAACATGGATCCAAAGACTAGCGAATGGATTCGGAACTCCCTCACAAAGTCAGTGAATGCCGATATTTCTCATGTGAGAACTCTCCGATATCTACTGCAGAGCATATGTGCGCGAGGGATCTCCCTGGCAGAGCTGGAAGATATCAAAAAGCGAACGCTTCGCAAGGACTGGCGCGTCACGAGGATTCTGGAAAATGCTTACTGGCGGATGAAATACCCTGTTCCGTGAGGCGGACTTGTCTAGGGTTGGTTGCTCATGTGCTCTCGATATGAACCATTTGTTTGTGTTAGGCGTTAGGCTCTATGTAGGGACGTTATGTACGAATATAAGTGGTGGCTCTCCTTCAAATCGAGGCAGTATAAAGAAAGCGGTGGCGTCATACCCGAATCCCCAACCTCACCTCTCTCTCTCTCTCTCCCTAACATACACTTCCAGGCACGATAAACCAAAACAAAACAACCAAAATGGTCTGCTCAAAATGCCAGAAAAAGCTCAAATCCACCGAACTCGCGACTCCCGGCGTAAAACGCAAGAACGAAATGTACTACGGCTCGCCCGCGACAAGTGGCGGTTCTAAATCGACGTTGGGGAGTACGGGTGTTTCGAAGGTATGACCTTTTTTTCTCGATATACGTGTGGTTGTAATAGAGGGTGATGCTAATGGGGATAGAATAAATTGTTGAGCTCCAAGGCGAAGAACCCGTATGCTGCTTATTCGTCTTCGTGTGAATCGTGCAAGACGAAGACGGAGCAGGGGAAGAAGTTTTGTCAGCGGTGTGCTTATCAGAAGAATTGTGAGTCTCGATTCTGCCTTGTATGGTTTGGTGAGATTGGCGAGTGCTAATGCTACATGTACAGCCTGTCCGATGTGCGGAAAGAGTCTGGCTGCAAAGTCTTCCAAAGAGCAGCCGATTGTCCAGGGGCAGAAGTTCAATCTGAAGTGATGCGCCTATCATTTACTCATTTATTTGGCATATTTTGGCATATGGCATGGCGTTTGGAGTCTATAAGGGCTATAAGGGACTGCTGGCATAACAGAATTGGATTGAATTTTGCGTGTAAAAAACTAGTTATACATGTCATACTCCATAATAGCACTATATGCATTCAGTGCCCGTCGTCAAACGACAACAGCCACTAGACAAGTGAAACAACCCCCGCTCTATCAACACAACCGCTCCACCGATATTCAAGCATTACCGTTCAGCCAGCATATCTCTGATGTTGCTCCAGTAATCCCGCAGCACGAACTTCGGGATCTCATCCTTGGCCACCCACCTGAAGTCCTTGAGGTTCTGGACGTTTCCGCTCAAGTTGGCCTGTCCTGTCATGATGCGGCTCTTCATGAAGAAGGTCTTTTCGCCAAGAATTGTTCGGCCGGTCTGGTCGGGCTTGGGTTGTCGGGCGTCGTAGACGTGGTGGCCGACGGGGTGGTAGCCAACCATCCAGGTGTTCATGTTGACTCCGGCGGATTGTGCGAGGGTACGCTGAGCGGCCTATCGAGTATAAATCATTAGATACGGTACCTTCATCGGCTAATCAGCTGGAGAACTCACCACTCGAAGATCCTCACCCGTCTCCACAGGAGAACTAGGCAACTTCCAGTACCCATCTGTATGCTGCACAAGCAGATACAGCGTCCTCTGCAACAACCGATTCAAACTCTGCTGATCACCCTTGGTATCCGCCTCCGTCACCCGCGGGAACGGCCGCGGAATCTCCTCCTTCTTACTCGTATCCTGCGAAGTAGCATTGGCCGTCTCCTCGGCATCCTTCACTAGCGCCTCGACCATATGCTCCGGCTCCGCCTCCTTCGACCCAACCAGCAACTCGTCATTCCACGCGTCCTTCGAGTACGCATTGTACTTGCCAATGTCCCGCGCGGGGGTCTGGCGCTCACGCACCCGCCGCTTCCAGTCCTCGTCGGCGGGGGTTCCGGGCTTGAAGTAGAAATATTTCGTAAAGGGGAGGACGAGACGCTCGTTCAGGCGTTTCTGGTAGAAGAAGTAGGACTTTTCGAAGGAGGTTAGGTCGCGGGTGATCTGGGGCGGGCGGGAGAGGAGCACGCCGGCGTTGATGATGTGGCTGGCGGGCACGACGGGGTGGACGGGGGAGGAATTGGTTGTTGAGGTGGATTCTAGCGGTGTCGCTGCGGCCGAGGTGTAGTCACGGCGGACGAGGGTCTGTTGACAGCTTCTGCATACTCTCGAGTCGACCACAGAGGGCCCTAAAATGATGGTCAGTCCCCCGCGCAAAAGTTTTCCAAGCGGATGTACAGAATGGGGGGTATAATCACGTACGCAGAACCGACGCTATGCGCCGGGCACCATTGGATCCCGAAGACATGATTTCTTGTCTAAACGGTGGTGAATTGGCCGGACTCTCTTCTCCCAGTTCAACGCCGATAATTGAGGTTCGCTCAGAAAAGTTGGGCGGTCACCTGTCTACGGCACTATTCCCAAACAGGCTAGTGTGCCATGGCCGCCGGCCTTTATCTTCGAAAAAATTCCGACTCGAGTTTTCCTCTTCTTCTTTTTCTTCTCCAGCACCCATTCCTTATCATCACTGGAGAGAGATTTTCCTACGCCCAAGTGATCATTTAGCGGTGCTCAGAACGAGTACTTAGTTTACGTTTGCGGCTATTTCGCTAGCGGTACCTTCTTTACAGCCAAGGCGTACTGTTAGATAGATGCTGCGCACATTTCGTTGCCTCGCTGTAGTATTACGGTTTATGGTCTATCATGACATTCGTAGCTCGTCAAGGGGACGGCGTGTTTCTATCTAATGATGCACATCCGTTCTTCTGTGCCAAAAACGCGCAGCCGGTTGCCATACGCTTTCCAGAATTCCGCGTCGAATCGGGGGATCAATTCACCATTGTCCACCATCTTCCGGGTCTGGGGCGTCGTGGCTGCTGGGATACTACTGCCAAAGGTGTCTGCGGTCTCTTCGCATTGGAGAAGATCGAACCTTGTGCGCAGGTTTGTAGACTCAGTGGACTCTGCCGGTTGAGGTGTCAACGGGGCTGTTCCAAGATACTTGGAGGTACCTCCGTGACGGAGTTGGGCGGAGAGTTTGATGAATATCTGCGCGGTCAATAAACTGTCGTATCCCGCTTCATGATCAACCTTCTGGTCGTGATATTTGGAGTGTTGAGGGTGTACAGCTGTCAAGTCAGTATCAAGTAACGACGGTAGGAGATGGCAACTCACTCATTTTGGGTATCGATGTCTTCAACAAGCTGTCATTGATCTCCGACAAAGATGATATCGGATTGATAGAACCACAGTCATGCGTAGCCATATACTTTGTATCCATCAAGACCGGAAACATCTCATGAGCCGCAGCCTGAAAATCCTCAACACGATCCGGCAACGGCCCAAAAAAGCATCTGTAAAAGTAAATAAGGTCCGTGAACAGATTGTGACCAACAATGACAGGCCGGTGAGTTCTCAATCGCTCCTTCAGTCTGTTCGCGAATTCTTTCAGAGATAACCCAGCTCCCGCGGGAGAATTCGCCATGACACCCATGAAGCACCCTTGGTCAAGATTCGATAAATCACCCCCAGCCAACGCTTCTGCAATCCACCGGAACCCTGTCTGTTTCATCATCCTCTCTTCCTGGTACCTCATCCGCTGTTCTCGGACGGCCTTTTCACGTGCTTCGTCGAACTCTAGGATCTGGATGAACGCAGGCTTGCCGACTGTCACCAATGAGGGAAATTCCGCTTCAATCAGTTGGTGGACGAGCCTCTTCTGGAACCTGTTCAAAGTCGTGGGAAAGAACCCCGTAGGCTTGGGGTCGTTCATGCGGGTTGGTGGTGGAATGTTCAAATAACTATCACGGCCCTGTTAAAACGGTCAGTATTGAAGATTGTCTGATATCGGAAGTGGCATGTCTACATTACCAAGAGCAAGCCAATCGTCAATTAATTTTCGAACGGCTTCCAAGAATTCGAGCGACTCTTGGTCCTCCTCTTTGACATCTATTTCGAGACGACGTACCACCGGACGATCACGCCGTTCCGTGGCTTTGGCCGTGGCCTCTTTCTCCTCGTCTCGGGAGAGATACTTTACTCCATTTTTGAAGTATGCGTCCATGCTAAAGTTGTTTTCCAAGAGGAAATCGGCGGCTGTACAGTCAGTAACAGTACCGTCAATGAAACTGGTCATTAATGGACTTACCACTACTCTGAAAGGTGACATTCCTTTCCACCTCCAGTCTATGATCCATCGTCGGGCTGAGATACATATTATACGGTTTCAGGGTGTATAATCCTGCAACAGTTAGACCAAGCCCAGTTGCGACATCTTCTGGTCCTACCAGTCGTAACATCCTCATTGCAAATCGTCAACCCAATTTGTAGAATCCGAAACTTATCAGCTGCACTCTTGACCTCCGAATAGCGATCCTGCAATGACTGTGGTCCCTGGGCTGTCCTTTGTGATGTGATGCCATATGAGATACCGGAGAACTCAAAGTCCAGCGAGACAAAGCAACAGTTGGCCAAGTTATCCAAGATCCGAGGGAGATGGTAGGAGAAGGTCTCTGTAGTGACATCCATTTTGTGCTCTATGCTCTATTGGGGATAATAATATTCGAGAGTAGTAGTATTGACGGGATCATGTGGAGAGGGAGATGTTTGATAGTGACAGTTCCGCGTCCGGAGTTGAGCCGTGACTATGGATCTTGTTCAGTTATTTCAGTTAGCTAGTTCTTGATATCTCCAAATACCTTCTACTTACTCTGTTATTACCCCCGTACTCTGCTCGATATCGTGGTGTTCAGTAGTCAGTCCCGTGACATCAGACCCCAGACTAACCCGAGCCGAGGGAAAACGAAAGCAAACCAATCCCAACCTGGTCGGACACGTTCACCGTCGCGATCCATGCTTCTTTTCTCTGATTGTGTTATTTTTCTCTAGAATTGAACAACTACTCCCCCTATACTACTCCAATCTAATCATCCACACAATGGCCGACGACGCCACCCACCTGTCGGCTTCCCAGTCGCAGCTCTCATCCTCATCCTCTTCCGCTTCGTCGCTATCCCCGGCGAAGCTCTGCTCCCGAACCTACAAAAAAGCCTCACAACTCTACCTGACGCGTCGATTACATGAGTCGCTGACGGCGCTGGAACCCGTCATCACGCCCTCGCAGGTCCCAGACGACTCGTACGTGAACGGCGACGCCTCGACACCGCCGATTGCGGCCGCCCCGAGTACCTGGAGGATTAAAGTCTGGAACTTGTACATCACGCTGCTGAGCGCGATTGTTGAGTTGGGTCCTGAGGAGGGGAGGAAGTTGTTTGGACAGAAGGAATGGAAGGCTGTCTCATCGCAGGTTCGCGATGGGGGGATTTGGGAGACGGTCGTGCAGACGGGATACAGGGGGCTTGAGGGATCGGTAGATGCGGAGGTTGTTTATAACTTGTACGTGTTGGAGGATTTATCGCTTGTTTGATTGCTTGATGCTGACTGTGATTTGCAGGGCTACGCTGTTACTGAGCCACTCTCCTTCGCAAGCGCTCAATCAACAGCGTCTCGAAACCTACCTGTCGTCGTACGGCCAGCCGAACCTGGATGTCGAAGGTCATCTACGCAACGGCTCCGACCATCGCACAATCCGATCTAGTGGTGGAACGGACACCCCGAAAGACCTAAACGCCAGGGTGAGGATCATCGAGCTGTTCACTCTACACATACTTCCCCGAAACGAGGAGTGGGAATATGCGGCAGAGTTCATCAACCTGAGCGAGGTTCTAGATGAGGAGAACAAAGAAGTCTTCCTGCAAACCCTGGACAATCTCAAAGAAGAAAAAGAACAAGGAGAGCTACGCGCAGCAGCACTACAACGCGAAAAAGACGCCGAACTGGAGCGACAAATGCACGAATCCGAACGCCGACAAGCCGAGGAAGCAGCCGCCGAGCGTGCCGAGCAAAGCGGCCACAAACAAACCCCTAGCGAGGTAGACTACGGCGTCGAAAAGAAGAACACAAACCGCGCATGCAAAGGAGGCAAAGGAACCCGCTCAACGGACCGCCAATCTACCAGCAAAACCGGCAGCTCGTCAGGGCGAACGGCCTTCTCTCCACCCTCGGGATCCAAAAACCTCAAGAAACCCGAAAAGTCGGAGTCGCGGGCACCCAGCCGGGCCATTGGAAATGTACTGCGCAACCTGGTGCAGTACATCTCACGGATGGTCTCCGGCAACCCGTTATCACTTGCTCGTCTGGTGTTATTCGTGCTGGGCATTGTAATGGTGCTGAGCAGGCAGGACGTGCGGGAGCGCATCCGGCGCGTGACTGGGGCTGGTTGGCAGAAGGTCAAGGGGACGATTGGGATGGGCGTTAAGGTGAGCTATATCTGATGTGTTGGTAATAGGATGGGATGGGATGGGATGTTTAATATTTCCTTTGTATGTATAAACGGCAGTCTAGTAGTATTTTGATCATTGTCAGTCTTGAAGATTTAACGCTACCCACTTGGAATATCGATTGAACAAACGCCGAATTAACGCCCAGCCTTGGGTATCACATGCTATCTAAGTTGCCCTACATCACCAAAACCTCTGCCTCTGCCAAGCCTTTCTGGCCATTCTCTCCATATCCAGCCTGCTTATGATGAAATCAACTTCCACTGGTGCGTTGGGATCACGGCCAACAGCTGACTTGAAATCCAGCACGAGCTGGTTGGTCATTGCAGGTCGACCCCTACTCTAGTCCGTTCTAATAAAACAGGTACATAGTGTTGTTCTGGCGGTCGAGGAAGTAAACAGTAGTTCGGATCGCTGCCGAGGGCGAAGCTTGTCTGGCGGATTGTAGTCCAACAGATGATTGTCGTGCGCCATACACCCACTTGCATATTGTGATGAAAGGTTGGTGCGTGTCAATGTTGACGGTGATTGCGATGTTGACAGTAGAGCCAACACTTTCGATCCAACCTCTCGCATTGCCTATCGATCTGGTGGTAGATTCACTTAGTCCGGTTTCGACCACAGCAGTAGGACCGTTGTTCTCGGGTCCCCAGCTACAATCAGCTTGCTTAGTCCATTGGCCAAACCGGATTATAGAGGTGTGGAGGGTATCGAGCTGGTACCTGGGATTTATAGAAATGATTTGAGTTCCAATTGTGTCTTGTATGACACCCGCGGCTGAGTCGTGGGCCGTGCTGGGCATGACTTTGATGGCTAGGTCACCAGTTGCGTGATTATACGAGTATAATGCTGCCGTACAGTGCTTGACCAACTCCCCAAATTCTCCCTCTGGGACGTCTTTGTAGTCCAGGAATTGGTCCGTGGTGTTTCCCTCTTCTAGTTGCTTCTTCCTAACAGCAACACGCCTTTCAATCTTCGCTCTCTTTTTTGAAGGGCTGCTCAATTCCAGGTCCCTCCCATAGGTCATCGGATCCAAAACCCAGTTGTCTTTCTCACATTATGCGGAAACTCAAATGGGGCCTGGAAACAGTACGGTCTTCCATCACGGAGCTTCGCCGGTATACCTCATCCAAGGCGGAGTTCTCCAGCATAATTGAAGAGATATTACAACATAACCTGGCTAAATAGATAGAAACAGATAATATGGGAGGTTGAGAGGAATTGCGAAACTACTGCTACATTTTATCGCTCAAACTACAGGAGTCCGGAGTACGAAGTACTCAAACTCGGGGTTCAATACCTTAGTATGGTATGCCCTCCGTCCCCGCATAGGAAATTCCTATTGCTTTCTTCATATTATTATTGTACAGAAATTCCTACAAAATTCTAGAGAGACAATGCCATATGCCCAATTCGGGGCATTCTGCAGTAGTACATCGTCATCATCATGTGCTGATGCGCCTGGCAGCTGATTTCATGTGAATGCAGATGAAAATGCGATATCGGATGCTTGTATCTGTACTCTGTACGGAGTATTGCAAACTGCAAATACTCTTGACATGCGTGTTAGTGTACTCGTACAGAATTATCATAGTGGTTGTTGTAGCTATAGTGCTGCTGTACCAACTAACCATACGCGGAATAAAACTACCCCGTACTCAACACACCAAGTCACCAACTAGCACAATCAACAAGAAGAACACCATGGATTTCCCATAGCCAGACAGCCCAGACATCCAGAATACTTCCTCTAATCTAATTCACCATTCCGTAAAACCTGGACTCACAGTCTCAAATCGCCGTCCCCATCCATGGCAGCCATCGGCACCTTCTCGCTCTACCTCGGTTGAAAATCAACACTGGGAAATGAATCTTTACCCAATGACCGGAATCTTCCGTTTTCGCAGAGATCCAACGCCGGAGATCAGTGGATTCTGGAAATCTGGAATCACGGAATTGAGTCAGCTGCTCTTGTAACTACGGGGTGCCGTACTTGTACTCTGCTGTGGTACTATGTGCTGTGTGCATAACCCTGTAGGATGGCATGTGAACTTATCCTGACTCCGGAAATGGACAGCACGGAACACAGGATGGGAACTATGGATGCGCCAGACTCTATTCTGGAGTATCCTATGATTGAATGATATGGTAATTGCTCTGCCGAGGTGCTGGTGTATGCTATTTCCTACTGTCCGGTCTACATTTGTACAGAGTACAGGAACTACGGAGCACACATAGGATGAATGGTAAAGCTACCGGAGGACAGCACTTTATATAAAAGCTACTGTAAAACAGTTATATCTCAGGTGCATCGGGTAAATCCTCACACCCTGGGCTTCCGCTCGTCCAGCCAGCGGGCCTCCGCTTCCCCGTCTTGTTTCCCTCTCCGCAGAGCACATCCGCCACTGGAACCGAGAAGCCGCTGGTCTATGATCCTCATTCCCGAGATGCGCTGGTTATTAGTATAAGGGCGCTATCCTGTGAAGATTGGAGGGGTCGCTTTTCGCTACTTTTTCTTATTTTTATCTGTTCTCCGGGTCCTCCGATTCCTTTTTTATACTTTCCCGTGTCTATATACCTCGCTGTCTGCCGAGGGACAAGTCATATCTTATACTTCCGTATTCCTCCGGACGTGGGACTGCTTTACTATTCTCCCTTTTTTCTTTTTTTTTTTTTTTTTTTTTTTTT